TTATCATAATCAAAATCAGTGGATGCAAGTAGCTCGGGATCATTTTTTCGCTAATTTCCGTTAGTGTGATACGATCCTTAATGATTAACTAACAGTCTCTCGAACTATTATCATGTCGTGAAGTCATTGTCGTGGATCATTCCTTATGGCAGTCTATGGGGCATGTCTATGTTCAGCAGTGGACAATTAATGGTTGGTATGATAATAGTGATAGCATCAGCTTTAAAGTTCAACTTCCAACTTTGTTCTTTACAAAACCTATGAATAACAGTCATCCTGTATTTTACTTATCACACTGTCGACGGATTTCGTCGAAACTGTCTTGTCGGTATCGTCATACGTCCGGTATTTGTAATCATGTCAGATAATATGGTCAAATTACTACCACTAATACTCATGTCAATGCGATGCCATCTGATGACAAGAGTTTCTATGCTACTTACATTGTGCGTAATGACTTTACGTGATATACGAAGAACGAAACAGAAGACAATCATTATAAATAATCCAAATGTGATTGGTATTCAGTGGCATTTTGTAAATCAATAATAATGCACTGATATCCTCTTCTGCACTGATAGAGAATATGCGGATGGTAGGTGATGATGGCAAGTTTGTTGGTACGTCATAATGATTTCAACAGTAATTAACCTCGATGGTAATGGGATATTAGGATTGAGATATTGGGTATATGGGATCGCATGTAAATCGATCTGATGCAATATATTGCTAGCAATGGAGCTGCTGGTCTCTGTTATTTAATAACAAAATGGGGGAAAGGGATTATTAGTAATGGGGTCTAACAGGTTTATTGCTAACATTATATCCTATCAGGTCTACCTCCACGCGGTTCTCCCTAAAAACCATCGTGATTAAGTCTTGTCGACTTCATCGTGATGAGCTTGCATCCATTTCTTATCTGCTATCACTCACTGGTACCCCGCCAACGTATACCGTAAACGCAAGTTAGGTCATCATTCCATTTTCATCCATTAAAAAAAGTAACAAAATAATTATTTCTTAAAAAAAATTCAGTAGCTTAAATTGGGACTCGATTGTAGGTTCCTCAGACCATTAATTAATGAAACCACAATTACTGAATACTGTGCTATCGTCGAACTATACAATGTTCATTACCTAATTTCACTGCTTGATCCTTAAACCGAAACAGCACACTAATTATGTACTGTCAGAAATAAATGAGAGAGAAATATTCTACTTTGTGCAGTTACTCGACTATGTCTTTTCATATTTTCGCTAATTTCCGTTAGTGTGATACGATCCTTAATGATTAACTAACAGTCTCTCGAACTATTATCATGTCGTGAAGTTTTCCGGCACCCAGCATACTCGTACCTACCGTTGGACAGATTGTCCAACTGGAAAACGTGTAGATAGTTTATTTTATAGTCTTACGTCATGTTTAATTTTACTTAAAAATGCAATGCACATGTTTAATAATATTTTATTTCTTATAAACAAGCTTTAATAGTAATTAGTTGAGTATATTTCTATTAAAGTTAAAACCTTAACTTTTGGAAGTTACTTGTAAAAAGTTCTTTACAATTTTTTTTTTAATTTTTATTTAAATAGGATAACGCAATAAGCAAACACATAAATATTTAATATTATTGATACTAAATTAATATATATTTAAACCTAAATTGTACATTGTCTGTCACATTATTTACTAGTAGGATACAGCTCTCATCCTGGAGAGGGTCGAGGGCCAATCGAGCCATATATCATGTGGATACAGTTATAAATTGTTTTGTGAATGGGACAACAAACTGTCATACTTCCCATCAAGACCCCTCCTTAAGCTGTAGTATTCTGACAATAACTAAAAACTATTTTTTTAAGATTAGACATTTTATAATTGCGTAATATAGTTGATATTTCTAACTAACCTGAGAGGTTACTAAAAGTTTACTTAAACATTTTATTTTTATTCTAACATTTCTTCTTTATACAGTAATAATAATTCCTTTAATTAATCTCATTCTCTTCTTAGATTTAGATTTATAAAAAATATTTTTTTTATTAGATACACCTTATACTAACATGAGATGTTTTTGTTCAAGTAAACTTAGATTTAAGCATTTTTAATAGTAGTTTTTCACTTTTTACTTACTTATATCACTGTACATTGTCTGCTTAATTTTTGTGAGCATATTGTTGGTGTGTCTTTTATAAATAAATAAAATAAACCTCAAATTGGGTTTATTCATTATATTCTTTCTGTTAAGTTTATTTTATATCAGTTTGAAATTAAATTAAACTACATGAATATTTATTTGCCACAACACTTTTACATGGATGATTAATTTTATTAATCAGTTTATTATAATACTCTGTCTACTAAATATATCCCGTATTTCCAGTTTAAATTTCGGTTTATTATAGGCAGGCGGGCGGTCGAAAAACTATAAGCCAAATCTTTTTTGTAATATGAATAAAATATGTTTTGTATTATCGGTTTACATTTCGGTTTATTATAATACCTTTTTTACTAAATATATCTTGTATATATTATATGGTTTATATTTAGATTTATTGTAATATCCTGTCTGTTAAATATATTTTGTATTATCCGTTTATATTTCGGTTTATTCTGATACCCTTCCTACTAAATACATTTTGTATTATCCGTTTACATTTCGGTTTATCAAATACTCTTTCTGCTAAATACATATTGTATTATTGGTTTATGTTTCAGTGTATACCCGTTTTGCTAAATACATCTTGTTTATAGGTTTATATTTCGGTTTATTATACTCTATTAAGTTTATTTTATATTATCGGTTTAAATTTCGGCTCTTCTCTTTCCACTAACAGCACCTTGTAATACTTGTAATACTTATCGACTTAGATTTATTTGTTGTAGATACTATTTCGAAACTATACTTTGTATATGTCGGCTTAGATTTCAGTTTGTTATAACGTTTCCGTTCCACTACATATATACTTCAATACAGAAATTAAACTGGGAAACCAAGCAAATTATTGCAACACGCATACCACAAATCATAACATGAACACCCCTCTACCCCAATTATGTTAGTAATTAAGAAGAATTAGTGCATGTCGATTGGAACTTGTACATTGTAAACAATTTTTTTTCTGAATAAAAAAACTCTGTTTCGAAATTAAAAGACTCATACGTCCAATATACTATTAGTTTTTTTTTTTTTATTAAAAATTATTAAGTTCTTAAATAGTATATATATTTTGTATCTGTATGGTTATTTTGCTAGTTCTGTACTATTTTGATAATTACTACTAATTTCATCTTAATTGAAATTGGTTGAAAGCCAATCTCGATGATTCTTGTCTTAATCACTTTTCTTTCATGTGTACGTACCATACCATATCAACCGTTTACTGTCCACTGCTGAACATAGTTCTCCCCCTATTGGGGAGTTTTGTTAATAGTTGCCACACTTGGCTGGCAGGTTGGCAGCCGCAGTTAGGCTCTGGTGGCGTTTTAAGAAGGACGCCGCTGCCCATCCCTTGACCATTAAATTATCACAAAAATTACCTTAAGTACCGATAGATAGCAAAGAAAGGAATTAATATTAACGCTAGTTTTAAGAAATAGATTTTAAATAATTGACATACTGTACATTACATTATATTAAAATTAATAACGTGTTTTTAGAAGTTATATCTGACAATATTAGTAAATTGTCAAAGCAATAGATAATTATAAAATAAAATATAAAATAAAATATGAATGACTTCATCAAATCAATAATGCATCGCTTTTTCGATTTTTTTTTTAATAATGAATTTTTAAAAACAAAAAATTGAGTAAAAAGTGAAAAAAAATGAAATTATTGATTTTTCCACAAAACAATGTTAAAAATATATCAAAACAAGATTTCTATGTATAAAAAAAAATATAATAGAATAATATAAAAGTATGGCTGATGAAGTTGCCAGTGACAAATATGTTAATATACTCAATAAAACCTTAACCAATATGACATAAATATTTGGACGTTATATCTCGTTACTTACTTTAAAAATCATAAATCACGCCTCACGTATTGTTTGTTGCCAGTATTTAGACGCGATGCATTTGTATTACAATATTATAGACTGTGATATTATACAATGTTGCTATAAATTCAAATATATCAAACTGTTTTCATTCGTATTGCAACAATATATTCATGGTTATTTATTTATATAACCTAAGCAATAACTACTATTTTTTTTCCTTACTAATATTATAAATGTGAAAGCGAGTTTTTTTGTTACCTCGCAGCGACTTGATTAACTACTATGAGTTTTTTTTAATGGGTGATAATGAAATGGTAACCCTGCCTGCGCTATCGGTATACGCTGGCGGGGCACCAGTGCAGGATGATAGGTGACGATGAAAGCAGCTTAGTTAGCCCATCGTGACGAATTCCACTGGAATTAACCACGGTGGTTTCCAGGGGGAACCGCGTGGAGGTCGACCTGATAGGCTGTTGCTAGTTATGGGGAAATTAGACCCCTTTCCCTCCACTGCTATGAGGTTTGGTATATACACACTATATATAGTACAGGATAGAAAGTAAAAGTTAGTAAATAAATTAATATTATTGGATCTATCTAATTTAAAACAAAACTCGGAATTTGTTCTGAACTGAAGAACTTATAGACATATTTAAATATATTTTTCAAACATATAGAAATAACTCATCAGCGTCATATCAGCTGTCCGCTGCTAATCGTATCTCCGCCTACTCTATGCCTCCTCTGTAAAGGAGGTTTTGCCAGTAGCTGCCACGCTTGGCAGACAGGTTAGTATTTGTAGTTAGACTTTTGGTGGTTTTTTAATGGGACGCTGATGTCCATTTTTCGACTATTAAATTCCCTTAGTCGCCTTTTACAACACCCACGGGAAAGGAAAAAGTGGCCTATTCTTTGCCAGGACCACACCTTAATTAATGGGCCTCCCGTTTCTTTATTATATAAATATAAATAAATAAAATTTCCATTTCCAGGCGTATAATGGAGCGTGGTTCGTCAGCGCCGTGGAACCAGATCCTACAGGATGCCATCGGCGAAACTCGGCTAAGTGGAGAAGCTCTTAGAGACTATTTCAGACCTTTGGAAGACTGGCTCCGAAGTGAGAACCTAAGGACTGGGGAATATTTGGGTTGGAGTTATGACGGAGATTATTGCAAATTCAGGTAAGAGATTATTTATTTTTATTTATTTATTTTAAGCTCTATTGACTATATATTATGTCGACCTCAAATAATAATTAGGATAAAAGTAGAAAGATGCAAGCAGCCATCTTTTGGAAAGTGCAGAGATACTCGAAGGCAGTTTAGTATAGAAACATAATAATAATAAAAAATTCTAATTATTATAGATGTTAAAATGTTTGTATGTTTGTTATACGATTACTCTTTAACTGCTGAACAGATTTCAGTGAAATTTGCTACACAGACATTAGATTACATTAATATTATATATAGGGTTCTTTTATTATAATTCACGTTGACGACAGCAACGTTACAGGAAACAAGTAATTTCCAATTTTTGTTTTACTCTTCCTTCTTTACTCATTTTTTTTTAATCCAATTACACCCCAATATTTATAAGAACGTTTTGAATTTTTTGGCAAGAGCAATACTTATTCTTTACATAATATTGGCAAACCTCCATTGCAAATTTCTTACTCATTCTTCCTCTGTTTACTCTAAATCCTTTTCCGTACAAGCAGTTTGTTTATGGAACCCCTCTATCTCTATACATTGCACTCATTTTAAAGACTTAGTTACATCACACTACTTATCCTTATAATCACTTAGTCCTCCTTATTTCCAGTTTTATGTGTGTTATATATATGTGTGTTAGTGTTGTATATTTGTATGTAGCAGGTCACTTAGAAAGTATTGCGAGAAAAAGTTTTTATGTATGTGAGACTGACCAGTTATAATTTATTTAAAAATATGATTACTTATAAGTAAAAATAGGTACGTTCTAAATTCAAAACTTCCCTCCACATTTTTTACGAGCTAATTTAAATTACCAATTGTCGTTCCCACCAAAATTATTAGTGTTATGTATGTACATTAACAACGATAGTCACTCTGTATTCATGACTAAATTAAAATGTTGATGTACCTCCTCTTTACATTATATTTATTTATAATTTATAATAATTTAAATGCAATTTCCATTATTTATGTTATATTATTATTCATATTGTTAATATCTTTACTCATATAAAGACATTTAATAATTTAATTGTATTTTTATGTTTATCAAACACAAGGCACGCTGTGGTTGCCTATAAATGTAAGAACAGTAAGATCTAATCTACCAGTGTATTGTATTAAAATGTCTAGCTGTATCTTATGTTGGTAATCCTATAAATAAATAAATAAATATCTATTGGGTACGTTTATATTTATATATGGATATAATTATACTTTTCTACATGCTATACATATAGAAAAGTATAAGTATAATTTACATTAATTTTTTTTAAAGCGCCACGTATCCATTCGTTCTCTAATTCCTACTACTCAAAGGTTGTCTGAAAGAGATTGGTTATCAATAAGACTACCTCTTGTACTGTACATGTAATATTGGTACAGTGGGAGGTAAGAGATTGTTAGCAATAAAGTTTGACAGCCCTATTACTAGCAATATACCCTGTCAGGTCGACCTCCACGTGGTTCCCCCTGGAAACCATCGTGAACAATTCTTGTTGAATTCGTCACGATGGGCCAACTGACCTGATTCATCCTCACCTATCATCCCTCACTAGTGCTCCGCCAGCGTATTCCGATAACGCAGGCGGGGTTACCATTCCATTATTACCTATTAAAAAAAAAATATTGGTACAGTAAAGTGTGAATAAATAAATGAACTCGATTTTTTTTAGTAATATTTTTTTTTCTTCAGCATCGAAACAGCTGGTCTCCAAGTGTACGGTGGATTCTACAACTCGGCCCATCGGAACTTCGACCTGACCAGCTTCTTCACAATACTACTCAGTTCAACACTGGCCACAGTAGCTGCATTACGCTGGCGATGATAATTTACAAATGTTATTTTTTTTTTATTGTTATTTTTTGTCATGTCAAATATTAAAATCGAATAAGACTCCATTAATAATATATAATTTTAATTAATATTTTTTTATTTAATAAAATGCAATAAATAAGTAATATTAATCCAGGGTTTAATCATATTTGCATGTTAAAATTAAAGGACTTTATTCCATCATCATTTTTAATTTCCATAATATCCTGGAAATATAATAGGAGTGTTGATATTTTATATTTTTACTCCATAATGACTGAATGACCTTTAAAAAAGTGGTTAACAAATATATAGTTATTTATTCAAGGTAGAATTTCGAACTTGGAAAATTTAGAACTTTCTTCCTTCTATGGTGTAACTCGTCGTTTACAGTCAATCCAAATAATTAACAGATGCGAGTTCGAATCCTGACTCATCGAGATTGAAGATACAATTTTTTCAACCTAATAATAATAATTATTCCGTAATTACACTAATAATTTTACATTAATAGAAAACTTTTCAAAAAATATTTAATAATTTTTATAAATTCTGAATATTTTAAAATATAAATCTAATTACAAATATGAATTATGTATGTTATTTAAAGTATACAACAGAGGGAGACTTTGTACAAAAGTCGATTGCTTGGGTACCTCTGTCCCATTCGTGTTTCAACCGTGAAGCAGTTGTGTTTGCATGGCTGTGTTTCGGTTTGAAGGGTGGGATATGGCGTGAATTTACAGGGTACAGAGGAATAACACCTGAGTCCTCAGGAATGGCAACGTATGGAGGTATCATGGGTGAAACAGTATACTCTGTTATGTCCATGGTACTGCTCGTGTCTATAGGCGACGGTTACCACTTTCCATCAGGTGGGCCGACAGCTTGTTTGCCATTCTAAGTTGTATAAAAAAAAATTCAATTTATTTTTTTATCGTCTCTCTATTTTTGTTATATAATAAATAGTTATAATTTTTAATATACAATATAAATGTATATTATGTAATTGAAATGAAAAATGTTATTAATAAGTTGTAGTTTTATATTTAATGTTTTTTGTAAATAATACAAATATATCATTGATAATTGTGATAACGTGAAAATAAATGAAATGGAAATATTTGTTACTTATTAATTTACCTATTTTCAGCCGTTCTCTTCCAAAAAATACATTTTATGTACATACATACTAGTTATTCTCAGCGTCTTTATTCGCTTGACTGGATAACGTTGATTCGCCAAAAAAAAAAGTATGTCTTATAACCTTCCTAAATAGTAGTACTATGTGTATACTAAATATTAAGTTACCGAGGTTTACCCAAGAGACTACAGCATGGGGTTCTTCAAAAGGGGGTAAAGAGGTTTCTTCAGGGTCGGCAACGCGCGTGTAATACCTCTGGTATTGCAGGCGTTCATAGGCTACGGTAACCGCTTACCATCAGGTGGGCCGTATGTATGTTTGCCATCTCAGTGGTATAGAAAAAGTTTTTATTTGTTACCAAGAAAGAAAATTGGACAAATATTTTATGTCATACATATACAGTTTTGAAACTCTACATGTGGAAAGATCTTATTATATCAGTTACCATAAATCAGTACGAAGATAAATTATGAGTTAACTTTTAACTGACCCTTGGCTATTCAATAAACCGTCCAATATAATTATTAAACCTCTAGGGTGAGATGATGCGGGTACTAAAACGAATTAATTGTTATTGAAGAGGACAATTCGTTCGCCCCAAATCCATAATTCAAATTAATATATATATATATATATATATATATATATATATATATATATATATATATATATATATATATATATATATATATATAAAACTAGCTGACTCGACAAACGTTGTTTTACTATATACATTATTTCAAGAACTATACATGAAAATATATCGTACTACAATTATTATATTCGATTGCTATCTTGTAAATCTATTGCGGCATATAAAAATCGCGATTAAAAAACAGGGGTTGATCGTAAAAGCGTGAGAATTTGAATTTGTATGTATTTTTCAATGCTAAGTCATAATAAAATAAAAATAAAAAAATTGTCAAAAAAATAAAACTAAAATGTTTAGAGGTGGGTCACCCTTATCATTGAGGGGTATGATAGATGTTGGCCGATTCTCAGACCTACCCGATATGCACACAAAATTTCATAAAAATCGGTAAAGCCGTTTCGGAGGAGTTTGGTAACAAACACCGCGACACGAGAAATTTATATATTAGAGATATAATAGTATAAAATCCCAATGTTTACTAGCTTTTTGGCCCCTGCTTTGTACACAGTTTAATATTACACAAAAAAAAGTATAAATAAATAAAACATACATCAGATTTTAAGTTAGACTTTCGGGCATACAACCTCATTCAATTTGACAAAAAATACAGATAGACAGAGAGACAAAATTTGTAAAAAATATTGTTTTGACTTCTACTATTCCAACTAAAATCTCTTACATCGAATTTTCTTAAATATTTTCTATGTACAGACACCGTCCGATTACAATTTTATCATACTAGTAAGAGTAGAATATAAATCTACTAAAATACAAGGTGTATTTACGATAAACACGAGTCAATAAACAACTTTAATCCACTGACAGTTTGATGTATTTATTAAAAATACATTAGCGTCCATGTGAAAACATTTCGCAGTACACGTGGATAAATAAACGCTTGCCAAAACAATCACATCGGCTTATCCATCGCTCTACGATAGAGGGTTTGTTTTTTTTATCATCAGCGTGTAGTAGTCGCAGTCTAAAAAAACCTTTTTACCATTCGTCCAATGGAAAAGTTTAAAGAAAGCGTCCCGAAATGTTAATAATCATTCGAAACTTGTTGAATCTCTAAGTTGGGCCACTGGGTTTTCCTTTACTTACATCATCGTCATCATTATACGTTCATTATTGAACATAAGCCTTCCATATAGACTGCTCAATTCCTTTATTTTACTGTGGTATAATTATATAAAAAAAAAAATATTTGGCGCACATAACAGAAGTTTACAAATACAAGCTTAAATTATAACATGCAAGTACATTATAATGTATTGATCAGGTAAACTTGCCACAACATGTGCACACAGCATGATCCAATAATAAATACGACTGCAACAAAGCCATTCGGTTGCAACTATTATTGATAAAAATTAAACATAAAAAAGAAAGTTAAATTAAAAAACAAAACAAAAGTTAATTAAGAAACTTTTATTGATTATTGTTTAAGATTGAGTAATATATATATAATAAAAACTAATTAATCTAATTAACTTACTTTTACTATAAAGAGACTTTGTACAAAATTATCCTTTGTACAAAAATTGTACACAAAAATAGATATGACGAAATCATTTCGTAGATAAACATTACACTGTACATCCCTTATAATGGTTTTCTGATAGTGTACGTAAACAGTAAGTATGTTAGGGGCAGCCACCCGCCACCGTTCCGCCATTCTCGGCGCCATCGCGTCGCCACTGTCGCCACTCACTCTTGTAATACTATTAATGCAGTTTTGTTTTTATTGAATCCTGGTACACAACTACAACACATCTTTATGTATGTCGCTTCATGTTTTCTTAGTGAAGTACCTTAGGGAGTATTTCAAAAACTCATATTACATTTATTATACAAACTTTAAAATAAAATCATTATAAATTTAAAATATATTTTTACATACATAGATACATACATATCTGTCACGCCTGTCTCCCATTAGGGTAGGCAGAAACAGTGGAACGCCAAATGCTTCGATTCAAACAAACCTCTTTCGCTTCTTCCAAATATATTTTTAATACATAAAATATAAAAAAAAGAAGTAACTTAATTGATTCGACAGCTGTATCAATAGGATCATATAGCCCGATTTCTGAACGGAATAAAGTCATTTCAAAACTTAATGACTCTACTTGTTAAATCCATTAAGGTCAAAGTCAAGGTTTGATGATGAATTCCTTACAAAATCATAACTACAACGAAAAGTAGAGTTAACTTTGGTTAACACTGAGACCCTTCTATCTTCCTCGTTTGAAATCTAAACTGAATAACAAAAATAAGTAAATAAGTAAGTTTGAAAAGAAAAATTTTAAATATCAAGTTAAAACAAATTTCAAAACAATAAACGAAGTAAGCAATTAAGTTGGTACCATTTTAAAAATCTAATCGTTCCACCAAAAATCCTCAAATTTGCAAAAATTTGTATTGTAGCAAGAGAGAACTAAGTATTGATAAAAAGAAAGTTTAAAATCGACTAAAAATAAAAATTTTAATATTTCTACGAAATATATTAAATAATTTGATTACATTACAAAAAATATGATCGAACTAACGTTATTTTATGGAAGTAAGTAAATTAACATTTTTATTATTTGTAAAAAAAAAACATAATTTCACGCTAACATTATTGTAAACAAATACGTAATAAAACAATCTTATTTAATATTCTAAGTGTGTCTCATGTCTCGGTAACGACGTTTCTAGTTTTAAACAAACACTCAAATATTGGACTGGGGTGTTTCCCATCCCCTCGCTGCTACAGCGCCAATGTGACGCCAGCTTTAAAAGTTGTTGCAATCTGGTGTGTCTTCCATTTAAATACGATATTATGTCATCGTGGTATGTTTAATTAATTTCTTTTATTCTCTTCTTTGTATCAGGAAAAATAAATTAAAAGATTTAATTTATCAAAATAATTATTTATTTTCTAAAAACAATTGAAATATTTACAATATTTCTGATTATTTAAAAATTGCTCTAATGTCGAATCATGGTACAAGTAGCACATAAATCTACTACTACAATTTATGTAATGGATAAATAATGATATGACAAGATTTATCATCTTTAAGTTTGCATACTTCTAATACAAATGTTCTGGAAGGAATTGTTAGTGATGGGGTCTAAGAGCCCCATTGCTAGTAATATACTCTATCAAGTCGAATTGCACGTGGTCCCCCCTGGAAACAATCGTGCTGAATTCTAGGTGTATTCGTCACGCTGAGCCATCTGACCTACCTTTTCATTCTCATGTATCATCCCTCACTGGTACTTCGCCAGCGTATACAGTCAGCACAAGCGGAGTTACCATTCTATTAATATCCATAAAAAAAAACACATATTTAAGTAAATTTCCACTAATATTGCGAACGTTATAAAATCCGGGCAACATAAATTCGTAGATTATAACCGTAACTTTACCAATGTATTTAACAACAGCAAAACAAAATTGAAATTGAAAACTAATTTTATAAAAACTATCTCAAAAATATATACTAGGAAATAGTGCTTCGTCGAATTTTACATCTAAATGTGTTTTGTCTCGGGAAATGAAGCCATCTATCAGTCTTTTTCTGTACAAACTTTGCTTATCTGTTGTATCATTCATCCTATTCCCATCCCGAATTCCCAGTCGCGTCTCAACTGTAATTCGGGCAACACGCGGACTCTCCCGCATTCATGTTCGCCTAGTACTTTAAAACAGTGAGTGACTATCGAACTGTGAATATGTGAGTGATGATTAATTAAGTACTAATTACGTGTGATTTGCAAATTAATAAATTTATTACTAAAATAAATAATTAAGTAAATACTCGGTAAAAAATTATTAGAAATCATAAACAAGCATTAAACAAACCGGACTTTTGTTCAAGTTCTTTATGTTTAAATTAAAAGTCATTATTTAGAATAAAAGAGGAACACAGAAATAATATGTATTTATTTAGAATATCGTGTAGCTTGCGCTCTTCTAAATTCAAATTTTCGATAAAATTTTTAAAATTAGAAAACTTAACAAAGCCTTATAAAGTTTAAAGTAATAATGACGGTTATGCAGAGCCGAAAGCAACCGAGCTGACTAATTCGGTAATACAAAGAGTGCATGCTACATCAATTAAGCCAATTGAATATTCGTCCGTTCTCTTGTGAACATAACAGATGTTTGTTAATTACCATTATATAATAGGGTCATGTAAAGGATTCTTAATCGTAACTAAACAGCTATGTGACATATGTACCGACCGAGTCGACTTTAACTAATTCAATGGACTTTTATCTCTTTTAGGAAGTTTATTCTAAGTTGAGTATTGCCCCTTATAGTTATGCATTAATAATTCGATGTTAATAACTTTTAATTATTTATTTTTATTCAAATAAATTAAATATATTTTTTTTATAAACGGAACAAACTTTGAGCGTAAAATAACAAAAATAATTTTAATTACTATCTCATATTGTTCTAATATTCAGTTTACAATGGATTGTGTTCATAAATACCCAATAAGTTGTAAATTCTACAAATTTACATGTTAAATTTAATTCATGGAGCACTTTTATGTAAATTAAATATAATATTTGGTCAGAAACAAAACTGCGTGCATAGTTTTTCATGTTTAAATGCGAGTTGTAAGAAACGCTTTGTTTTTACTTAATAATTCCACTAAGAAAAAACTAATATGACATTAATTAAATAGTTGAAATCTATACTCAATCATCAATATTATATAATATTTATATATTTAATTTTACGAGCCATTTAAATAGTAACATTGCTTAGCGATAAAGCCGCCTTTTGTATCACTTCTCATCAAAATTAAATGTATTTAATATTTATAAAAAAATAGTGCATTTATTTACACTTTATTGTAAATAAATAAACATTTTGTTCTATTCTGCCTTAAAAGATTAATGTTCTCAACACATAAAAAATAACATATATAACGAATAACGTAATCCTTACTAATATTGGGTATAAATGTGAAAGTGAGTTTGTTTATTTGTTACCATACAGCATATTAACGGTTTAACAAATCACTTTGAAATTTGGTATACTATATGGAATGGGAAAGGATATACAAATAAGCTACTTTTTATCCTAGCCAGTAAACATATCACGGTTATACGGACAAAATCGCGGGTAGAAGCTAGTATTTTAATAAATTACAACTAATATAACATGACAATAACTAAATAAGATCCGTCTGTGTACATTTTTGTTATCACCTAATATCTATACTATATGGGGGGAAAGGGATTGTTAACAATAGAGTTTGACAGCCCCATTGCTAGCAATAAATGCGGTAAATATTAGGTCGACCTCCATATCACTCCCCCTGGAAACCATCGTGAACAATTCTTGTTGAATTCGTCACGATAGGCCAACTGATCTGCTTCATCGTCACCTATCATCCTTCACTGGTGCCCCACCAGCGTATCCCGATAGCGCAGGCGGGGTTACCATACCATTATCACTCATTAAAAAAAATTTATACTATAAGTGAATATACAAAAGTATATGATTTAAAAAAATAAATAAATAAATGAACATGTATAAAATAAAAATAAATGACAACAAATAAAAGTATGAATCTGTAAAAGGAAACGACGCAAAAAAAATTATCAGTCCTTTATCTAAATAGATCACAATATCCTCTACGGCTGTTTGAAAACAATTAGCTAACGGCCGCACGACGCTGCATCGTCGAATAATATGTAGGAACGATTTGTTTGAAATTTTTAAGCGATTTCTAATAGGAGAAATACGTATTTTTAATTATTAATAGATAGATAGATAAATAATTTGTTTGCATTATAGCATAGCACACGAAAAAAAAACATACATATAAAAAAAACATAATACATAAAAGAAGTATCATATTTTTTTTCTTTCGTACGTTTGCCATTATCATCGTTATATCAGCTATCCCATACATGGGTTTTGCCAGTAATTGCCACAATTGGCAAGCGGGTTGGCAACTGCGGTAAATCTTTAGTGATATTTTAAAAGGTTACGTTGCTGCCCATTCCTCACATTGTCTGACTCACTGAAACTATCTTTAAAATTTAAAAATTTTTTATTCAGCGGTTTCGGCTGTACGTAAGTCAGGAATTCTATTTTATATATATACATATAAACAGATAATCTACTATGGTGAACAATTAATTTGTCCGTCTGATGGTAAATGGTCACCGCATACCATAAACTATGGCGACACAAAAGCCATCAGTCGCACGTTGTCGACCCACGTTATGATAATTTCGAGTCACAGTACTATTAAATGCACATTTCTATTTCGCCAGCTGCTATGGGGTTTGGCCATAAACATGACTTATACCTCTTTGTGAAATTATGTTTTTTTTTTTTTTATTTACTAATTACAGAATTCAAAGTAAACAAAAAACAAATTCACTTTGACTGAATTTGGACAGATATTTTTAAAGCAAAATGTAAAATATAAAATTTAATTTATTTATTTCTATATTTTGTGGATTGCCAACCCGCCTGCCAAGCGCGACATCTATTGAGAAAACCTTTTCCTATGGGTGGCACATGTTCAACATTAGACAATTGACGTTTGATATAAATGAATGAATGAATTTCTACAATGGACTAATATCGAATACCTGCTATCTACCGTTAACAGTACCGCGACATTATCAAATATGGAAGTAAGAAATAAAGAATTTAGTTCCTTTACCTTACCCTAAATAAAAAAATAAAAAAAAAACTCTTATTTCTATCCTCTATAAAAAGTTATTTGAATAAAATGTAAAATAACGAAACCTGTTTCTTTCCTAATGGAACATAGATAATATCTAAAGAACATTCAGAAAGGTACACAATGGAGTTTTGCAATGTCTTCCTGCCATCTCGACCCACCAATATTGCCACTATAGCCGGGAAACGACCCTGTTGCCGCCACTGCTCCATTTTCTTTCCTTCCTTTATTTATTTTAACGTTAGGTACGTTTTATTTTCAAAGCTTATCTCGTTTGGTCACATCTAATGGAATTCGTAAAAGTGCCCTAATGGAATTTGGAAAAGTGCTTCTTTTACACGAATTTACTAAAATGCACAATATGAAAATGTCTATATTGCTATGGAATCCCAAATTGCAATGTAGATACAAATTAAAAGCGTATAGCAACGTATCTAAATTGTTTTGAGTGACCATTTTCCTATATTTTTGGAAGATTAATGCTCCTATGTTCTTATTACTTTACTTAGGATTATCATTATTATCATGTATTGCATAATTAAAACAGCGAAATTATTTATTTTGATATTAAAAAACTTTGGAAACTTCAAAGCGAAATATAAAGTATAAAATAAAATGACGTAAAATTTATAATCAACAATCATATGAGTAATTCTAACGATTAAGTTCGTTGTGAGAACATTTATTAAAATTTAATATTATCATTAAAAAAATATTAAAAATTGAAAATGGTTATTAAAAATTAATCGATAATATAGATATTTTTAGATTTCCGTATAAAAGTTCTTTATATTATGTTATTAAAACTAATAATTATTTTAAATCAGCAGACCTGACAGACGTCTTTCTATCAGAAGTTATTAGAAATAAATAAAAAAAAATTGGAAATTAAATTTCTTTCCGGGAAAAATTTTCTTCATTATAAGAAGCTTCCCTAGACTTAAACGAATATTGTGAAAATTTAAAAGGCCGACAACGCACAAGCATGCATTCATGGGCGACAGTAGCCGCTTTCCATCAGGTGCACCGTCTGCTTGATTTCCTTCCTAACAGTAAAAAAATAATTAACAGAATTAATCCAACCCTTCTGGAATATTAGCGTTTAGCATTACCAGAGGGAGGCTTTGTACAAAAGTCGTTTGCCTAGGCACCTCTATCCCATTCATGTTTCTACCGTTAAGCAGTTGTGTTTGCACGGCTATGTTTCGTTTGAAAGGTGGGATATGACAGTGAATTTACAGGGTACAGAGGAATAACACCTGAGTCCTCAGAAATGGCAACGCATGGAGGGTATCATGGGCAAAACAGTATACTCTGTTATGTCCATGGTACTGTTCATGTCTATAGGCGACGGTTACCACTTTCCGTTAAATAGACCGTCAGCTTGTTTGCCATTCTAAGTTGCATAAAAAATAGCAAGACATAAACGATTAATTGTTATAAATCATTGCTTACTGCAGTTACTTGTAAAGTAACTGTCTCAAGGGTACATGACGTAACAGACACCAAAAATTGTTACATCATCATTCAGTGATGTTATTTTCGATTCATATTATACCAATTGCGTGACGGAAGGATGTAATTCAGGGAGGGGTCCACCACGAGTATTCACTGTAGGCAACTGCGGGCTGTCTCAACATATTGTCTTTATTATAATCCGAAATGAGTGATAACATACATAGTATATTTTTATTAAACAAACATTTTGTATATAAGCAAGAATCTTCAATTGTTTTTTTTTTTTTTAAAAAACAGCGATCTTAATAATCTTAACACTAGATACAAATACGAACTCTACTGATGGCAAGCGGTCAATTTCGAATTAATTTTGATAATTTTTAAAATAGACAGGATTTGCTACCGTGTTAGTTCAAATAGTTCAAGTGGTTCAAACGTTCCATATTTAACATTATATTAAATAGTTTTTACATACCGATTTTAATTCTGGCGAGGCATGTAATCGCTTGAATATATAAAAAAAAACAATCATCAATATTTATCATAAACCCACGCAAATAATTTTATTTGCGGAACCAAAAGCTGCTTGCTACATAACTTTTTTTTAAATAGATAGGATTTACTTCCGTGTTAGTTCAAATGGTTCAAATGTTCCATATTATATAATTTTTCTTATATTTCATTACATAGTTCACTTGAAGACGAGATGAAATGAAATGAGATTTATTTCGTAAAAACATAACTGTAGTTTCATAAGTCACAGTACAAATATTAATATTAAAATTTTAAATGGGTACAGTAGTTATGGTTTTAGAACTGGGCTCCTAAATAGGTTAATAAAACAACCTGTGTTAAGAGGCCACAGCCCTAACCCCCTTTAGTATTATGGGGAAATATACAAGAAGATTGAAAAATAAACAGAAATTTAAACACAATATCATACACATTGCCAAATATATATACATATATATATATATATATATATATATATATATATATATATATATATATATATATATATATATATATTCCTTACCTGAACAGATATCATTGTTCTGTTTTTTAATGGGTGAAAATAGTATGGTAGCCCCGCCCGCGCTAACGGGATTTGCTCGCGGAGCACCAGTGAAGGGTGATAGATGAGAATGAAAAAAAAATGAAAACAGGCCAGTTAGTCCATCATGATGAATTCATCAGGAATTAACCATGATAAGTTCCAAGGGAAACCGCGAGGAGGTCGACCTGGTTGGGTATATTGCTAGCAATGGGATATCATTGTTCTGTTTACCATTTATATTCTTTATCATGAATTGAAACTCCAAGCATATCTCTATAGCTTCCTGGTGAAGATAGCCTTGTAAAGTCATATTTCGAATCCGTTAATTATTACTGGCAACACATGCTGGTTAAACACTTTCATCTCTATACTTAGAACTGTTGATACTAATGTCAAATCAATGTAAAGTGCTAATGCTGCTGCGAAGCAATGTTTACTGCTATATGTACACAGTAAGCAATGAGATTCTATTCTATTCTGTTCTATTCTCTTCGGACTTTAAGGTATCTAATGTGAAGATATGAATAATGATGGTGATGATATTGATGATATCAGCCGTTATCTATCCACTGCTGAAAGTAGGCCTTCTACTTGGGGAGTTGTGCTAGTAGTTTACCAGAGGGAGACTTTGTACAAAAGTCGTTTGCTTGGGTACCTCTGTCCCATTCGTGTTTCAACCGTAAATCAGTTGTGTTTGCATGGCTGTGTTTTGGTTTGAAGGGTGGGGTATGACGTGATTTTACAGGGTACAGAGGAATAACAACTGAGTCCTCAGGAATGGCAACGCATGGGGGGTATCATGGGCGAAACAGCATACTCTGTTATGTCCATGGTACTGCTCATGTCTATAGGCGACGGTTACCACTTTCAATCAGGTGGGCCGTCAGCTTGTTTGCCATTCTAAGTTGTATAAAAAAAATGTTGCCACACTTGGCACGCGAGTTGGCAACCGCAATTAGATTTTGATGTTTTAAGAGGGACGCAGCTACTTATACCTGAACTATTAAGTTCCTTTAGTCGCCTCTTACGTCACCCACGAGAAAAGAAGGGATGGCCTATTCTATGCTTTGTTAACACGATCTGAACACAAGGCTTGAATATATACAATTTATAATACATGCTATAGTCTCATGAATGAGATAGACCTGACACGTTATTCTTGTTGTAAATCGCACTCGACTTTCATCGAGAGGTCGTCGGCACTATTGATAAACTGTGACGCCAATCGACGCATCCTGTCGTAGCGCACAATTGGTGTGCGCTCGCATGCGAAACGGCACGCCCTCGCCGCATCCTCGCGCGCGCATCTCGCCTAGTACGCGTACACAAATGAAGTCGTTATACGTCATTGAAATTTGAATGAATGTAAACTTTATTAATATAGTAAATTGGGTTGAATTTCATTATTCATTCGAAAAAAAATTTAGTTTTAAATATCCGTTGGATAGGTTTATTGATAGATCATTTAAAATTTGGGATCATTAATTGATAAAAATGATAAATAAAAATGTTATTTTAGCTTATTAGATAGGTACTATATAAATCACAAGAAACAAAAACAATATGGAAGTTAGTCCATAGACAAGAAAAAATACAAATAAAAGTAATTGACAAACAAAAATGGCGCGAAAACCTCATAAACTGTCACTCTCGTGCAGTCCAGTGTACACAATGATCCACGAAATAGACAATTATGATAAAAAATACTTTTTAAAACCTTATCTATAAGTGTAAAAAGCCTAACCAACATGCGATAAAATGGAAAACTTTTTGAAAAAAAAAAAAAACAAATATTACCTATATCTTAATTATAATAGTAGATTTGCGTGGATTTCAGTTTGTGTACTGAATTTACGAACCTAAATTAGATTTCTTGTTTTCTAAATTGTACATTGTGAATTTTGTTTCTGTAAATGGTATTACATTTAGTTATTTTAGCGAAGATATTCTTTTTTTTTTATACAACTTAGAATGGCAAACAAGCTGACGGCCCACCTGATGAAAAGTGGTAACCGTCGCCTATAGACATGAGCAGTACCATGGACATAACAGAGTATACTGTTTCGGCCATGTTACCCCCCATGCGTTGCCATTCCTGAGGACTTAGGTGTTATTCCTCTGTACCCAGTAAATTCACGCCATATCCCACCCTTTAAACCGAAACACAGCCATGCAAACACAACTGCTTCACGGTTGAAACACGAATGGGACAGAGGTACCCAAGCAATCGACTTTTGTACAAAATCTCCCTCTGGTGAATGGTCCCTCTTCCGAGATACAGTATACTTTGTCTAGTTCAGAAGCTTAGACTATATTAGAACATCGAGTCTCAAAAACGGGTCAACTTTTTGTCAGCTAATTATCAAATTAACTGACTCGTTTTTTTTTTTTTATTAATGTTCTATACATTTACGCACATAATGTATCTTGACGTATTTATATTTAATAAATTAATAAATAAAATTAGTTTTTTAATCATTAAAAAGATGCAAAAATTATAAAACAAATAAATATAGAAGATATATAGGAAACACTCATAACTATTTATCACGCAAAATTGTATGAAAATATTGACACACTTTACTGGAAGCATTTGTATGGAGACACTCTTTCTATATAATCTAAATTCAGAAGTTACAAATAATATTGTATGTTAGCTTGTACGTAACATTCAACGTGTTATTTTATATGTTGTAACGAAATGTACAATCACAGTAAATTATTATTTTTAATAAAAAAAAAGCCTACTCAAACAAAAGTTTATTTTAAATTTAAATACAATATTCCCTCTGTTAATAACACACGAGTGGGGTCAACCAACTGTGCAGGATGAGGGCTCCACAGGGGGTCGGCATTAATTGTCATAACGGCTGCACGGTGCTGCTCTAATTTCAGATGTTTGTAATAATTTAAAAACAAAGAATTACATAGAAGGAATGATAAAATAAAAATTGAAAATCGTATAGTTGCCTCCTTTCTTCTTATGCAAATATAATTAGTAAAAATTGGACGAAAGATACACCATCAGTTGCTATTTTTCTCAATTTATAGCAGGCTAGTGTATAGAAAATGTTTGATGTGTCAATTATTTGTCAGTAACAAATTTTATATTACTAAATTATATATTCGACACAGTTTATGTAGAAAGTATGCAAGCAGGTTGTATCTGAAATTGGTAGGGTTATACGGCCGTATAACGTTTTCTATACACTAGCCTGCTATGAATTGAGACAAATAGCAACTGATGGTGTATCTTTCGTACTCTTTTTACTAATTATATTTGCATAAGAAGAAAGGAGGCAACCGTATGATTTACAGTTTTTATTTTATCATTCCTTCTATGTAATTCCTTGTTCTTAGGTAATAATGTAAACATTCTTCTTTGACTATACTTACATTCTTAGTTGACTATACCTATTACGAGAAGGTTTTGCAACTTGCTACATAAAAAATACAGTTTCGATTGGGTTATCAGTATAATCTAAGGTTCTAATTTTTTTTATTTTTGTATTACGTACCCTTATATGTGGCATTTTATAAAATTTGAATAATGTAAAAAGGAAGCGAAGAATATGATATCTGTTGTAAAATTAGTTGACTTTTAATAATATTTAATTTTAAATAAATTATCATCATCATATCAGCCGTTAACTGTCCACTGCTGGACATGGAGTTTTGCCACTAGTTGTCACACTTCGTAGGCAGATTGGTAACCTCAGTTAAGTTTTGGGTGATGTTTTAAGAAGTTTTAATTAAATGACTTCATATAATTCCATATATATTAGAAATCAATTTTAGACTGTTTTTGTATTAAAATCAGAATATCCTTTTATTCCTCTGACATCGAGAATATCTGAACAACACATCTTGAATAAATTCTTTTTTTAATTATTTTGTAATATCTAAATAATATTATTAATATAAATTACTTAAATATTTATTACTTAATTATGCTCAAATGACTAAAATAAACTAAATTTATAACAAAAGTACCTACTAAGATAGCATATCTTGATTTGACATATAAAATACGATTTGTCCTTCTGTTCATTTCCAAAGCACCCTTAATATATACGAGTATCACTCTTATCACAATTTCATCTTTACAGAATCCAAAATAGCTGATTACCATGAGTTCATAAACGAAAAAAAATACTAAAACAATCAAAAATGGACCGTCGTAAGTGGTAAAAATGTGTGTGTCAGTGTCCCCATGGACAATAAAGTCGAAGATATGGTGTGTGGTGACGGTGGTGACCATTGCTGTGCTAGTGGAAGTGGCCAGCCTCAATGGAGCCAACGTATGCATGGTCAAACAGAAGTAAGTTTACTAAACAATTGATTTTAATAATATGGCTTTCAAATCCCATTCATTTTGATGATATGGTCTTAGGAATTTAATTTTTTTGATAGTTTACAGTCTCGAGTTTCTTTTTAATAAACAATATCCTTAAAATGTTGTTCGATGATATAGCTTCGAAAAATGACTAGATTTGGTGATATGTCCTTGAGATGTGATTATATTAGGTAAAATAACCTTTGGATTTTAATTTATTTGATGCTATGACTTTGAACTGTGATCACATTTGATGATATGGCCTTAAATTATGGTTTTATTTAATAATATGGCCTTAAAGGTGATTTTACTTGATAAAAGGGCTTTAATTGTTTTTTTTTTTTGACAATAGTGGTAAACAAACATACATTCCATCTGGTATTAAACGGTCACTGTAGCCTATGGACGCCTGCAACACTATGGATGTCACGTGCGCGTTGCCGACTCTAATCTTACTTTGTAATTATTTTCGCTTACGTTTAAGATGTACACGTGTAGTAATTATAATAAATATACCAATGCACGTGAAGCAAGGCGAATCAGCTAGTATTTTTTAAATTAATAAAATAAAATCAGTTAGTCCACCCCTATGCCTACAATTATCTGTCAAGTTGATGACGGTAGTTGAAATAAAACTTGAGTTGTAACCACACAGTGCATGCTCGTTCTCTCTGGGGTGAAAGTTCATTGTAAATTATGACGATTGCCTTACAAGATAGCGGTCTGGATTACAGTGACTGTTGCAAAGGTTTTGTACAAAGTTGTATTATGTAAAAACGTTAGATAGAAACGTACTGAGGGCCTACCATGAAATGTTTTCTGAAATTTCGAAGCCAAACGAAACACAAATTTGATGTTAAAATTACATAACACACGCCGTTTGAAAATATTAAAAATGTTAAAATATTGTTCCTTTGAACTTTTACGAGAGGATGTATGACGAACGCAATGTTAAACTCCCTTTATTGATCCGATTTTGGTGTAAACAAAAACACGAAATTGAGTCCGAAATTTCGGAATTTGTTTTATGGTAGACGCGCTGGTCTCGATCACTGTATCACTTTGTTAAATAGTACCTTTTGAGCTGTAAATTTTACTATAACCTATTAATTATCCCATTAATTTCTCATTATAGATACAACATAACAAAACGCGTGAAGTACCGCGCGCCGATGTCTGTACGGACCTACGAGTGGTGCTTCAACATGCCACCACGTTGTTCCCGCTGGAGCACAGAGATGAGAGATCTTACCAGGCTCGAGGTTGGCATCCATTTTTTTTTGACTAATATGTCTCTGCATTCAAAGGTTGGCTGGAAGAGATCGCTTTTAGTGATGAATCCGTCCATTGTTTCCTCCATGTTTTTTTTTATACAACTTAGAATGGCAAACAAGCTGACGGCCCACCTGATGGAAAGTGGTAACCGTCGCCTATAGACATGAGCAGTACCATGGACATAATAGAGTGTACTGTTTCGCCCATGATACCCCCCAAGCGTTGCCATTCTTTAGGACTCAGGTGTTATTCCTCTGTACCCTGTACACGCCATATCCCACCCTTCAAACCGAAACAACACAAACATATACAAACACAACTGCTTCACGGTTGAAACACAAATGGGACAGAGGTACCCAAGCAATCGACTTTTGTATAAAGTCTCCTTTTAAGTAAGCTTTTTTTATAATTATTTGTATTTATATTAAATTTACTGCTCTAATCTTTAGGAAGAAATCGTCTTCATCATGATATCAGCCTTTAATTGTCCACTGCTGAACATAAGCCTCTTGTTCGAGGGGTTTTGCCAGTAGTTGCCACGCTTGGCACGCGGATTGGCAACTGCAGTTAGGCTTTGTAGATCTTTTAAGAGGTACGCTGCTGCCCGTCACTCGCCCTCATTAGTCGTCTCTTACGACACCTACGGGAAAGAAAGGAGTGGATCTATGCCGGAACTACGCGGCAAGAAATAAAGAGTTATATACTCTTTATTTCTTTATTTATATATATACCAGTTGACTCGGCAACCGTTGTTTTACCATATACGTTATTTCGAGAATTATACTTGAAAATTTATCCTACTACAATTATTATATTCGATTGTCATCTTGAAACCCTATTGCGGAATATAAAAATCGCGCTTAAAAACAGGGGTTGATCGTAAAAGGGTGAAAATTTGAAGTTGTATGTATTTTTTAAATGCTAAATCATATTTAAATAAAAATAAATAAATTTGTCAAAAAAATTAAAAAAATTTTTAGGGGTGGGTCACCCTTATCATTGAGGGGTATAAAAATAGATGTTGGCCGATTCTCAGACCAGATTTATATATTAGATATATATATATATATATATATATAATATTCATTATTATAGTAAATCGTGAAATTACTTACCGTACTAGGATTATCCTTGAGAAAAACGAGATCAGTTACGAAGTGACTGTCTCTCGTTAATTGTTGCAGTAGCATTCTTGTTGTTTATTTACGATCCATTACTGTAACACGGACTAAACTAACTTAATAATTACATGCACTAAATCACTTGCTATCTCGTTTAAATTTAGAACTTTCATTTTGCAATTCTATTTATGTATCCCCCGTTTCTTTCTTCCGTGTGGTCCCGGCGTAGAATGGGCCACATTTTTCTTTCCCATGAGTATCGTAAGAGGCGACTAAAGAAACTTAATAATCGAGGGATGGACACAAGGATTTCTTGAAACATCAACAAAGCCTAATTGCTATTGCCAACTCGCCTGCCAAGCGTGGCAACTACTAGCAAAATCCTCTCTTATTGGGAGGGCCTATATTCAATAGTGTACAATAAACGGCTGATATGATAATACATACATACATAGATATCTGTCACGCCTGTCTCCCATTAGGGTAGACAGAAACAATGGAACGCCAAATGCGTCGATTCAAACAAACCTCTTTCGCTTCCTCCACATTCATCAATCTTTTCATACACGCTCGCCGGTTACGGGTACTTTAATTTCGCTTTTTATTTTTATTTCTGATATGATAATGAAAGTAAGAAAGAAAAAAAATTATTATTTGCCGCATATCAATAACAATAACAGCTCGAACATAAACAGTTATAAACTTCAAAAAAGGAAATACAAAAATAAATTTACATTCTAATTAGAGAATATGTGACTAAAATGGTCACCACTCAGCTAAGTGTTTAGGCATTCATGGGCGAAACAGTATACTCTGTTATGTCCATGGTACTGTTCATGTCTATAGGCGACGGTTACCACTTTCCATCAGGTGGGCCGTCAGCTTGTTTGCCATTCTAAGTTGTCAAAGATAAGATGTCAAAGATATTGTTTATGTCTATAGGCGATGGTTACCACTTTCCATCAAGGTTATTTTGTTTACCATTCTAAGTTGTATAAAAAAATGTAATTTCAGACAGAAGAACGTGTAGCAGAAGTGGCGATTTGCTGTCCCGGCTACAAAATGCAGGACGTCTCGTGCATCCCGATCTGTCCTAATGGGAAAACCGGACACAAGTGCTCCGAGGGTAATGACAGTGGGCAATATCCGATTTTCCGTATTTACTTAATGTAGATGATTTTAATATGCTCTAGGGGGGGGAGCATTGTTAGCAATGGAGTTTGACAGCCCCATTGCTAGCAATATACCTTATTAGGTCGACCTCCACGTCCCCCTGGAAACCATCGTGAACAATTCTTGTTGAATTTGTCACGATGGGCTAACTGACTTACTTTATCCTCACCTATCATCCTTCACTGGTGCCCCGCGGGTGTATACCGATAGCGCACCATTCCATTATCAACCATTTAAAAAAAAACATGCTCTAGGAGAAAGGAAAGGAATTGTTGGTAAAAAGATCGAACGACTCCATATAGCCTACATACAGCTAGCAATATACCTTATATCGTCGATCAATATATATAATAAAATCGTAATTGGTCGCTGTCTGTACATGGAAGATATGATATGAAAAATTATTATAGTGGGGCTTTTTTTTAATGCATGATTAATGGAATGGTAACCCCGCCTGCGCTAACGGGATACGCTGACGGGGCACCAGTGAGGGATGATAAGTGAATAATGAAAAAAGCAGGTCAGTCAGCCCATCGTAACGAATTCAATGATAAATTAGTCACGATACTTTCCAGGGGGAACCGCGTGGAGGTCGACCTGATACGGTATATTGTTAGCAATGGGAACTAACCTCCTCATTACTAACAATCCCTTCCCCCCTCTCTATAGGGAGGCTTTATAAATGCAATAAAACCCAAAACTAATATCAGATATGACTTAACCGATTTGACTAATGCGGTTTTCACTAATGCGTTGAGGTTTGCTCCAATTTATTTTATTTCAATATGAGGGCCTACCATGAAATGTTTTCCGAAATTTCGGGTCCGAACGAAACACTAATTTGATGTTAAAATTATATGATACATACCGTTTAAAAATATTAAAAATGCTAAAGTACCGTTCCTTCGGACTTTTATGGTAGGATTTATGACAAACGAAATGTTAAGCTCTATTTACTGGCTCGATTTAGGTGCTAACAAAAACACGAAATTGAGTCCGAAACTTCGGAATTTCATTTCATGTATATATAAAAACGTCGATTTAGTTGATAAATCACAATTGTTACATTAACCTCTTCAGAAGAGAAATTATTAAAAAATTTCCAGATTGTCCAATCAACAAATGGGGTCCGAACTGTGTACATGATTGTAAACAGTGTGATCATGGTACGTGCTCTCCTGAGACAGGGCAGTGTGTTTGCAGGGACGGATGGCAAGGTGAGAGGTGGGTTACCACTAACGTGTATTAAGCCTATTTTCAACCGACATTAAAAAGAAGGAAGTCCTCAATTCAGTTGTGTTTTTTAACCAATTTCCAAAATTACATTTTTATCCGAAAGGATATGTTTATAGATTGGTTCCATAGAAATTTAATCAATATCGGTTCAGTAGTTTAGATTTTAAATGAAAATAACTTTTGCCACAATTGAAGTAATTTTTTTTTTGTAGAAACCATATCAATTGGACTCTTTCGTCTCTCTCGAATTATACTTTTGTTTTTATATCTGACAGTGTAAATTTTTTTCTTTATCTGTGGAGAGCAAATTAAATTAAGTATGGGAGATCTTAAACGATACTACTTAACGAGAGATCTTTGGTATCAGTCTAATTCAATTTAAGATTTAGTGATAATTCACTACGTTGGTTTTTACCAGAGGGAGACTTTGTATAAAAGTCGATTGCTTGGGTACCTTTGTCCCATTCGTGTTTCAACCGTGTAGCAGTTGTATTTGCATAGCTGTGTTTCGGTTTGAAGGGTAGGATATGGCCCGAATTTACAGGGTACAGAGGAATAACATTTGAGTCCTCAGGAATGGCAATGCATGGGGGGTATCATGGGCGAAACAGTATACTCTGTTATGTCCATGGTACTGCTCATGTCTATAGTCGACGGTTACCACTTTCCATCAGGTGGGCCGTCAGCTTGTTTGCCATTCTAAGTTGTATAAAAAAAAGTTGACTGACACCAAAAATTGTCTCGATTTTAAGTAAGTAATAGTTATATTCGACCAATGTAGTACAATGTCTGAACAAATGTTATTAATTAATCTGAAATGTAGCTGCTCTTTCTGCCATGTTGCTATGGTTCCGATTATACTCATCTAAATATGAGCAAATCGAATACCTAATTATATTCAATACACAAGCAAAAACACAAAAAAAATCTTAATAATATTATTTCTTTTATTTATACATATGTATGTGTTATTGTACTTATGTTTCCCTTAGTAAACGTATTGATAGACTATCAATCTCATCCTATTGATGAAATAAATAAATAAATAAGTCTTAATATGGCTTTATATAACGCATCAGCAAAATTAAACTTCCTATATTTCCAATATTTTTACTTGTGTTTACAAAATTTTATCTATGTGAATTCTTTTCTTAAAATAACTGTACGTATATACGTATTTATTAATTAATAATTTATTCACTCATTAATTTTATGTTACAGATGTCAAATCAGCATGTCCACCACAGCTGCAACCCCCGTGATGAAAGAATTACTAACAACAATAAAAACAACTATTCAAACAATTCCATCTACTACTAAATCAACTATTACAACTGTCGGTTTAGCGCCTGACACAACGACTGTGGCAATAAGGCCTACAACCTCAATTATTGTTACTACTTTAACAGTGAAAAATACATCGCCTTTTACTTCTACCACTGAAACAATAACGACAAATGTTACGCCAGTTCTAACTACAAAATGGGAAACTGCACACAACAATAATACTCTGGATTATTCGCATAAAACTACAAAACCAGTTACAACGGAGGTAACAAAACGATTCCTGGCTGATAATTCAGTTTACAACAGAACAGAGTCGACTACTAAAATAACTAAAAGCAATATTACTTACGAAACAACATCAACAGTGCGATTATTGAAAACACTTCCTACTTTACAGACTACCAGTTCACCTATAAAACCATTATCGTCTGCTACACCTAAAACAAACGTTATATTATCAAACAAGGAAACCAAAGTAAATGTCGATACCACGAGAAAACCTGATACAACATTAAGAGTGCAACCAACTACATTAAAATTTAAACCGAAAGAAATATGGATAAGACCAGCACAGAAAGGTGAATCTCCTATATTAGAAATAAAATCGAATGCCAATCATGATCATGTGAAACACAAACACATAACAAAGAAAGAACTTGAAAGTACAACGCCAAAAACTATTATTGTTTCTATAATACCTACATCGGTTTCATATGCAACTTTTAAGAAAATAGCATTAGCCACAGTACCTTACATGGCTCAAAAAAATAGTACTACTGCGAAATCACATAGACATGCAGTGGAAGGGTTCACAAACTCTATGTCAGTTCAAACGTCTACATCCATTCCTTCCATCAATAAGTTGAATACATTATCGCTAAAGCAAATTAGTTTGTCCACAACTACAAACCTTTCATATCGAAATGTGACTAAATCCGCACCAACTACATTAGCTCCCACAAAAAGGACTGCAAAAGAACTCGGTGTAAAAAGTAAAACTAACAGCATGTCAAGCACGTTCTCTGTTAATCTTAACTCTCCTATTTCTCTAACAACGATCTCTTCGATTAACACCAAACCAACAACTAAACATCGTGATGTGATAACGACAAAATCATCAAAAATGGCTTTAAAGACTACCACGAAATCGGACGTAAATCAACAAACAGAAAGTATGCAAATAAATAAGACTGAAACATTTAATAAAAAAGAATTAAGTAGCCCGAAAGCAGAATATCCGAAAGAAAGAAAAAAATTTATAAAAAACGCACCCGGAATGAGTAACAGTACTAAACTGAATGTTTCGAATGTTTCTAACACTAAAACTAATACAGTAACCGATCAACCAAAAGAAGATGAAGAAGTATTTCATATTTTGACAGAGCCGGAGCATATTACTGCGGTAATGGGTGAGAAAGGGACAGATAGAACGTCAGTTGATCTCGTTTCGGTGATAAGCATCGCTGGAGGAGTGATGATGGCAATCATTACAGTAGCAGTAATTGTAGTGATGATAGAAAGATGTAAGCGGCCTAGATATGAGGATGTACGTAAATTAAATGATATCAGAATGCAAGTCATGATCGATAACAATGACGTCCCTCCACCTTATGTACGAAGTATCTTCCATACGCCTTTACCAGGTAAAAAAAAATTAAATTCAAATTATCTTTATTCAAATAGAGTTGTTAACGAGTTGTAAATCATCACATTTTTATGAATGTAGGGTTTGGAAAGTCATTATCTGCTAAGAAGAACCCGCAAGAAAGTCAACAATTACTTTTTTAAATATCTGAGGGTCTATCATGAAATGTTTTTCGAAAATTCGGAGCCAAACGAAACACAAATTTGATGTTAAAATTACATAATACATGCCGTTTAGAAATATTAAAAATGTTAAAATATTGTTCCTTTGGAATTTTATGATAGGATGTATGACGAACGAAATGTTAAACTCCATTTATTGATCAGATTTTGGTATAAACATAAACTCGAAATTGAGTCCGAAATTTCGGAATTTCATTTCATGGTAGACGCGCTGATAACATAGTCGTTAATATGTATTAACTTTTAATCTTTATACTCTGTTAACATAAAATATAGTGTACTGATATTTCAAATAAAATAACATCGGCCTGTTAGCTCAGTTGGTTAGAGCGCCGTGCTAATAACGCGGAGGTCATGAGTTCGATCCTCTCATGGGCCACACTGTCTTTTTGCACATTTTCATAGTTTTTTTCTTTTTTTTTCTCTTTTTCAGATCCACCAACTTCAGAAAAATGTCATTATCAACCAATATCGACATTAGATCGAAACTTAAAACAATTTATGAGGCCTGTTGTAGTACAAACAATTTCACCAATCATGCTAGAAAACTTCAGAGGTATTTTCAAACCGCATATTTATTTTTTATAAAAGAGACTTTTATAATTCATAAATAATATTTATTTATTTTTATCTTTTAGGTATTCTAGAATGTCATTATGACCATTTACCACGAAGAGACCACGATTTCGGAACTATGCCCGTTCGCGGTACAGCGACATCTGTTAACTATAGCAATGAACTTCGAGCACAACGCGCTTACTCTGTAACCGAGTCTACCATAGAAGCATTGAAATGCGAAGCTAAATTAGATGTTATTGATACTACAACTGCTGAACCTCTTTATGCTGAAATTCCTTGTTGGAGGCCGCCTTCGGAGCATGCTATCGAAGTAATAAACACAAATGGCGAAGCTGTTACCGAATTATGACTGCGTAAATTTTAATATCTTGTATAAGTAATAGATGGCGCTATAACTCAAAATGAATGTTTTCTAATAAGTAATGTAATGTGAATGTTATTACTTAGAACATAATTAGAAATATTATTAAATCAAAGACTTTGTGAAGTGACTCATATTTGTGTGGATAATGTTAACAATGTTTTATTAGTAAGTTCCAAGACTATGTACCTAAATAAATAATAATTAAGTAATATTTCGCTTTATTTTCATTAAAATATATCTCAAGAACTTAAGTATTTATTAGTAATTCAGGTACAGTAGGTCCAATTTTATCACCAACTATTGAGGTCAAGGTAGCAAAATTAAACGAAATAATTCTAATCAACTAACCAGTGATATGGATTTCCACAAACACTTAGCTCAGTAAACTATGTATAAGTAAGTACTCAGATTTTTTTTTATACAACTTAGTATGGCAAACAAGCTGACGGCCCACCTGATGGAAAGTGGTAACCGTCGCCTATAGACATGAGCAGTACCATGGACATAACAGAGTATACTGTTTCGCCCATGATACCCCCATGCGTTGCCATTCCTGAGGACTCAGATGTTATTGCTCTGTACCCAGTAAAGTCACGCCATATCCCACCCTTCAAACGGAAACACAGCCATGCAAACACAACTGCTTCACGGTAGAAATACCAATTGAATATCTATCTCTAATGTTAATACAACATTACTTGACCGTTTATTTTTATATTGCCTACAAACACGTCATCCATAGACCAAGAATAGTAAGTCCCACAGTACGTCACATCACCATTATCTCTGACCTTGCCCTTTTCCATATTTGGAGTTGGCGCTATAAGCTAAGGCTCTGTTTTGATAGAACTCATGGAAAATGTAACAATCGAATGCTTGACCCGATCGTAAAACAGTCTGCTGGTATTCAGTAATATGTACATATATGAATAATTAAAGAATAATAATTAAATAATTAATTAAATAATTTAAATAAATAATTGATTTGTGTTCCACAAAAAAATAGACCTCAATTATGACACCCAGTTATTTCGATTTAAAAACTATACTATATTAGTATCTCAATTATCCAAACATCGATTATCCGAATATTCGATTATCATTCCTCATAAATCCTATCACAATCGTTGAAAGGAAAAGATTTTTTTTTTAATTTTTAATATTCATAGACAGTATGTATTATGTAATTTTAACATCAAATTTGTGTTTCGTTCGGTCTTAAAATTTCGAAAATATTTTATGGTAGGCCTTTTGTTTTCATCCTCACCTATCATCTCTCATTAGACCTTAAAATAACATTACATACAGTAACGACCTCAAATGCATTGCAGGGAGTCAGTAGATACAGTTGGCTCAGAACCGTTACTTATGGCAGTCTATGGGAGAGGGGGGAAAGGGATTGTTAGTAATGAGATTTAACAACCTCATTGCTAGCAATATACCTTATCAAGTTGAGCTTCACGCGGTTCCCTCTGGAAATAATAATGGTTAATTCTTGTTCAATTGATCATTATGGGCCAACTGACCTGCTATCATTCTCATCTGTCACCCTTCACTGGTGCCCCGTCACCGTATACCGATAGCGCAGACGAGGTTACCTTACCATGCCATCTTCACCCATAAAAAACGTCAATGGAAGAAGGCTATATTCAGCAGTGAACAAAAAATGTCTGATATGAGGCATCAAATTTGCAAATACAAACCCAAGCTGCTATGTAAATCTTATTGTATTATAATTAAAAGATTTTTTCTTAGCCTCATGATCTCATTACCTATAAGTAATAACGAGTAAACATGTCTAAAAATGTTCACTGATACATGATAATAATATAAATGTTACATACCAAGTGCCTGACATACATAACGAGATATAATTAAGTATACCGACTATTGCAGAGCGGTGGACTGTGATGAAGTAAGTGAAAAAGATAAGTGATGAAAACACGTATTCTAGCAGAGAATATATATTATATAGCAAACAAGCAAGAAATTATAAATTAAAACATTCTAAAAGTGGACATTTAAAGCTGACATGATGATGATGATGCCCCATGTGATCACGACATAGAATAGGCCATCCCTTCCTTTTCCGTTGGTTTCGTAAGAGGCGACTAAGGAAGGCAAGCGATGAAAAGCAATATCGCTCTCAGCACATTTCCAAAGCCTAACTGCGGTTGCCAATTTGCCTGCCAAGCCTGGCAAAACTCCCACTAGGGGGAAGCTTAGTTCAGCAGTGGACAATCACAGGCTGGTATGATGATGATGATGATGATGATGCTGTTATGCCTTTGTATTCTGTAATTTCACTGCTACATATTACTCTTTAAACCGAAACACAGCCATGTAAGCAAAACAAAATAAAAACAGTTTAATTTCTTGACACTTATTTTTAGTTATAACTTTTTGCTGGCAGGAATATGTTCTATACGAATTTATAATTTTAAGTTTTTTTTTTTTATAAAAACATTATTTACTATAATATTTTCCCTACTGGGTCTCATATGTGTTATATACTTACTGCAACGACAAATTTGTGAAAATATTTAATGTATTTATAAAAAAAAAAGTATATAAAGGATAGCAAGCTTTTTTAAGATAAACAGAGATCACATATTTATTTATTTAAACTTGAATGCGCAGTGAAACTATGTACATATGGCGGGCTTAACGCCGGACGGTGTTCTCTACCAATCAACCATTGGACAAACCGAAAAATAAATAGGCGGAGCATTATTAAATTGAAAGAATATAAAAAGTAATACTTAATATATTATAAACATATAAATAGACTAATATATCATTATTTACTTATATATACTATATATAATATACCTATGCACAATTTGTTTACAAACTACTTGATGATAAACTTTCAATCAAAATATGCAAAACAGAGTCAAATTATCTCACCGATTCCGATTATATGACGGCATATGAACTTACTGGAATTAGGGACCCGCTCGCGTGTTCACGGAACCATTGCGCTATGAGATCATTGAGGAAAACAACTGAGACAAATGTGTGAGAAAAAAATAATGTCCTTTAACTATACCTAGCTGTATATATATCGTGACCTTGCCGCAAATATAAACATTATGAATCAGATAATATAATGATTTATTCATAAATAACACGTAATTCATCAGAGCAGTATGTTGTAGTTGTATTATATTTAGCGATGTTCCTCTGTTTTACATGGATTAAATTAGTATATACCGTACATTAGTTATTTATTTCCGGAAAAAGGTACCAAAATCCGTAAATCCGTTACATGAACATTGTACATACATACAAGAACTTAATTTCATAATATTTAATTAATAATACTAATATAATATTATATTGTCTGTGTTAATAATAAGAAAGTGTACGTGTGGTCCCGGCATAGAACAGCCCTTCCCTTCCTTTCCCGTGGGTGTCATAAGAGGCGACTAAGTGAGGGCGAGTGATGGGCAGCAGCGTCTCTCTTAAAATATCTCCAAAGCCTGACTGCGGTTGCCAATCTGCCTGCCAAGCGTGGGAACTACTAGCAAAATCCCCCCAAGGCTTATGTTTAACAGTGGATAGTTAAAGGCTGATAGTCATTAGTCATTTATTCAAAAAACAATGTACATTGTATCTGAAATAAGAGATGATGATATGATGATGAAAATTGTAACTAAACGATGTGTAAATAGAAGATATTTAAGAAATAATTATATCAGAAGTCTTAATAAAACACAGAAGTCAAAATAAATATTTTTAAAATATTGTCTATCTGTATGTATTTTGTTCCACTGTTACTCGAAAACTACTACGCCAAACTGGATACGGTTTTGACAGTTATATTCCTGCAGGTATAATTTAAAATCTGATATATGTTTTATGTTAAAACACCATTAAGAAGGAACTTTCCTTCATTGGTTTTTCTACTTCTGAAATCCACGCGTGCGAAGTAACGGGCAAATAGCTAGTAACTATTATTTTTATACATTATATTATTAACAGAACCCCACCACATTATTTAAATTCTACACATCTAACTAAGCTAACTAAGTGATCTCACAGAAACCAGTTGCCAGTACAAAGAGGAACGTTACGCGAAATAGTCACTCGGTAAGTAATGTACGATTAAATTTAAAATTACTATTAAATTAATTATAAATTATTATTAATAATAAGGTATTCTAATTATTAATTAATTAATTTATATAAATATAAATTATAATAAAATTTATTACTTATATTGTATAAAATAATTCGTGAATCATTAAGCATTAAGGCTCTCTCCCCAATTGTTACTTGTTACACCCAAGAGGGTCCATAGTGCTCGCTATGAGCAGACACCTACTGCTTACATTATAGAATGCAAATATACAAAAACCATACAAACATATTCAACGTTTATTATCATGCAAGTGTCATCTTATTGGCCTAAGACCCTGTCTAGATAAAGTGACCATGTACGAGTGAGTTATACCTACTTGATTGTTACTTACTTATTTCTGTTGATATATTGGGTCCGATGCGGAAGTGAATTATTTATTTTCATTTATTTATTCTGTTGCTGGTGAGTGTTGACTAAAATATAATTACAAGGTAATAATAAAATTATTATTAAATTAAACTTTAAATAAATATTAATAATATAAAGTATTAATTATTATAATTTATATAATAATTTATTGTATTCTATTTTTTTATGTTATATAATATATAATAGCAAATAATCAATAATAAATAATTAAAAAAAAAGGGACTGTAGATTTTATCCTATTAAAATAATATTAAGTTTAATGGAATTATAATTATATTGACTTGTAATTAAATAAAGATTGTGTCTCACAAAAAAGTCATCAGTTGTGAAAAAGTTCCAGTTATTTTAATTTAAAAACTAAACTACAAAACCGATTTTCATAAAATTCCTTCTTATTTGTAAGTAAATTTTTAAAATAATAAAAAAAATAGTTTTCCTAATCCATATATAACTGACGGAGTTATGAAGTAACAAATATTAAAAAAAAATACAACTGAACTGAGAACCTTCTTTTTTTGAAATGGATTGATAATATTAATTTTTGACCTTGATGGTGACGGTTAAACCTCCCAAGGGTGCAGATTCACCCCGTTCTTTGTATTAGACATTCGACTTTTTTTATCATTCCATCTGCATTTAATGATCAAAATTAATAAGAAAAATAGTTTTAAATTATAAACTTAACTAATTCAGGCCTCCTTCTAATTTTTCTATCCATCTATTTCTTTTTTTTTTATCATATGAAAGTATGACAAACAAGCATTTGGCTTACCTGATGGTAAGTTTTCACCACAACTCATAGATGTTTGCACATTGCATTTGTAATAAAATAATTTATACTCAATTTCAGATCAAAATGCGTATATTTCTATTACTGGGCGCACTCCTCGTAGGATGCGCACGCGCAGACTCTGACGTGCAGTACGTGAAGGGCGTAAAAGGTGGCTACGGCAGCCGTTACCAGTACAAAGGCGACACAAACTATTTAAGGTGAGTAACATCCTCAAATTCAAATTCAAAATATCTATTCATTCTCCACAATACTACATATATCTGTCACGCCTGTCTCCCATTAGGGTAGGCAGAAACAATGGAACGCCAAATGCTTCGATTCAAACAAACCTCCTTCGCCTCTTCCACATTCATCAATCCCTTCATACACGCTCGCCGGTTACGGATACTTTTAATTTGGCCCTTCTTCAGCACGTCGCCTATTTGGTCGACATACGTCCATCTACCGGCGGTCCGTACCGACATCTCCATTCATTCTTGCTCGATAAATCTCTTTCGTAATTCTTCTTTCATCCATCCTCTCCAAATGACCAAACCAACACAACATTCCTTTTTCGACATTCCTTTTTCCACAATACTGTATGAACAAACATATTTAACTAGTTGTCTAGAAGAGATTGCTTAGCGACAAGGCCGCCTTTTGTATCACTTCTCATTAATATTTATTTTTCTTTTTACTTGATGCAATAAAGTGTACAATAAAAAAATAAATATTTACTTAAGAATACTCAGTGTAACGTATTGTGGAGACTGATGGTTGAACTAGGAAAACCTATGCTACAGCCACCAGGCACCATCCCCAGACAAATAAGTAATATGTTTTGTTCTAGATTAAGTAATCGGACAGATATGTAATATCAAAAATTTGTTTTTGATCAATGTATTTGACGATAATTAATCAAATTGTTTGAATTCTTAACCGACTTCAAATAAGATTGTATTCTATAATAAACTGTCTTCAATTGTGATAAAACCAGTTATTTTGTGTTTCAAAATTAAACTACAGAACCAATTTTGATTAAATTTCTATGGAATGGATTAAATTTGTAAGTGTGTTCTTTTAGACAGAAAAAGAATTCTCTAATTCCGTTTACAATTGACGAAATTATGAGGTAACAAACAAAAAACCCCGTATTTTTTATTCTACTTATAATCGCAAACAAGCTGACGGCCCACCTGATGGAAAGTGGTAACCATCACCTAGTGACTTGAGCAGTACCATGGACATAACAGAGTATACTGTTTCGCCCATGATACCCTCCATGCGTTGCCATTCCTGGGGACTCAAGTGTTATTCCTCCATACCCTGTAAATTCACTGCTATATCCCACCCTTCAAAACGAAACACAGCCATGCAAACACAACTGCTTCACGGTTGAAACACGAATGGGACATAGGTGTCTAAGCAAACTAAAATAATATAAATTAAATATGGTATAAAATAATTTCAGATTTTACAACAATACACAAGTGAATACCACAAGACACGACCCGGCGGAAGACGTCGGCGTTTGCTATGTTGAAGTTCCGTAAGTATTTTCAATTTGTTTTTATCCCCGACTTCATCCGCTTACCATACCATATTATCACCACCATCAGTCATTAACTGTCCACTGCTGAACACAGGTTTGAATACAGGCGGAATGGCAACTGTAGTTAGATTTTTAGAGATGTTTTAAGAGGGACGCTGCTACTCATCCCTCGACTATTAAGTTTCCTTAGTTGCCTCTTATGACGTCTGCGGGAGAGATGGAGGTGGCACATTCTATGACGGGACCACACAGCTATCCTTTGCACCATACCTGTTAACACTGATACATGCGTAGACAATGGCGGACCGGCATAAACGTAGTGGGTAGGCCGTGTAAATTATTACAACGGAACGGTCACCATACTACCCTGCAAATTTTATATTAATCGCTCGGTTGAGACGCCCTCTGTGTGACACTACACTTGACTACTACAAGACTGTCTTATTGTTTCGCTGTAAATCTATGGTAATATATCTATTTTAAAGTAAAATGGAAACTATTAAATATATATTAGGACTATTACTGCACCAACCGGAGTATTTATTACTATTGTATCTAACACTACCCATATAGGGATATACCATTCACGATACATGGGTTTAATGGGAAGAAATTGGAATAGTAACTGGGTCCGCGATATACAAGTACGAGGTCTGTCCGGAAAGTTCGTATAAAAGTGTTCTGGAATGCGAGAAAGAGGAGTGGGGAGGCCAGGTAAGCGCAGGACCCCTTCCTTATGTCCCTAACAATGCTTCAGTTCTGGTCTGACCGCCGTGCGGTGCGAATGGCTTGTCACGCCATCTGTGAAGTTACCTCTTAACGAAACCCCGTCGGCATGGAGCCCGCTTCCGTTGAAGAGCAGCGCGTCGTAATCAAGTTTCTCTCGAAACTCGGCAAGAATGGCCGTGAAAGCAAAGAGTGGAAGACATCCGGGGAACCACGAACAAAAAAATCAAGAAAATCCCGCTCAAATGTCAAGACAATGTTGATTGTTTTTTTCGATGTTCGGGGGATTGTCCATCAAGAATTCGTCCCTCCAGGCCAGACAGTTGATGGAAAATTCTACGTCGATGTGCTCAGACGCCTCAAAGCTCGTGTGGCACGAGTTCGTCCAGAATTGGCGCGAGAGGGGCGTTGGATTCTTCACCACGACAATGCCCCTGCCCACACCTCTCTTGTTGTCCGTGAGTTTTTGATATACGGTGACCGAACACCCCCCCTATTCGCCGGATTTGGCCCCGTGTGACTTCTTCTTGTTCCCAAAAACCAAATTGGTACTTCGGGGGCGGCATTTGGGGGACATAAATGAGATAAAAAAAGTTACGACGGGGCAGCTGAGAAACCTACAACCAGAGGACTTTCAAGGAGCCTTCTCACAGTGGAAACGGCGTTGGCACAAGTGCATTATGTCACAGGGGGAGTATTTTGAAGGGGATAAAATTGATTTACCTGAATAATTGTAAAATAAAATTTTTAAAAAACTTTTATACGTACTTTCCGGACAAACCTCGTATTGTAAGAAATGTGTTCTTATTTTTGACGAGGTATACTTTTGGCTCGTAGTAAATGGTCATATATTATTTTGTTTATTCATTTAATTGACTAGGTGATCTTTACAGTTTTTCAATATACATACATTACATAATTCATTGCGTACAGTCAAATTATTTATAATTACTCTTCTCCATCCAAATGTTGCCTGGAAGAGATCGCTCTTAGCGATAATATTTTCTTATAATTGTTTGTATTTATAATAAGTTTACTATAGTAATCTTATGGAGGAAACAATAAAGAGTATCTGTCTATCTACTTATAAATTATTAACAATCCCGGCCCCCATAACCTTTCATCATGACACCAAGTAAGTTAAGTAATTAGTAAGTTTTTTTTTTTTTTTGTTTTTTACAGAACAATAAACTTAGTGTCTGATCCCTCTCATGTACCAGCTGGAAATGGGGTAAGATGTTACATACTCTCAATACTTACTAATAAAAATTACAATAATTATAATGTGGGTGATGACCCACTATATATAAAATGTCTAATTCATCAATCAGAGATCTCAAGACTATAATTTCCGATAAAATCATCGGAAATTATAGTCTTGAAAATATTTATTTTTTTATCTACATTGTATGGCTAATCACAATTGGAACTCATAATCGAATCAGTTTCATTGACTTGGAAGATTATCAGCCTTAAGTCTTTAAGATTGGGGATTTAAAGATTTTCCTTTACATTAAATCGAATGTCCATAATATCAAAATATATAAAATGTCTGTAACTGTACTTTATTCCTTTCCAGTCTCGGCCAGAACTCAGTCGAATTAGAACCTGTTGTAAAGGCTACATCAGGAATGCACACAACTATATGCTATGCGAGCCGGTGTGCACAAATGAATGCGTCAATGCACTGTGCGTAGCGCCAGACACCTGCAAATGTTTCCCTGACCATGTAAAGAACTTGGCTGGAGTCTGTGTAGCCACCTGTCCAATTGGTTGTCAAAACGGCCATTGTGCTGGAGGAGAGTGCATCTGCAATGATGGCTTCAAATTAGATCCTGACAGCAAATTTTGCATACCTAGTTGTAGAGAAAACTGTGGTGGATTAGGTTCGTACTTTGTCAAAGTTTTGATAAAATAAATCTGTGTAACTTTTTTTATAAAATTTTACTTAGCTGACGATCTATCTGATATGATGTGATTACCTATAAATATCAATAGTATTCTGGATTCTGTGGTATCCTTCATGAACTGCCGTTTTTGAGAACTATAGTGTTATTACTTTATATGAGTACACTTTAATTATGCTATCATAATCTTTACTTGATACTAAAATACAGCTATTTACCAGTTTTTTAGAAGCCGAAACCCCGAGGCTTATATCTATCCAATTTAATCTGTATTACTTAAATAAATCACGTGATTTAAATATCTCAAAAAAATACTGTAAATAATCATTTACATAATTACCTAGAACGCCAAATTAATCTCTGTATAGAACGCTTCACCAGACAATGAACCGTTACGTTTATATCTATTGACTAATGGAATTACAATTTGTAGGCAACTGTACAGCACCAAATACCTGCGAGTGTAAAACCGGCTACAAGTCTACACATGAAGGCTCTTGCCGAGCTGTCTGCGATCGCTGTGAAAACGGCGATTGTGTAGCTCCGAATGACTGCCGTTGCCGATCTGGATACGCCAAAGACCAACAAGGCAAATGTGTTCCTCAATGCAATCCGTAAGTAACTGTCTCTTTACGAAATATCAATAATGACTAAAGAAGCACTCATCATGGTTTTTTCTGTTTATAGGGCCTGTAGTTCTGGAAGCTGTGTTGCGCCTAATACCTGCTCGCGCCGTTCAAACACTGACGATGATTCACACCTTCACGTTACGCCTATTAGGGTCAGGCCCTTATATCCTCTAAATCAAATCCAAAATGGCTCAGCCCCATATCCATATAATCAAACTGACAACCACCAATATCATCAGGGCCAATACTCCCAAACAGACTATGGAAGAGGGGATGTAGAAACATATAATTCCAGATATCCAACTAACCAAAGACCAGGTCAATACTCTGATTACCAACACAGTACAATACAACAATCTTCAAATGATTCTCAATATTATTCCAACCATGGTACATTTTATAGTTCACAGTATCCATCACAAGGCCCTAATTCTCTTACCACATATGGCAGGTACAACAATTCAGATAGTCAAGCAGTCAATGGAAGTAACGAATTTCAATATTCTTCAAACCAATACTCTAATCCGAATAACCAATTTCCCAACAGCCAGAATCCCAACAATCAGTACCCCAATAATCAGTATCCCAACAGCCAGAATCCCAACAATCAGTATCCCAATAATCAGTATCCCAACTATCAATACCCCAACAACCAGTATCCCAATAACCAATATCCCAACAATCAATACCCGAATAACGAATACCCAAATAATCGGTATCCAAACAACCAATACCCAAATAGCCAACACTCAAATAACCCAAATCCAAACCAACAAAGACACACTTATCCAGCATCGTCTCCGAGATACGGGTCAAATCATCCGTCAAATCAGGATACAACCACTGAACAATACCCCCAAAGCGTGTCAGAAGGATACAATCCGGATAGACAACGCCCTTCTAACAATTCCTCCCATCCCAACCAAAGATCTGATAATCCGCAGCATCCAGACAATCGTCCTTCACAAGGTAGACCATATTATCCAAATTCTAACCAAGGACCCTATCCAGGATATGGTTACCCTGAAGAATCTTACAGTCCCTCTAATCCAACGCGTGACCGTAATAACCGTCCATTTAATTCCTTCAACCAAGTGGGGTCTGATCACAACCGAGCCCGGAACGGCTCCCAGGATGTAAACCATGGATCGTTCCATCAATCGAACCAATATGAAGATCAACAGAATGCTGAATACGTGCCAGTATGCTCAAGACCTTGTATCAACAGCCACTGCGTAGAAGGAAATGAATGTAGATGCAACCCTGGATACATTCCAGATAGAAGTGATCCTAGCAGGTGACTTTTTTTTTTTATAATACAAGTATCACTAGGTAATCTTTATTAATCTATATATCTATTATAAAGAGGTAAAGTTTGTGAGTTTGGATGTTCGGGGTAATCTCCGGTACTACTGATCCGATTTTGGAAATTCTTTCACTGTTATGAAGGTATATTACCCCTGAGTGTAATAGATTACTTTTTATTTTGATAAATATATATTTTTCAATAATTAATCACAATAAATGTAATCGAAGCCGACGAAAATTCTATAATATTGCGTCCACTGCTAGAACGATTCGTAATAAAAGAATAAAATCCATATCAAAAATATTAAAAGATGTTTTTTATGTTTTATATATATATATATATATATATATATATATATATATATATATATATATATATATATATATATATATATATATATATATATATATATATATATATATATATATATATACAATATTTGGATACAAGTTTCACTTGTACGAGAATTTTATATCTCGTGTCACGGTGTTTGTTACCAAACTCCTCCGAAACGGCTTTACCGATTTTTATTAAATTTTGTGTGCATATTGGGTAGGTCTGAGAATCGACCAACATCTATTTTTCATACCCCTCAATGATAAGGGTGACCCACCTCTAAATATATTTTATTTTTTTAACAATTTTTTTTATTTTATTATGACTTAGCATTGAAAAATACATACAAATTCAAATTTTCACGCTTTTAAGATCAATCCCTGTTATTTTATATGCCGCAATAGATTTACAAGATAGCAATCGAATATAATAATTGTAGTAGGATAAATTTTCATGTATAGTTCTCGAAATAATGTAGATATATGGTAAAACAACGTTTGCCGAGTCAGCTAGTATTTGTATAAAATCTCCATAGGGGTTTTTTTATGGAATCAATTCAAAAAATGTCACTTTAATACACTTGTGTTGTTTCCAGGTGCTTGCCAAACTGTCCAGGTGGATGTCCCAATGGTGTCTGCTCGGCTCCACATCTGTGCCTCTGCAAAGTTGGCTACTACAAAGACACCAGCGTGAAAGGCCGACAAATCTGTATTAAACAAATCAGATGAACTGTTTTTTTTTTCATCTTTAAATGTACTGAGTATTTGATTAAGTCATATTTTATTTCAATACCACTACATACGTACATACATATCTGTCTGTCGGTTTAAATATCACTGATGTTCCTAATTATAACTTCAAATACAATAGAATATAATATTATGTCTTATTAACCACTGAATTACGTCAGTCATCGATGATTCAAAATGTTCTTAATATAAAATCCATTATTTCATACAAAACCATTTTGTTATCGCATTAAAAATTAATTAACTTATTAATTTAAAGTTACATTAAATTCTTAAATTTATTTAAAACACTGTTTAAACAAAACTCTGTTTAATTGGTTAAACATTGTTTAGTCATAATAACTTGAAATTTTATGCATCAAAATCTATAGAGTCTTATAATAATATTTATTACTTTAAACAAGTTTATTTTTTAATAGGACAGACTTTATTTTGTTTATACAAAAACACATTAAACATTTATTTATAATTACCTGATTATGACAAATTTAACTATTTTGTGATAAGACAAATATATACTTAGTTTATGAATATAATATTTTTTTATAATACATTATAATAAAAGAATTTAAATTTAATATATATTTTTTTGTGTTCCTTTTATGCTAACCTCCTAAACATGCAGCAAATTCTAACTCAACCTCACTAATATAATAAAATTATAATCAGACACGCAAGATATTTAAGAAAAAATTAATATGAGGGGTCTTAATAAAAGCAATAGAAGCAAAAATAGTAATTTTTAGACATTTCGTCTTTCGTGTTTATGTATATGTTTTTCCCAGCATCACGCAAAACGACTGCACCAAATTGGATGCGGTTTTCACAATTGTAATTTGAAGATCTAACTTAAAAACTGGTACATGTTTTATCTTAAGGAAATATACTTATAAATTGGTCCCATAAAAGTTTTATTAAGATAGGTTCAGTTATTTAGTTTTTAAACCAAAATAACTTAATTGAAGTAGGTTTTCTTTTGTAGGACACAATCTTTAATTATTCATTTAAATTCTATTGAAACACTGTTGAAGATTGCAATTATTTATTCTTTATTTTTTAAAATCCATTTATTTCTTATTTAAATGTCACTGATCTTCTTTCGTTTTTCCATATGAATATATAAAATTTTATGGTCATAACAAGAAAATAATACTGAAATTTAGGCTAAGACGAAAAGTAGTTATATTTCTGCATTATGTAATAGCATAGAAACAAAACATCCAAAATATTGTTCTATGCCTTGTTATTACACTCTTCCTGTTCTCGTTCTTCATTCTGCTTCTTCCTCATTATAGAAGAAAATTTTATTTGATTGAAATCAAACTGCTCACTGACTTCGGTCGTGCTTACTTCAGCTGGAATAAAAAAAAAAATTATAACACAGTAGGATGGAATACAAATGAAATTGTAGACATACAAATGGTGTCTTAGTTCACTTGAACTCACAATCAGGATCCTCAGATCAAAAATTATAACACAGTAGGATAGAATACAAATGAAATTGTAGACATAGAAATGGTACCTTAATTCACTTGAACTCACAATCAGGATCCACAGATAAAAAATTATAACACAGTAGGATGGAATACAAATGAAATTGTAGACATACAAATGGTGCCTTAATTCACTTGAACTCACAATCAGGATCCACAGATTAAAAATTATAACACAGTAAGATGGAATACAAATGAAATTGTAGACATAGAAATGGTACCTTAATTCACTTGAACTCACAATCAGGATCCACAGATTAAAAATTATAACACAGTAGGATGGAATACAAAAGAAATTGTAGACATACAAAAGGTGCCTTAGTTCACTTGAACTCACAATCAGGATCCACAGATTAAAAATTATAACACAGTAGGATAGAATACAAATAAGATAGACACAAAAATGGTGCCTTAGTGAACTAGAACTTGAACTCACAATCAGGATACAAAAGGCGATCCTATCTTCAATTACAACTATGTAATACTAATTACTAACTGGATGATCTATCAATTTACAATCAATGCTGCTCAAGCTATAAATGTCTAGAATCTAAGTTTAAATTCTACACAAGTGCTCCTGAACTATATTCAATGTAAATTATGAAAGTATTAACCGAAAACTTGACAATAACAAGTTAAATTGTCTATATTAATTATGTGTACGAAAAAATAGTAAATAACATTATTGTTTACTGCAAAAGATTCTAGAGAAGCACTTTTGTTTACTATGTCATATGCAGAAACTATGGAAACACCAAATCGGTCAGTAGCTCAGGTGGTAGAGAATATTCGAATTAATCTAAAAACAGAGCTAACAACTACTACTAGACGGAGCGACGACCTTAAATGAATTGCAACGAGTCAATGGATGCAGGTGGCTTGGAATCGTTATTTATAGCAATCTATGGTGGAGACCTATATTTAACAGTGGACAGTTAATGATGTGGATGATGATGATGATTCTTACCTTTGACAGCGTAACTATCACCTTTGCAGTATTTGTACAAAGCCTTCCTCTTTATGAATAGAATTATAATAATAAGCATACTGTTCAATATTGTTAAAGCAATTGCAATCAGCATCCATAATGTTAGCGAGCTGAAATTATATTACTTCAATTTCATCATGGCCTAAATAATTTTTAAACATTCTTTTAAGTTACAAGACATTTATACACCTATCTTTATCGTTATTAAGGACAATTCTAAAATGTGGCGAGTAGATTTTTGAGTCATTTTTATTCGATTACCAGTGTATCCAAATTAGTTTACTTTTACGTGTCTTAAATAATGTGTATAATACATAGTGTAACTTAACTTTGTATTTGAAGAAAAAGTTACTGTTTAATGTTATTCTATTCGAAATAATAAAATCACAGTACTCTTTATGGTGTAAAATAAACTCACCTTGTTTTATGTATAGCCTCTTTTGTAATATTAAACTTGACATCTATATTACCAGGTATTGTTACATAACTGGTATACAATGTGGAATTTTCAATGATAATATCAAATAACTCTGTCCTGTTATTGTCGTTACTAGTTGAAGATATGGAATTCGGATCTGTAATTTCCGTCGTTTCTGTAGTGGAAATGGATATGTCGAGATTCTCTATAGTTGTATCATCTATTTCGGTAGTAGTAGAAGGGATAGTAGTAGGAGTTGTGGTAGTACTAATAGAAGTAGTACTGGTAGTAGTAGTCGGAATATAACAAATAGTGCGGTCACACATTTTATTTGCATCTGAACAATTGTAAATACAGTCACACTCTCCGCCATCGTCTCTCACAGCTGCAGCTATATAAGGTGGATGACAAACACAAACGCCAGGCGCTACGCATACACCTCCACAGTTTACACATTCTGGCACACACACAGACGAGGTCCCATTCAAATCAGCTTCATACCCTTTGTAACAGTCGCATGTATCTGGTTTTGTGCAAGTTCCATTGCCACATGGTCTACTACAAATTGGCTCACAAGTACTTGGAGTAGTTAAGCGCCAGCCCGGTTGACAGCTGCAAGTCTCGGGACTGATGCACTTCCCGTTAGTACAACCACTTGAGCAATAAGGGCTGCACACGTTGTTTTCCAACATTCTAAACCCACTATGACAAATGCAAGTCTCTGGAGCACCACACACTGCATTAACACACGGCTCAGTACAAACTGGTTGGCATATACCGTCCCGTAACTCATAGCCGAAGTTACATTTGCAAACATTAGGTTTAATACACGTGCCATGCACGCAGCTCGGTTTACATGTTGGGAGACATAAGTGGGGAATAATTAAATCAGCTAAGTAACCATCATTACATTCACATTTTCCTGGTTCCTTGCAGTAGCCATTTTCGCACTTGGTTGAACATTTCGGTATACATTTTATACTGAAAAACATACAAAAAGATGAGAACATGCTTTCTATAATTTTTTTATCATTTAACATAAAAAATAACATAAATAAGAACGTTTATAAATAAGCAACAATGGCAATTTCTTTAAAGTCAAATCTACAATTGAAGTAACATTGTAAGAATAGACAAAGAGCAAAAGATAAAAAAAGGACACGAGATTTCATTCTATTGATTTTCTATTCATTTCACATTGAACTTGATCCTTTCGTGATACTCTGATAAACCTTATAACTGGTATATTTGCAATAACTAATAGACTATATAATTTTACTAATATAATAAAATTGTAACTGATCGATGTCTATTCATGGAAGATGGATTAATTTAAGAAGGAAAACAAATTAATGTAAGCAACTTTAATAGGAGCGATAGAAATTGTAACAATATTTTTAGAATTTACTTTGTCTTTTTGTCTGTCTTTATGTTTGTTCTGGCATCACAAAGTACACCAAATTGATTTCCGTTTTCACTCTTATGTTCCTGATGATTAACTTAAAAACTGGTATATATTTTATTATTAAATCTGTCCATGTCGTTATTTCTATCACGAACATTTGAAATTGTATATTTTTATTGAAATATTTTTTTATATACCATAAAAATGGCAAACAAGCACACAACCTGTTTTATAGTAAACAGTCACTGTAGTCTATGAACGCCTGCGACACTAGGGGTGTCACGTGCGCATTGCTTACCCTGAAGAAACTTAAATATACCCTTTTTGAAGAACTCCATACTCTAGTCTTTAGGGAAAACCTCAGCAGGGAATAAATCCACAGCCTGAGCAGGAGAAAACTTTTTTAAAACCGACTTATAAAATTTGTCACTTCAATTTTCAATTTCCAGCAGCAGTATTTCGATACGACATCATAATCTTCAAGAAAAGAGCATATTCCTTCTTAAAAGGCCGGCAACACACCTGCAATGCCGTAGGTGTTGTGGGTGACCATGGGCGGCGGTAGTCACTTACCATCAGGTGAGTCGCATGCTCGTTTGCCCCCTGTGTTGTAAAAAAAATATAGTAATTAATTTTATACGTACTCTTTATCTGAGACCGTATCATTACGTATGTAACCTGAACAGCAATATTTTACAGTTTCCCTTCGACTGTCCTGGAAATAAAATTACAATTTGTTTAAAATATCGATAATTTTATGTACTTGTATTTACCACTTTTCTTTATATTATTATAATATATAATATATTATAATATATAATATTTACTGTAATTATTATTTTTTCCTTGGTGCAATAAAATATATAATAATTGAATTGAAAAAAAATTATGCATTTTGTTTTATTTCTTTTATGTATTTACTGTGTCTGACTTGCGCCATCTACCATTCTCTCTGTACTTATCCATTCTTTATGCCAGGTTGTCTGTAAGAGATTGCTTTTAGCGATAAGGCCGCCTTTTGTATATGCATATTCTATATAAATACTCCTTGTATACATCTCTACTGTGCGCAATAAAGAGTTTATTATTATATTTTAAATTTTACACAAATTCTCATCTCCCCTCTTAAAGAGAGGGGATGGCAACTAAGCCCCGGCAGAAGTACAGTCGGCCGAGGTTCAAGGCCCCAGGGAGAGAAACCGGCGTACAATGCGGGCAGTATCTAAGAGCTTTCTGCATCTTTCCCGGGAGTGAGCCGCCTCGGAATCCCAACCGTCTGAGATGTTGTTATTATTATTATTATTATTATTATTAAATTAAGAGATAAATTTAGAAAAATAACACTTCATAACCGACCCCATTGTTAGACACTCTCCCTACTTATGTTTTTCCATCCAAATATAATCTACAACAATTTAAAGCAAATCGAACAGACTACTCGTGTGCTCGCGACATTCATCATCGCATTCCATCAGGTGAGCCTTCAATAATAAAAAAAATATATACCAAATGTTTAACACTTACAATTATGTCCCTGTGTTCTATGTAAGATTTAATCATAGTCCTGGTGCACCGAAACCAGCAATTTGCTTTCTTATAAGTAGCTACATAAGTCCGATAAAATGTTTTTCGTACAGGAACAAATTTCCTAAAACACAATATAACTGTATATTTGTTTATATATTAATAGTTTTAGCACTTCAGCTGCACGCTAACGAAATGCTTTCTCGCTGTATTGGGTTGACTGGAAGAGATCTCTGTCAGAGATAAGTCGGCCCTTGCTTACAACATTTATAAATGCATTATATTATATGTAACTTACAAGTGCAATAAAAAATATATAAATTATCCACTATTATTGTAATTAATTAATTTAATTAATTATAGCCCATATAAATATATTCTTTATGCAATCTTTTATGTCGATTATAAATTACTCACTTAACGCTTCTTGTGCATACTTGGCACTCGACATTTAGCTGAACACATATAAAAAGGAATACACAAATAAACAAACACCGTTTCTTCATATTGTCACAAACAGAACCGTCCTTCTACACAGTGGACCAAATTATTTCGCAACAAGCATCACTATCACAATGACTGTCTCGTAATTGTTGATAATTATATGTATTAAATATTAGAGTGTTCACGCAATACACTTTTTAAGGACACTTTATTGCAGTTTTTTTTTTAATTAACTTTAAAAATAAATATCTCTGTTTTTCGTAATAAGTGTAAGGAGAAACAAGTTATTCTGATAGAGCTAAACTAAAATTTCATGCCAACCATCTAGACGAGTGACGGTCCTCCACCGTGCTTTTTTCAAGGTACTTTCTTCTACGTACAACCACTCTTTGGAATCAACATCCAACAGCAGTATTTCCGAACCGATACGACGACATAACTTTCAAGAAAAAAGCATATTCCTTTTTAAAACGCCGGCAGCACACCTGCAATGCCATTGGTGTTGTGGGTGATCATATATTATTGTAGTATATTAGTAGTGTATATTTTTGTACGGAGCAAAATACACAAAAATTTTTGAAAAGAAATTACTTGTTTTCTAATGTCTTATTTCGAGCTGGATTTCATTTTTTTATTAGCATTAATATTATCACAAAAGTCTTCTATGGTCTCTTTGTTTGCCAAATTTCATTAAAATATGTTGATTTGTTTTACCGTAATGTTGTTTTAAACTAATACCTATTCAAATATCATTATGAATTTTCACGTATATAATATTAATTAATATATAATTTAACCAATTTTCATTTAAATTCATTTTTAATTTTCACTTCATTTGAAAAGTCAATAATTTTGTCCGTAAATGCCACACATGATTGGTTGTCACCCTATAATATCCTATTATAAATCACTGAAAACTTTTAATATAAAATGAATAATTGCATGACAAATCATAACTTCCGTTCAATTCATAATAACAATATGTTAACTGTAATGATAATAAAACTACTGTAATCCAGCATTAGAATGAATTATATAACATTACGCCAGTCGCCCGATGAGGTAGGCAGAGACAGTGAAACGTCAAATTCAAAAAAACCTCTATTAAAACAGACCACTTTTACTGGTAATTCGATTAGAATTATTTTGTTTAATTTCGCTACCATTAGTATGTGTGTAACTGCCAACACTCGAAGATTGACCACCACTATTACTACCAGAAATTTCACAGCTATAGCTATCAAACTCCGACTGCCATTTTGTTCACGTACGTTTTGCGCACGTGTTTCACCCTTAAACGAGGCAAATTATTAGATTTCTGATCGGAGCCTAGTGTTAATTGTACGGCATATTCGCAATTTGGATAGATAACACCTAGTGTCTTGCTGTCTAGTGTCCGAGTGTCCAGTGTTTGAGTGTCTAGTGTCTAGTATCTGAGTGTCTAGTGTCTGAGCGTCTAGTGTCTAGTGTCCGAGTGTATAGTGTTCAGTGTCTAGTGTCTGAGTGTCCAGTGTCTAGTGTCTAGTGTCTAGTGTCTAGTGTCTAGTGTCTAGTGTCTAGTGTCTAGTGTCTAGTGTCTAGTGTCTAGTGTCTAGTGTCTAGTGTCTAGTGTCTAGTGTCTAGTGTCTAGTGTCTAGTGTCTAGTGTCTAGTCTGTCTAGTGTCTAGTGTCTAGTGTCTGAGTGTCTGGTGTCTAGTATCCAGTGTCTGAGTGTCTAGTGTCTGAGTGTCTAGTGTCAGAGTGTCTAATGTCTAGTGTCTAGTGTCTGAGTGTCTAGTGTCTGAGTGTCTGGTGTCTAGTGTCCAGTGTCTGAGTGTCTAGTGTCTAGTGTCTAGTGTCAGAGTGTCTAGTATCCGAGTGTCTAGTGTCAGTGCGTCTAGTGATTGAGTGTATAGTGTCAGTGTGTCTAGTAACTGAGTGTCTAGTGTCTGAATGTCTAGTGTCAGTGTATCTCGTGTTTGAGTGTCTAGTGTCAGTGTGTATAGTGTCTGAGAGTCTAGTGTCTGAGTTACTAGTGTCTGAGTGTCTAGTGTCTGAGTGTCTAGTGTCTGAGTGTCTAGTGTCTGAGTGTCTAGTGTCTGAGTGTCTAGTGTCTGAGTGTCTAGTGTCTGAGTGTCTAGTGTCTGAGTGTCTAGTGTCTGAGTGTCTAGTGTCTGAGTGTCTAGTGTCTGAGTGTCTAGTGTCTGAGTGTCTAGTGTCTGAGTGTCTAGTGTCTGAGTGTCTAAGTGTATGTGCGTGTAAATGTCTACTACACTACACACTCAGACACTAGACACTCAGACACTGGACACTAGACACTAGACACTCAGACACTAGACACTCAAACACTAGACACTAGCCACTGAGACACTAGACACTCAGTCACTAGACACTCAGACACTAGACACTCAGACACTAGACACTGAGACACTAGACACTGAGATACTAGACACTAGACACTCAGACACTAGACACTCGGACACCAGACACTCAGACACTAGATACTCATACACTTGACACTCAGACACTAGACACTAGACACTAGACACTAGACACTAGACACTCAGACACTAGACACTCAGACACTAGATACTTAGACACTCAGACACTAGACACTCAGACACTAGACACTCAGACACTGGACACTCAGACACTAGACACTCAGACACTAGACACTCAGACACTAGTAACTCAGACACTAGACTCTCAGACACTATACACACTGACACTAGACACTCAAACACGAGACACACTGACACTAGACATTCAGACACTAGACACTCAGTTACTAGACACACTGACACTATACACTCAAACACTAGACGCACTGACACTAGACACTCGGATACTAGACACTCTGACACTAGACACTAGACACTAGACACTAGACACTCAGACACTGGACACTAGACACCAAACACTCAGACACTAGACACTCAGACACTAGACACTAGACATTAGACACTCTGACACTAGACACTCAGACACTAGACACTCAGACACTGGATACTAGACACCAGACACTCAGACACTCAGACACTCAGACACTAGACACTAGACACTCAGACACTAGACACTCAGACACTAGACACTCAGACACTAAACACACTGACACTAGACACACTGACACTAGACACTCAGGCACTAGACAGTCAGACACTAGACACTCAGACACTGGACACTCAGACACTAGACACTCAGACACTAGACACTCAGACACTAAACACACTGACATTAGACACTCAGACACTAGACACTAGACACTCAGACACTAGACACTAGACACTCAGACACTAGACACTCAGACACTAGACACTCAGACACTAGACACTAGACACTTAGACACTAGACACTCAGACACTGGACACTCAGACACTGGACACTCAGACACTAGATACTCATACACTGGACACTCAGACACTAGACACTAGACACTCAGACACTCAGACACTAGACACTAGACACTAGACACTCAGACACTAGACACTCAGACACTAGATACTTAGACACTCAGACACTAGACACTACGACACTGAGACACTAGACACTGAGACACTAGACACACTCAGATACTAGACACTCAGACACTAGACACTAGACACTCAGACACTAGACACTCAGACACTGGACACTCAGACACTAGACACTAGACACTCAGACACTAGACACTAGACACTAGACACTCAGACACTAGACACTCAGACACTGGACACTCAGACTTTGGACACTCAGACACTAGACACTCAGACACTAGACACTAGACACTCAGACACTAGACAATAGACACTCAGACACTAGACACTAGACACTAGACACTAGACACTCAGACACCAGACACTAGACACTCAGACACTGGACACTCAGACACTAGACACTCAGACACCAGACACTAGACACTCAGACACTGGACACTCAGACACTAGATACTCATACACTGGACACTCAGACACTAGACACTAGACACTCAGACACTAGACACTAGACACTAGACACTCAGACACTAGACACTCAGACACTAGATACTTAGACACTCAGACACTAGACACTCAGACACTGGACACTCAGACACTAGACACTCAGACACTAAACACACTGACATTAGACACTCAGACACTAGACACTAGACACTCAGACACTAGACACTAGACACTCAGACACTAGACACTCAGACACTAGACACTAGACACTAGACACTAGACACTAGACACTAGACACTAGACACTAGACACTAGACACTCAGACACCAGACACTAGACACTCAGACACTGGACACTCAGACACTAGATACTCATACACTGGACACTCAGACACTAGACACTAGACACTCAGACACTAGATACTTAGACACTCAGACACTAGACACTAAGACACTAGACACTCAGACACTAGACACTAGACACTCAGACACTAGACACTAGACACTCAGACACTAGACACTAGACACTCAGACACTAGACACTCAGACACTAGACACTCAGACACTAGACACTAGACACTAGACACTCAGACACCAGACACTAGACACTCAGACACTGGACACTGAGACACTAGACACTGAGACACTAGACACTGAGACACTAGACACTAGACACTAAGACACTAGACACTCGGACACCAGTTAATCAGACTATATATACTCAATCCGCCTTCAATTGGAACGAATCTTGTCGAATGAGCTTTTTTTGGGAGGCAACCCCCGAGTGAGCCAGAATTCGCGCACATCAACTACTTCCGTTTATTCATACAAAACCGCCGGTTATTACCAACATACATACAGACAAGATATATGTTACTTTTTTTGTGGGTGAGAAACGAATAGTAACCTCATCTACTCTACCCGCATATGCTGGAGGGGAAGTTGTGATGGATGATAGGCGGGGATGAAGTAGGCCAGTTATCCCCGTCTTGACTTGTTTACCAGGAATTAACAGTAACGATGGTTTCCAGGATGCACCGCGTGGAGGGCTACCTAATAGAGTATACTGTTAGCAATGAAGCTGTTTGACTCTATTACAAAAAAATCCTTTCTTCTCTGTATATATAGCTAAAGTGTGACACATACGTATTACATACTAGCTGTTGCCCGCGACTTGGTACGTGTGGATTTAAAAAATTGGAAACGAATGAAATTGGCCACTTTTGAATGATGATTTAAATGGTTTTAGCAAAATTCGAAACATAAACGGACTTATGTTCAACCTTGAGAAATATAATTGTCAAAATCACATCGAATTTGGTGTAGTAATATTTACGTACTAGCAGAAAGAAAATACAAACAGACAAATATGAAAAAAATTTGTCTGTAACGGATAAGCTCCAAAAGTAGTCAACTACTTTCAAAAAATCTCTTACTTATATAATGTATTAATGTACTAAACTCCCTTACCTATATATATATATAATATTATGAGTGTATATATATATATATATATATATATAATATTATGAGTGAGTAATATTACTGATAAAATAGCAAGTAAAATATGTAACCCGTGTGGGTTACATACTGTTTTTTGTGTTATTTTTTTAATATCCTATCATTTTCTCTTAAATATCTCCCATGTATGGGCATCGTCTAATTATTTTTTTTTTTTTTTTTTTTTTTATATAAATTATAATTCCCAAAGTAGGTTCACATCAGGCAGGCGGCCGAATGTAAATCTATGAGCCAAATCTTTTTGCAATATGGATAAAAAACATATTAAGCCGATCCCAAATAATCATTGGGATAAGGGTAGCGGATGATGATGATTACATATAAATTATATATTTTTTTAAAATACAATCATTGTACATCAGCATTTTATTTATGAGATAATACATGAGAAATACGGGCCACATTCATTACAATTTTTTTATTAATATTTATCAAATTTGAAATGACATTTTTTTATACAACTTAGAATGGCAAACTAGCTGACGACTCACATGACGGAAAGTGGTAACCGTCGCCTATAGACATTAGCAGTACCATGGACATAACAGAGTATACTGTTTCGCCCATGATTCTCCCCCAAGCGTTGCCATTAATGGGGACTCAGGTGTTATTCCTCTGTACCCAGTAAATTCACGCCATATCCCACCCTTCAAACCGAAACACAGCCATGCAAACACAACTGCTTCACGGTTGAACCACGAATGTCCTTCTATCGTTTCCTTTGACTCCCCGTCACGGCCCTAGTTTTCTAAGTTACCTTTTATAATATAACATAAAAGTTTTTTTGAAAAAATGTTTTATTAACTTCTGAGCATTATTATTGACAATGTTGCTGTGGTTTTCAATAGTATTTGTTTGTTTGATTTTGTTTATATTTGTTTAATTTAATATTGCCTAATTTTGTGTTTCGTTTACTTGTATTTTATTTTGTACAAATTCTAGTGGCTACCAAATTACTATTTAAGTATATAATTATGTATTATTTTAGCTGTTTGTTTGCCTTAAATAAATAAAATAAATAAAAACATTTCTAATCTCCATTTCTGATTTCCTTTGTCGCCGTCTATACATAATAAAGTAAGTTTGTTTGTTACCCTTTTTCATGGTTTATCGGTACGACTAATGTTTATAAAATTTTGTATATCCATAGGTTGAACCAGGTCAATGTTTTATCTTGATCAATCAGTATAGCTGCCGTGTGGTCCTAGCACAAAATGGGCCACCTCCCCTTTTACTGTGTATTAAAGTTTAAATAAATCAATAAAAAAATAGTATGTAATAAAAAAATATTTCTATTTTATTGTTTTATGACAATATGTATTTTTACCGTGCCAGTTTTACATACAAAAACATAGATTTAAATTACAAAAATTACAATTCATTTTACTGTAACATTTTATTTCTATTATTTACATACATTTATGTAACTTAGCCTTGTAAATTCCAAAATTATTACAATATTCTTTTTACTATTTTGTAATTTAAAAGTGTAATTTAATGAAGTATAAAAATAATCTATTTTATTAATCTATGTAAATAAAACTTAATTATCAAATGTTTGTAAACACATCAATTCAAAACAGCTGCATCAATTTGGCTACAACTTTTCTTGTTTATTTGTAATTACTAGGACATCTAAAAATCGAACGAAAACGTTAAAAATTTTGGTAAAAAAATCTCTACATGAAAAAGTGAGTACATGATATATACATATATCATGCTCTTTATTGCAGCAAAAAAAGAATTACACAATTACAAATTAGAAAATTCAAATAAAATACAATAGTAAAAATACAATACAAGGTAATCTCCTTATATCTTCTTAGGGTTCATGCAAAAAGCAGTTAAAAATATAGACATTTTTCATACAATAAATCGTTGTAAATTGTCTTGTATTAAAATTACTTATAAATAACTTTAATATACTAGCTTATATAATATAGATAGAGCATGAAGTGTCAAAAACGTTTCAACATTTAGCCAGCTAAATTGATATTTATATATATTTTTTAAATCAAGACAAACCGCGTCATTTCTTCGGTGTTGCAAGTAATTAAATTAAAAATATCCCAAGCCAAGTACATTTTTTAATTAGAATTATGCACTATATCTTCTGATATGTATTATATAAATATATAGTTTATATATTAATACACATTATAAATTATAGTGACAGCCATTTTCAATTATTTAAAAAAAAACCATTATATGTTCATATTTGGATATAAATCAAAGTAATCAATAAAAATAATGATGAGTTATTACGATCCGTTTCTTTTATTCTTTCTAATGTGTTCGTAATAGGTTTGTATCTTTTTTTATTTTCTCAACTTTACCTCACAATATAACTTTTCCCATATAGTAAATATTTATTATGGTAACCCTGTTCACGTACACAAAAAGTTGACATGTTTTTAAGGAAACATCTGTATGGCATCACTATCTGTACATATAATGTATGTATTTATTACAAGAAGCTTTTTTTTTTAATCTGTCCCTTCTTGCCACCGTTATCTATTTAGTTTCTCGTACAGCTAACAACATGAATTTTACCTATTTTTATGTTCACAATTTTACTTTTAATTACTAATTTTTTAATTTTTTATTAAAAAATAAAAAAAAAAATATTCTTATTTTATATTCTTGTGTGAGTTATACCACATATACCAATCAGGTAAAATTAACAAACATTTTTTATGCAACTTAGAACAGCTAACAAACCAACGGCCCATCTGATGGAAAGTGGTAACCGTCGCCTATAGACATGAACAGTACCGTGGACATAACAGAGTATACTGTTTCGCCCATGATACCACTCATGCGTTGCTATTCTTGAGGACTCAGGTGTTATTCCTCTTCAAACCGAAACACAACTGCTTCAGGGTTGCTTGGCAATCGACTTTTATACAAAGTCTCTCTCTTTCCTCTGCATGCGGCTCACCTGACAGTAAGTGATTACCGCCGCAACATCAGAGAAATTGCAGGTGTATTGCCGTCCTTTTAAGTAGAAATTATCCAAAATTTCAATTTGTACAAAAGTTGTTTGCTTGGGTACCACTGTCTCAATCGTGTTTCAACCATGAAGCAGTTGTGTTTGCATGGCTGTGTTTCGGTTTTAAGGATGGGATGTGGCGTGAATTTATTGGGTACAGAGGAATAACACTTGAGTTCTCAGGAATAGCAACGAATGGGGGTATCATGGGCGAAACAGTATACTCTGTTATGTCCATGGTACTGCTCATGTTTATAGGCGACGGTTACCAATTTCCATCTGGTGGGCCGTCAGCTTGTTTGCCATTCTAAGTTATATATAAAAAAAATACTACTCCTGGGAGTTAGTTTCATACATTGTAAAATATTTAAGTAAAACAAAATATCTACAGAAACGCGCGGTGGAGAATCGCCACTCATCCAGATGGTTCAGATGTAACTTTAGATTGTGGCGGATTGTACGGCGATGAAATTAACCAGCTGGTTTCGTTTTTTCAAAAGAAAAAAAAACATAGCGAATGGCTGGTAACGGTGGTGACGATGTCAGACTGAATAATGCTCTCCTCTTGTCCTCTTCACTAATTCATTTTAAATATTTTATGCTACGCATTGCTGGAACTCATCTCGATATTACGATTCTCTGGCAACACTGTGAATAAAAAGAATGTGTTAAAATATATATATATTAAAAACTAAAAAGAGTCCTTATCGGTACATATGAATGAGGCATACCACAATCAGGTAAACTTAAGTTTAAAAACCGGTTCTGAATTTTTTTATAACATGGGGACAAACGAGCCTACGTCTCACCTGATATATATATATATATATATATATATATATATATATATATATATATATATATATATATATATATATATATATATATATATATATATATATATATATATATATATATATATATATATATATTCCTCCTTTGGTGTTGTCTTTTTTTTTTTTGTAAACTCATAAAATAGAAATAATCCCACCATACATGTTATATCTCAAACGGATTAGGCAGTGTTATCGATGAAACCTCTCAGTCGACTTGATTTCTTTCAACCTATTTTTTTATACAACTTATAATGGCAAACAAGCTGACGGCCCACCTGATGTAAAGTGATAACCGCCGCCTATCGGCATGAGCATAACAGAGTATACCGCTTCGCCTTTTGATATCCCCATGCGTTGCCATTCCTGAGGACTCAGGTGTTATTCCTCTGTACCCTGTAAATTCACGCCACATAGCCATGCAAACACAACTGCTTCACGGTTTAAACACGAATGGGACAGAGGTACCCAAGCAAACGAAGTACAACTGTACAAAGTCTCTCTCTAGTACATTTTGAACAATTATCGTCATATTTCAATAAATTAACACAAAGCAAATAAATTGTACGTATAAATCTTCCTCTTTAACCACTCTACGTACTGAGGAAAACCGCATTGAAATCCGTTGCGTAGTTTAAAAGATATAAGTGTACATACAACGGGGAGCAACTATGTTTTATAAATAAATATATGTGTAGATATATATGTAAACAGTCATCTTTAATTTTTTTTATATATATATATAACTTAGAATGGCAAATAAGCTGACGGCCCACCTGATGGAAAGTGGTAACCGTCGCCTATAGACATGAGCAGTACCATGGACATAACAGAGTATACTGTTTCGCCCATGATACCCCCCATGCGTTGCCATTCCTGAGGACTCAAATGTTATTCCTCTGTATCCTGTAAATTCACGCCATATCCCATTCTTCTAACAGAAACACAGCCATGCAAACACAACTGCTTCACGGTTGAACCACGAATGGGACAGAGGTACCCAAGCAAACGACTTTTCAACAAAGTCTTCCTCTGGTGGCTCAATAAATAGATAGATTATTATTGTTTCCTCCAAAAGATTACAATAGTAAAATCATTATAAATATTACAAGAAATAATCACAATGACAAAACAATGGACGACTTTATCGCTAAAAGCGATCTCTTCCAGGTAACCTTTGGATGGGCATATAAATATTGTATATACATACATACAAATGCAATACTGATAAACAAATAAATATATACGATTACATAGGCATGGGTAATATAGATACCGAGCCGGTATCTATGTATTGGGTTTTTCTGAACATTGATGGCCGAAAAAAGATCATACCTATTTAACTATCGCCCATATGAGTCGGATGTTTATTTTGGTATGTGTTAAAAGTCTGTTATCCAATTTTTTTTGGTAAAAACAGCCTTTTAACATATTTGTTATTGGACCAGTATATAAATAAAATATATAAATGTATAATATATTGTCAATCCCTAAAATTACACACGTATAATAAATATAATTTTTCAAATAAATTGTGTATCACCAAAATTTAATTGTCAAATTATTTTATGTATTTGTTGTAATCTTTTATGTATTTGTTGTAATGTATTATGTATTTGTTGTTAAGCGTGTTGAGTCTCCCATCCGAGAAATAGATATTGGCGACTCGCACGCGTACTAAAGGTAAAGGAATTAAAGGGCCGCCTGAAAATTAGCGCTATATAGGTACATCTTGCTGGAGATGTACATATGTAGCAACAGCTGAGGCGGCTCCTGTTACCAACAACATTAATTGTTTTTTTTTGTTTTAAGTTTTTATTTTCTTAATACTGGTAATAAAGGTTTAATTTGCCATTTTGATAGATAGATAGATATCTATCTATCAATATGGCAAAATAATAAAAAAAAATATTTAAATAAATCAATTACCATAACTTCTTCTGTAGTTCGAGTATAGGAATTTGCTGACCCATATAACGCAAAGGGCCGCAAACAACGATGAAAAAAGTATGAGCAATAATTGCTTCTCATTACTAATCGCCATCTTCTTTGCTGATACTGACGGTGATTTTGACCTGAAATCAGTATATAATTAGATGTATAATACAGTGGGCTGTTAGCATGTTTGTCGTTCTAAGTTGTATAAAAAAATATACATATGTACGTATGCCAATTTTCAGTAATAATTTGTCACCGTCTCAGAACTTTTTAAATAATCAATTTTAAATGATACCCACAGCCACCTTTTATCATTGCATATCTCGCCATTGACAGGGGGGATCCATTTTCCAACGCTAGAACTTAAATGGTCATGTACAATGTGATCTCAAAAGATTTTTCTTCCGCAAACACTCAGGTTGTGAAATGAACTTTCTGCAGATGTTTTCCCTAGAGACTGCAGTATTGGGTTCTTCAAAAAGGATATATTAAAGATCAATCAGAAATATTAAAAAATGTTAAATTGTTTTTTTTTAAATTGACAGATAATTACGACGTTGTCTCATTTAGTTAAGGAAAAGTTATCAACGCTATTAACATACATATATACATACATATCCGTCACGCCTCTCTCCCATTAGGGTTGGCAGAAACAATAGAACGCTAAGTTATGAACGCGCTTAATTCGTATAACATTTTAAAAATTAAATTATTTATTAAAATATATATTTATAATAACAAATTTGTGCTTGCGGTTGCGTGTTTTTACGCATTTAATAATACATACATATATTATCTTATTTAGAACAGTGGCACTTATAAACATTTACTTAAAATAAATGATGTACTTGTAAAACATTACGATATCACTAAATATATATACAAATATATATATATATATATATATATATATATATATATATATATATATATATATATATATATATATATAAACAGCTCTCCTGATGATCTTACATATTTTTTTCAAAATTGACCAAAACCTAGTGATACATATATTTGTAATTGTTAAAACGGCTATATTTATATGGTATATTTTATTTATATAATCAGACAGATACTTAGTATACATTTCAATAATATATCTTGTTTAATAATTAATCATCAATTGATTAAACTAGTAATCTTATTATACTTACGGTGTTAACGTGGTAGTCGGTGTTCTTGATAATATTCTGAAATAACATACATAGATAGTACATTACATTTCAATCATATATGTACTTTATACATATTTATAAATTATATATTTTAATTATACTCACGTTGATATTGTGGTTGATGAAGATTCATTGGTTGTTGTTGGTCTTATTAATTTTCTGCAACAACGTGTAACAACAACAAGAGTACATTTCAATCATATATTTTTATAGTAAATTACATTATTATTAATTTCTTTTGATTTTGAATCTTTGTAGGTACTATTTTACTCACAATCGCGTCGCGTAAAGTTACAATTGTAAATTTAAAATATTTACTGATTTTAAATATTTTAAAATTACAATTAACAATAACAAATGTTCATTAATATAACAATCTTATTATACTTACGGTGTTAACGTGGTAGTCGGTGTTCTTGATAATATTCTGAAATAACATACATAGATAGTACATTACATTTCAATCATATATGTATTTTATACATTTTATTTATAATTGTATATTTTATTTATACTCACGAGGACATTGTAGTTGATGAAGATTCATTGGTTGTTGTTGGTCTTAGTAATTTTCTGCAACAACGTGAAATAACCAAAACGTGAGTATATTTCAATCATATATTTTTATAGTAAAATACTTTATTATTAATTTATTATTATTTTTCTTTTTACTTTTAATCTTTGTAGGTACTATTTCACTCACAATCGCGTCGCATGAAGTTACAATTGTAAATTTAAAATATTTACTGATTTTAAATATTTTAAAATTACAATTAACAATAACAAATGTTCATTAATATAACAATCTTATTATACTTACGGTGTTAACGTGGTAGTCGGTGTTCTTGAAAATATTCTGAAATAACATACATAGATAGTACATTACATTTCAATCATATATGTATTTTATACATTTTATTTATAATTGTATATTTTATTTATACTCACGAGGACATTGTAGTTGATGAAGATTCATTGGTTGTTGTTGGTCTTAGTAATTTTCTGCAACAACGTGAAATAACCAAAACGTGAGTATATTTCAATCATATATTTTTATAGTAAAATACTTTATTATTAATTTATTATTATTTTTCTTTTTACTTTTAATCTTTGTAGGTACTATTTCACTCACAATCGCGTCGCATGAAGTTACAATTGTAAATTTAAAATATTTACTGATTTTAAATATTTTAAAATTACAATTAACAATAACAAATGTTCATTAATATAACAATCTTATTATACTTACGGTGTTAACGTGGTAGTCGGTGTTCTTGAAAATATTCTGAAATAACATAAAAAATACATTATATTTATAATATAACAGAAAGCATTTATTGACCACAAAACAATTTCACATAAGAATTATAACAATCATAACTACGGAAGTAAAAAAATTGCCAAAAGTCGCTATCTCAACATAAATAGATCAATAGTAAGCACATTACTCACTGTTATTAGCATTATATCATATAAGTATATTATATAGTAATTTATCGATAGTTCATTAAATTTATATTTATTATATACATTTTTTTCATTTATTTATTAATAATAATGGAATGAAAAAATATAATTTATTTTTAATTGTTAAAGCGGTTACATTTATATGGTACATTTTATTTATATAATCAGACAGACACTTACGACAGTATACTACATTTCAATAATATATCTAATTTAATAGTTAATCATAGATTAATTAAACTAGTAATCTTATTATACTTACGGTGATATCGTAGCCGTTGGTGTTCTTGATAATATTCTGAAATAACATACATAGATAGTACATTACATTTCAATTATATATGTATTTTATCCATATTTATAATTATATATTTTAATTATACTCACGATGATACTGTGGTTGTCGAAGATTTATTGGTTGTTGTTGGTCTTATTAATTTTCTGCAACAATGTAGACAGTACATTAAATTTCAATAATATTTCTTACTTAGCATTTTACCACCAATTTATTAACGTATTACTCTTATTATACTCACGGTGATACTGTGGTTGATGAAGATTCATTGGTTGTTGTTGATCTTAGTAATATTCTGCAACAACGTAAACAGTGCATTATATTTCAGTAACATATCTTATTTAGTCATTTACTACCAATTTATTAACTTATCACTCTTATTATACTCACGGTGATACTGTGGTTGATGAAGATTCATTGGTTGTTGTTGATCTTAGTAATATTCTGCAACAACGTAAACAATACATTATATTTCAGTAACATATCTTATTTAGTCATTTGCTACCAATTTATTAACTTATCACTCTTATTATACTCACGATGATATTGTGGTTGATGAAGAATCATTAATCGTTGTTGGTCTTAGTAATATTCTGCAACAACGTAAACAGTATATTATATTTCAGTAACATATTTAGTCATTTACTACCAATTTATTAAATTATCACTTTTATTACTCACGATGATATTGTGGTTGATGAAGAATCATTGGTTGGTGTTGGTCTTAGTAATTTCCTGTAACAACATAAACAGTACATTACATTTCAATAATATATCTGTCTTAGTAATTTACCACTAATTTATTAACATATCTTTCTTATTATACTCACGATGATATTGTGGTTGATGAAAAATCATTGTTGGTCTTAGTAATTTTTTACAACAACGTAAACAGTAAATTACATTTAAATAACATATCTTATTTAGTAATTTATTATCAATTTATTAACGTATTACTCTTATTATACTCACGGTGATGTTGTGGTTGATGAAGAATCATTAATCGTTGTTGGTCTTAGTAATATTCTGCAACAACATAAACAGTACATTATATTTCAGTAACATATTTAGTCATTTACTATCAATTTATTAAATTATCACTTTTATTACTCACGATGATATTGTGGTTGATGAAGAATCATTAATCGTTGTTGGTCTTAGTAATTTTCTACAACAACGTAAACAGTAAATTACATTTAACTAACATACCTTATTTAGCAATTTACCACCATTTTATTAACGTATTGCTCTTATTATACTCACGGTGATACTGTGGTTGATGAAGATTCATTGGTTGTTGTTGATCTTAGTAATATTCTGCAACAACGTAAACAGTGCATTATATTTCAGTACCATATCTTATTTAGTAATTTACAACCAAGTAACATAACACTCTTATTTTACTCACGATGATATTGTAGTTGATGAAGATTCTATGGTTGTCGTTGGTCCTAGTAATTTTCTGCAACAACGTAGACATTTGGCAGATTGGTAACCGCAGTTAGGTTTTGAAGATGGAAGAGGGACACTGCTACATATCCTTCGCCCTCCCTTAGTTGCCTCTTGCAATACCCACGGGAAAGGAAGGGGTGACCTATTCTATGCTGGAACCACACGGCACGACAGAGTATACCACAGACTTTTTACCAGAGGGAGACTTTGTACAAAAGTCGTTTACTTGGGTACCTCTGTCCCATTCGTGATTCAACCGTGAATCAGTTGTATTTGCATGGTTGTGTTTCAATTTGAAGGATAGGATACGCCAGTGAATTTACAGAGTACAGAGGAATAACACCTGAGTCTTCAGGAATGGCAATGCATGGGTAGTATTATGAGCAAACAGTATGTATTCTGTACTCTGTTATTTCCATGGTACTGTTCATGTCTATAGGCGACGGTTACCACTTCCCATCAGGTGAGCCGTTAGCTTGTTTGCCATTCTAAGTTGTATAAAACAGACTTATTAGCATAACGTTCTCATTATACTCACGGTGATGTTGTGGTTGATGAAGATTCATTGGTTGTTGTTGGTCTTAATAATTTTCTGCAACAACGTAAACAATACATTACATTTCAATAACATATCTTATTTATTGATTTACCACCAATTTATCAACATATTACTCTTATTATACTCACGGTGATGTTGTGGTTGATGAAGATTCATTAGTTATTGTTAGTCTTAATAATTTTCTGCAACAATGTAGACAGTACATTAAATTTCAATAATATTTTTTACTTAGCAATTTAGCACCAATTTATTAACGTATTACTCTTATTATACTTACGGTGATGTTGTGGTTGATGAAGATTCATTAGTTGTTGTTGGTCTTAATAATTTTCTGCAACAACGTAAACAGTACATTAAATTTGAATAATATTTCTTACTTATCAATTTTCCACCAATTTATTAACGTATTATTCTTATTATACTTACGGTGATGTTGTGGTTGATGAAGATTCATTGGTTGTTGTTAGTCTTAATAATTTTCTGCAACAATGTAGACAGTACATTAAATTTTAATAATATTTTTTACTTAGCAATTTAGCACCAATTTATTAACGTATTACTCTTATTATACTTACGGTGATGTTGTGGTTGATGAAGATTCATTAGTTGTTGTTGGTCTTAATAATTTTCTGCAACAACGTAAACAGTACATTAAATTTGAATAATATTTCTTACTTATCAATTTTCCACCAATTTATTAACGTATTACTCTTATTATACTTACGGTGATGTTGTGGTTGATGAAGTTTCATTGGTTGTTGTTAGTCTTAATAATTTTCTGTAACAACGTAAACAGTACATTATATTTCAATAATATATATTGTTTAGTAATTTACTACCATTTTATTAACGTATTATTCTTATTATACTCACGTTGACATTGTCGTTGATGAAGATTCATTGGTTGTTGCTGGTCTTAGTAATTTTCTGCAACAACGTGGACAGTGCATTATATTTAGATAATTCTTACTTAGTGATTTACTACCAGTTACATAACACTCTTATTATACTTACGGTGATGTTGTGGTTGACGAAGATTCATCAGTTGTTCTTACCAGTAATACTCTGCAATGATATAATTCGGGATAAATTTGTGTCACATTAAACATATTAAAAATCATTAAACTACTAATATCAGACCAAACACCAGATATCTAGTAATTTTTTTTTTGATGAGTAAAAATGATATGGTATCCCCGCCTGCGCTAACGGGATACGCTGGCGGAGCACCAGTGAAGGGTAATAGATGAGAATGAAAACAGGCCAGTTAGCCCATCATGATGAATTCATCAGGAATTAACCATGATAGTTTCCAGGGAGAACCACGAGGAAGTAGTACCTGGTTGGGTATATTGCTAGCAATGGGATTCTCAGTCTCCATTACTAACAATCCCTTTCCCCCCGATGTCTAGTGTTAGTAGTATAGTAGTAGATCGTTTTGCTTAATAAATATTATGTCTTTATCAATAAATACTATTATACATTTCAAATATTATAACATTACATTTCATTCATTCCATTTTATCAGTTTATATTTTTTATTCCGTCAAATTTTAAAATTTAAAATTCCTCAAGATTGGAATATAACTTTATTCTATATTATATATTACTCTTTTCAACAGTTACTTTTTATGAAATCGAAATATACAGAGTGAAATCCTTCGAAGGGAGAATCCCATCAGAGTAACTGAACATTTTGTCTAAAGTAATAATTAAAAATAAGGTATCGAAAAATGTTACAAAAGTCTTGAGACTATTAGTCTTTTTTGTTATTTCGGCGCGTCCATCTTTTTTGTTAGTATTAAAAATTCAAAATATTTCTTTTACAAAACTTCTAATATATTCTATAACAAAGTTCTTAGTTTTACATATTGCTAATAGTTTTATTCTACCGTGTATATAAGTATTTTTTTAAGTTTTATTTAATTTATATTATTACATGATAAAGAACCGAAGAAGCCAATTGATAGTTTCTATCACTAAATTAGATTTATGATACTCACACTAATGGTGTTGTTGATGTTTTATTTGTTATTTCTTTCATTATTGTTCTGTAATGAATTATATGAATTTTATAAATTACAACATTAAATTTCAGGTTTCTCTTAATACGCTTATTTCATTTTAAATATTGCAAAGTTATACTCACGTCGATGTTATAGTTGATATTTTTTCTGTTGATCTTCTGCAATAAAATATGTTTATTTCTTAATTATATATGTACACTATAAATAATAATGCATTTATTTACCCAATAAATTTTAATAAATTTGATGGGACAATTAAAAAATATTTAATAACATTTTTGTTGTGCAGTGCTATACAGTACTTTCAACAATTTTATTCTAATACTTACGTTAATGTTGCAGTTGATACGGACTCTGTGGTCGTTACTAGCGGTGGTGGTCTGCAATATTAATAAAGAGATATACAATTTTACTTTGTGTATAAAAATATCATATTCCTTTATCAAGCACATTTATTTGCTGAGATATAGATAGATACATTAAAAATCTTAAAGAAGTTTTAATCGCATGACTGCATTTAGATTTGAAGGACAGCATTAGTAAAACTACTCAACACCAAGATTTTTTTTTATTTATTTATTTACTCTTTATTGCACCACTTAAAAAATAATTTATAAAAATAACTATTCTATGTTTTTATTCATGCTATTATGGAACAAACTGGTTATTAATTTGTATTTAAAACGGAATGTTTAAAAATTGATACGAAAGTCATCTGCATGAGAAACACTATCCCAGTTATATTTCCATCGTAAAATAACTGTGCTTACATATGTATATAATGGTGATTTGGAGGTTATGATATGGTATTGAAATTGTAGCATACAGGGACATAACGCCATAATCATATTATATTTTTTTCTGTGATGTTCATGATGCTGTTCTACAGGCGACAGTCTGATTATTTGCCATTCTAAATATTAGAGAAAAAAAATATCGTACTCACACTAATGGTGTTGTTGATGTTTTATTTGTAATTTTTTTCGTTATAGGTCTGTAAAAAATATGTTTTTGTTTTATTATTAAAACCTTAAAGTAGTTCTTGCTTATTTTCTATGTATGTTAAATATACTAATAGATTTACTAAAGGGAAACTATGTACAAAAATCGACTGCATGAGGAGTAGTCACTGTTTTATTCGTATTTCAACCGTGAAGCAGCTGCACTTGCATGACTATATTTCAGTTTGGAGGTATATGGCAATGAAGGGATATGTCAATAAAATTATAGCGAATGAAGGCATAACACTATAGTCATATTATAATTTTTACTGTATTATTCAAGGTGCTACTCATATCTTGTTACAAAATGTGTTATTTACATTAACGATGTTGTTGATGTTTTATTTGTTACTTTCTTTTTTAGATTTCTGTAATAAATTACATAGATTATATAAATTATAACACAGAATTTCAAATTTTCTAATAAGTTATAGTTGATATTTCAACTACTATTTCCTTTGTCAAAAGTCTGCAATAAAACATGTTTATTTCTTAATTATAGCCTTATAATATACTTTGTTTATTTATATATATGTGTTATAAATGCTGATGTGTTTATCAGTCTCAATAAACTTTGCTAAATTTAATGGAACAATAAGGAAAAAATTAATATTAATTTATGCTTCAATATTTTTATTCAGATACTTACGTTAATAGTGCAGTTGATACGGATTCAGTGGACATTGTTGGCGGTGGTAACCTGCAATATTAACAAAAAGAGATAGACTATTTTCTTTTTTATAAAAATATATCATATAACTTTATCAATTACATTTCTTTTCTGAGATATAGATACACTAAAAATGTTAAAGGAGTTTTAATCGCATTATTGCATTTAGGTTTCAAGAATAGCATTGGTAATTACTCAATACCAAGACATTTAACTTTATTTATTTATTTACTCTTTATTGCTCCACCACCTATAATAATAATTTTACGTTATTATTTATACTATTATACAACTGGTTATTTGTTTGTTTACCGTTTGAAATAATATTAAAAAATATACAATGTTTGAAACTTTGTACGGAAGTTATCTGCATGAGAAACAGTATCCCACTCGTATTTCTATCGTGAATTAAGTGTGCTTATATAACTGTATTCCTTTAAAGTCGTGATATGGCAGTGAAATTTCAACATACAAAGGCATAATGCTATAATCATATATTTTTTGTGATGTTCATGATACTGTTCTACATGCAACAGTCAGTTTATTTGCCGTTATAAATTTTATAGAAAAAAATATCATACGCTAATGGTGTTGTTGTTGTTTTATTTGTCATTTCTATCATTAGAGGTCTGTAATAAAATATGTTGATTTTTTAATAATAACCTTAAAGTAATTTGTACTTATTTTTATATGTATGTTAAATGTACTCTTAGACTTACTAATGGGAAACTTTGTATAAAAGTCATCTGTGTGACTCTGTCCCACCCGTATTTTTAGTAAGACAGTCGTACTTGCTTAATAAATGAATGAATGAATGAGTATACTTTATTTGCATTATACAATATAGGAAATAAGCAAGACAACAAATATAACGTTACAATTGTAAGGCGGTCTTATTGCTGAGAGCAATCTTTTCAAGAGAACTGTTTTGATTTGAAGGCTAGGATAGCGCAGTGAAATTATAGGGTACGGAGTACACCACAGACACGTTATTTTTTTTTTCTGTGATATGTATGACGCTTCACACGTTTAGACGATGGTTACCACTTTTATCTGGTAGGTGGGCATGGGTCCAGCCTATATAGTACAGGTATACCAAATACCATGATTATTAGTTGAGCCGATAAGACGTTTAAAGGTAACAAACAAACAAAACTTAAAATAAATTGGCAATTAATTTTAACACAAATTTTTTACTCATGACTTCCTTTGCAAAATTAGATGTGTCCAATGACCGGAATACAAAAAAGCCTATGTTCTTATATTATAGAATGTACGATATTTTATAGTGATTGATTAACACGCTAAGAGGTAATAAACAAGCAGTCACTATTACGAGTTGTAAGTATTAAATCATTAATATAAAATAATAGTAGATAGTATAAAATAGTACAGATATACTAACCTTGCTGTTTTTTTCGTAAATCTGGAAATGAACATGCATTGTCATATTACAAAAAAAAATTATTAAATATTTTTTATTCAAGTAAACTTAATAATAATAAATAAGCATTTTTGAACAATCATTTTTTTATGAATCCACCGCTCAATTCGGAGTACGATTTCAACTGAGAACGGGCAAGAAACACAGCTGTTGCTTTTTTCAAATAAAAATTGAGTTTCAAAGAAAAATCAACATCATATCAGCCATTTACTGTCCACTGCTGAACATAGGCCTCCCCCATAAGGGGGGATTTGCCATTAGTTTTTATTGCCATGCTTGGCAAACGGATTGGCAACCGCTGTTAGACTTTGATATTTTAAGAGGGACGCTGCTGGCCATCTCTCGCTGAGTACAGCGACTAGTAAGTCGCCTTTTACGACATCCACAGGAAAGGAAGAGGTGGCCTATTCTATGCCGGGACCACACGGTATCGGGTTAGTTATCATATCTTAATTTTATATAATTATACTTATATTATTTTTATATTTAATATTGCTATTTATATAAAATATAATATATATATAATAGGGACTTACCCTAAATAGTGGCAGATCAAATCGACACCCATAAACATGTGACTGAAAAAAAAAGTTATTTTCGGTAAAGACTTCTAGTGGAATTTATAAAATTGCAATTTCATATAAGAAGAATCAAATTGAAAATTAAAAATTACTACACAGTGGTTAATGATTATCGTTTATATATATTTATAAATTGACATTATATATTGGCTTAATAATGGATTACTAGGTTTTTTTTTTACAACACGGGGGCCAAACGAGCATGCGCTCACCAAATGGTAAGTGACTACCGCCGCCCATGATCACCCACAACACCAGCGGCATTGTAGGTGTGCTGCCGGCCTTTTAAAAAGGAATATACTCTTTTCTTGAAGGTTGTGTTGTCGTATCGGTTCAGAAATACTGCTGCTGGATGTTGATTCCAAAGAATGGTTGTGCGTGGAATAAGAAAGTGCCTTGAAAAACGCACGATGGAAGACCGCCACTCGTCCAGATGATTGGGATGAAACTTTAGTTTGTGGCGGGTTGTACGGTGGTGAAAATCAGCAGCAGGTATCAATCAGCAGTAGGTTAAAATAAAGTAAAAATATAAATTAGGCGTACATATTATATACATACTTGGGGATGTTCCTGGTTTCTATCTCTACAAATTGTTTCCCATGTAACTGAAATTAATGAAAATACAGCATTACATACAGTTTTATAATAGTCCTAATGCAAGTATCTAGGTTTTACTTACTAATTACTAATTGATTTCATTCTTTGTTACTAGATGTCGTTGTGCTAAATTTAATACGCAATATAGTTTTGTTCCACTTCTTTCTGGTATGTTAAAATGCAAATTTTTGTGACCTGTGCTATATACAGTCCAATTACATAATTATATACTGTATACATACGTTTTATATCCTTTTTTATTCCTCTCACCGGGCCTACTTGTGTACAGCTAGAATATAGTGTAGCGATGCGTGACTTTACTAATTATTCGATTGAGTAAATCATTTGGATTTTTCGAAGGATTTTCAAACATTCCATTACTAATTTCATCCAACTACTAATGTCATTCGACTACTAATTACATGTATATTGGGAAGGAATGTAGATTTTTTGCTGTTTTTTTATATGTATATTGTAAAGGAATGTAGTTGGATAGAGTTGGTTTTTTTTTGTCATCAGCTTAAATCGTTTTTGTATATACCTATTGTACTAGTAGTGTATGACAGGCAAAGGCTACACTACGGGTTAGTACTAGTAGTACATGAAATAGAATAAGTTTTTACTAATTAATAAAATCATTCGAATACGAAAATTAGTATATTACTAATTCAGTAGTCGAATAATGAAATTATTAATTACTAATTATTCGGATAAAAATCAATCGGATTCGCGCACCGCTAATAGTGTTTTATTATCATAATATATTTATTATAATTTATTATTATAGTATATATCTAGAACAAGCGAACCAAAACCGATTTGATAATTTTCAAAACTTCATTTCCTAAATTGGTCCGACCGAGATTTACCAATTCATGTGGCAATTATTAAGAACACCTGTCGCGCTTAAAATAACTTTAAAAAAAAATAAGACCAATAAGAAAAAAAGAGAGAGAACTACGTGAGACAGTATGAATGAGAGAGAATTAACTTCTTACCAGCGGCGCAGACGGTTCGTCATATCTGAAAAATAAATACGTAATGATTAATAACCAATTAATACATATTTCAATAACTACCGTATGAAATTACGTGTAAATAAATCGAGAAAGCCTGACTAGTTTCGGGATCAATTCGTGATCCTTATTCGTGAGAGGCTAAGAATCATGAATTGATCCTTAAACTAGTCGAGCTTTCTAATAACCCATAAGTTAGACCAATAGGTATTACATTAAAATATAATGTGTGCTTACGAAAGCTTTAACAATAAAATTAAAACATAGGTGCGTGCAAAATTGCTACCCGTTTTCTATAGATGGTTAACAAAGATCATAGAAATAATATTTTTTTAGGGAGACTTTGTACAAAAGTTATATACTTGAATAATTCTGTTCCATTCATGTTACTGCCGTGAAACGATAATGTTTGCATGGCTGTGTACTTAGAATGGCAAACAAGCTGACGGCCCACCTGATGGAAAGTGGTAACCGTCGCCTATAGACATGAGGAGTACCATGGACATAACAAAAAATACTATTTCGCCCATGATATCTCACCATGCGTTGCCATTCTTGAGGACTCAGGTGTTATTCCTCTGTGGCCTGTAAATTAATTAAAAATAAATATACAGTATAGAGTCATAACACCTTAGTCCTCAGGAATGGCAACACATGAAAGGTATCACAAGCAACACAGTGCATTCCGTTAGGTCCACGGTACTGTTCATATCTACAGGTGAATAAGTTGTATAAATAAAGCGCAAAAACTCATTCTATGTATTAAATAATTAAATATAGATACGTCAAGATACATTATGTGCGTAAGTATATAGAACACTGATAAAAAAAAAACTAATCTGGTAATTTGACAATTAGCTGACATAACGTTGACCCATTTTTAAGACTCGATGCTCTATCTATATAATCTAAAAGCATAATATAGCGGGATAGATCTATTTGAATCGAAGCATTTGGCATTCTATTGTTTCTGTTTACCCCAATGGGAGACAGGCGTGACGATATGTATGTAGGAATAACACAAATATTATTATTATATTATATTAAAATTACCTAGTATTCAATAAAGTAATAAATTACAGTAATAATAAAAATAAAAACAAGCTAAAAAATTGTCCTATATAAATAAGTGATTTTAATATCTTGATTTCTGTAATAAGAACCTTATTAATAATTAATAAAAAAAAACTGTATATATGTCAGTATGCACTTACCCCAAATTTTTACACATTTGGCCGATGTTGAAATTCGCGTAACTGTAATAAAAAAAAAACATATAATTGCTTATTTTATTAATAAAACGAACAGTTTTTGTTTCGTAAAATAACAGCTAGCTTCATCAAAACACCATTAAAAAAATAAAAAAATCGACAACTTCACATGTAAAGGAATTGTTAATAATAGGGATGTCACATGATGATGACTACAGCATGGGGTTCTTCAAAAGGGGGGGTAAAGAGGTTTCTTCAGGGTCGGCAACGCGCGCGTAATGCCTCTGGTATTGCAGGCGTTCATAGGCTACAGTAACCACTTACCATCAGGTGGGCCGTATGCTTGTTTGCCACCTCAGTGGTATAAAAAAATGTCAGTTCCCACTGCTAGCAATATACCCTGACAAATTGACCTCCACGCGATTTCCCCAGAAAACCATCGGGTTTAATTGTTGCTGAATTCATCAAGATACCATAGACTAACCGACCTGGTTTCATCTGCATCTATCACCCATTATTGGTGTCTTACAAGCGTATACCGATAGCGCAGGGATTACCGTTCCATTATCACACATAAAAAAAATAACAAAAGAATAAGGACTAAAGTACAGAACATAGGAGAAAGGGATTGTTAGTAATGGGGAGGTCTATCAATATACTCTATCAGGTCGACCTCCACGCGGTTCCTTCTGGAAAGCATCGTGATCAATTTATCGCTGAATTCGTCACGATAGCCTAACTGACCTGCTTTTTTATCCTCACCAATTCCCCTCACCAATCACTGGTGCCCCGCCAGCGTATACCGATAGCGCAAGCAGGGTTACCATTCCATTATCATACATTAATACAAGACATAGATTAAGTATTAATTTTTATTATTTTACTTTTTTAATACTCATACATGTATGTGTAACGGTGACGGCAACGAAAGACGTGCGCCTTTAGTCGTTTTTAGGTCGTGACCTTAAAATGACTAAATAATGACGTCCTATATCATTTATTTATCAGACGTCATCGTGACGTACCTAACATTGTACGCTGTTAAATTTTTAATTTAACAGCATTCTAAAATATATACTTAAGAGCGATACACCCTAAACAAGTTAAAACCCATAGATTTTCCTCTACAAAACAAAACTTAATTAAGCATGATTACAAACATGATATTTGATGACATTTCTATAGGACCAATCTGAAAGTATATCCTTTCAAATAAAAAAGAATATCCCAAATCGGTTTCAAAATGACGTCTTGAGATACACAAACATAAAAAAATAACCGAATCGAACGCTTTCCTTTTTTAAAAGGCGATTAAAAATGGAAATATGTTTAAAGGCGTTCATACCATATTCATACCGAGGTCTATCTATAATCTATATTCTAAAGTATGGCAATGAGAATATTTAACAATATATATATATATATATATATATATATATATATATATATATATATATATATATATATATATATATATATATATATTATAGTTGCAATATCTATACACAGTTCCAGTAACGTGTTAAAAATATGTGTTATCTAAAAAATAATATTGGATAATAGACTTTTAGCATATTTGAAAATAGATATCCGACCAATATGGGCGATATCGAAATGGCTGATGACCTTTTTCCACCATCAATGACCAGTGGAATCCATCATATAGATATCGGATCAGTGTCTATGTTACCTATGCCTAATATAACATTTTACTTCTCTAGCAGAGAACTAATAAACTTTCTTAAATAATCTCTCAGAAACATTGAAAAACTGTAGATTGTTTTTTATAATTGACATATAATTGCGATGTTGCCACTTCAGAGGGCCTACCATGAAATATTTTCCGAAATTTCGGGGACAAACGAAATAGAAATTTGATGTTAAAATTACATAATACATGCCGTTTAAAATTATTAAAAATATTAAAATATCGTTCCTCTGCACTATTAGGATAGGATTTATGATGAATGAAACGTTAAGCTCCATTTACTGGGTCGATTTAGGTACGAACAAAAACACGAAATTGAGCCCGAAAATTCGGAATTTCATTTCATGATATGCCCTCAGTAACCAAAAGCTGTCTTTTCTTCTTTCTTTTTATACAACTTAGAATGGCAAACAAACTGACAGCCTACCTGATGGAAAGTGGTAACCGTCGCCTATACACATGAGCAGTACCATGAACATAACAAAGTGTACTGTTTCGCCCATGATGCCCCCCATGCGTTGCCATTCCTGAGGACTCAGGTGTTATTCCTCTGTACCCAGTAAATTCACGCCATATCCCACCCTTCAAACCGAAACACAGCCACGCAAACACAACTGCTTCACGGTAAAAACACGAATAGGACAGAGGTACCCAAGCAATCGACTTTTGTACAAATTCTCCCTCTGGTAAGATGATATCCTATGGTAAGGTGGTAATATATAGTTTACATTACTCTGTCTTTTAAATTTGATAATTTAAATTCTCCGATTTTAGAAATAGCAAAATGACATTTTTGGTATCGACCCTAGAAAGGTTTATATTAAAAGTGCCCTGTGGTTTTGGTTAAATCCAATTTGCATTTATATTGATTTGCATCGTTGAAATACACAAATGAACCGTCATCGATACAAATACATGTTTTGTTTACAAGGAAATTTAGTGTTTCCTTAAGTACCTACGCTACATATATAGGAGTAATTACAAATACATAAATAACATTGTGGTTAGCAAATACGTCAGTTAATTTTAACTATTTTTAAACATTACAGTATTTGAAAGGATGTAGACAAAAACTTAAGGATGAAGTCATCTAAACCAACCTGTTAAATTCACCGTGTATTGAAATTATAGTAGCAAAGATAAATTACTTCTGCCAGTAAGAGACTTTGTACAAAAGTCATTTGCTTGGGCACCTCTGTCCCATTCGTGTTTCTATCGTGAAGCAATTATATTTGCATGGCTGTGCTATACGGTTTGAAGGATGAGATATGGCAGTGAATTTACAGAGTACAGAGAAATAACACCTAAGTCCTCAGGAATGGTAACGCGTGGGGGGTATCATGTGCGACAATATACTCTGTTATGTCCATGGTACTGCTCATGTCTATAGGCGACGGTGACCACTTTTCATCAGGTGGGCCGTCAGCTTGTATGCCATTCTAACTTTCATTAAAAAAAACTTAGTGATTCAGTGATTTAATACACTGCCTCGTCTTCTGATGGTCACCGGTTGGATGGATGGGATGGCCCCACTCAATATATATAATGTACATTTTATAATCATGAGCCTGTTTTTATTGATTTCATTATTTTCTATCTCTGTATCATCAACATTATCATCACATCAGCCGTTAACTGTCCACTGCTGAACATAGTCCTCCTCCTTTGAGGGTTTTACCAGTAGTTGCCACTCTTGACAGGCGTGTTGGCAACCACAGTTAGACGTTGATGATGTTTTTAGAGAGACGCTGTTACCGATCCCTCGACCATTCAGTTCCTTTAGTCGCCTCTTACGTCACCAACGGGAAAGCAAGAGGTGGCCCATTCTATGCCGGAACCACACGGCGATTTATGTATACTATAACTATATATCATCATTTTAGCCATTATCCGTCCACTACTGGACATAAGCCTTCCTCATAGACTACCATGAAGAACAGTCCTGAGCCACCTGCATCCACTAACTCCCTGCAATGCATTTCAGGTCGTCACTCCATCTAGTAGGAAGTCGTCTCACAACTGCATTTAACTGTACTGGAAAGGGATTGTTAGCAATGGAGTTTAACAGCCCCATTGCTAGCAATATGCCCTATTAGGTCGACTTTCACGTGGTTCCCCCTGGAAACCATCGTGAACAATTCATGTTGAGTTCGTCACGATGGACCAACTGACCTGCTTCATCCTCACCTATCATCCTTCACTGGTGCTCCGCCAGCGTATCCTGATAGCACAGGCGAGGTTACCATTCCATTATCACCCATTAAAAAAAAACCTTACGCAGTCGCCACCCAGTATACTCTGTTATATCCATGGTACTGCTCATGTCTATAGGCGACGGTTACCACTTTCCATCAGGTGGGCCGTCAGCTTGTTTGTCATTCTAAGTTTTATAAAAAAAAAACCCAAGAACCTTTCTTTCCCATTGTTTGTCGGTTTTTCGAGCTATGTGACGAGACCGTTGTCACTTCAGCTTGCTTATCCTTCGAACTATGTTGGTTACTTTGGTTCTTTTGCGGATATCCTCGTTTCGGATTATATCACGCAAGGAGACTCCGAGCATAGTCCTCTCCATAGCCAGCTAAGTAATTTAAAGATTTTGCATACGGACAAGCATGTAGGACCGTGTTAAGGTTCCCTAAGTCATCACTGGCAACACGCACTGGCCCTATGCCAACGCTAAAATCAATAAAGCAGGTGGAATTACCATCCCATTTACATGATTCGACAGGCTTCAACAAGTGGAGAAGACACTAGTAATCCCGTGTTAGAACGTTCCTTAAAACTAAATTTAGAAACCATTCACCGCTTTTAATAAAATTTTATAAGTGTTTTTAACCTGAGATATAGAACAGTTCTATCCCAATAATAAAAAAAAAAAAAAACATTTAAGAGTTTCCTCTTGTTGGTGCAACTAATTCATGCATCTTCTTCCAGCCAGCTCTATCCCAGGCCATATCCTTGACCTCCCTATACGACATGACACCTAGTGTTTCTTTTATCTCTCCCATGTAGTTATTCCGTAAATGACGGTGAACGCAAAATAATGTTTGCCGGGTTGACCAATTTTAACTATGGGTTATAAATTAAAAAAATGTACTTACGACCCTTCTAATTCCAAAAGACAGCCCGAGCTATCCGCGTATCCTTCTGCTATCTGAAATTTATAACAATCCTATTAATATTATAAAAGCGAAAGTTTTGTAAAAATGGATGGAAGAAAGTTTATTAGAGGGTGGATAATATATAGCAATATATATATACACACATATATATATATATATATATATGTATATATATATATATATATCCTGTCTCTTCTTTACACAATCCTTTTTAATCCTGCTGCTCCTGATTATCTAAAAGACCGATTCTTGTTTCTCAGTGAGGCTAATGATCATACTTTACGCAGTGTCAATAACCTCCGACTTAAATTTCCCACTCATTCTTCTTCCTTTTATTCTAAATCCTTTACTGTTCAGGCAGTTCGTCTATGGAACTCACTGCCTACCTCTATTCGGTGCGCTCAAACTCTTACTAGCTTCAAAACCTCTGTTAAATCTTACTACCTCTCACTTTAGTACTATTTTCCTGTGTTCTCTCTTCGTTTTCCTTCGTCATTTTTTTTTCTGTTGTATGTGTGCTGTTAAGTATGTGTATGTTATGTATATATTTAATTGTGTATATATTATATATGTATGTGTATGTATGTATGTATGTTATGTATATATTTAATTGTGTATATATTATATATGTATGTGTATATATGTATGTATGTATCTATATATGTTTGTATATGATAATATTTATATAATAGTGCGCCACCTACTCTTTGTCTTTTTCTCAATGTCCTCTACCCAAAGGTTGTCTGGAAGAGATTGCTTAGCGATAAGGCCGCCTTTTGTATCACTTCTCATTAATATTTACTGTATTTGTTATTTCTCTTTTTACTTGGTGCAATAAAGTGTAAATAAATAAATAAATAAATAAATATATATATATATATATATATATATATATATATATATATATATATATATATATATATATTGTAGCTACAATATCTATATATTCGTCCGATGAGGAATATGTTAAAAAATCTGTAATTGACTTTGTACAAAAGTCGATTGTTTGGGTACCTCTGTCCCATTCGTGTTTCAACCGTAAAGCAGTTGTGTTTACATAGCTGCGTTTCCGTTTAAAGGGTCCCACCCTTTTTTTATGGCGTGAATTTACAGGGTACAGAGGAATAACACCTGAATCCTCAGGAATGGCAACGCATGAGGGGTATCATGGGCAAAACAGTATACTCTGTTATGTCCATGGTACTGCTCATGTCTATAGACGACGGTTACCACTTTCCATCAGGTGGACCGTCAGCTTGTTTGCCATTGTAAGTTGTATAAAAAAAATTTAAAAAATAAAGTTGGAAAATAAACTTTTAACATGTTCGAAAATAAATATCCGACCGATATTGGTGCTATGGAAATAATTGAAATGGCTGATGACCTTTTTTTTGCCATTAAATGTCCAGAGGAATGCAATATATAGATAAAAGATCGGTATTCAATTACTACTGCTTAATTTAATAGTATATTCTTTATTGCACTTGTAAGTTACATATAAAATAATGTATTTATAAATGTTGTGAGCAAGGGTGGACTTATCTCTGACAGAGATCTCTTCCAGTCAACCCAGTACAGTAAGAAAGCATTTCGTTAGCGGACAGCTGAGCATTTATTAGTTTTTCACGCAAAAATTACTGAACGGATTTGAATTACATTTTATACACGGGTAGATTACATCATAGCTTAGCAAATAGGTTACTTTAATCATTGATACACGCGAGCAAAGCCACGGAATATATTTAGTAATATAATAAGTTCCAAATGATCACACCAACCGCCTGATCCTCAAGCTAGATAACCCTATCATACGAAAACATGGCAACGAACTAAGGGCACAGTACAAGACACCCAGAGCAAAGCCCAAAATTTGGAAGAGTTCTTTTCCTGCGTTGGTCCAACCGGGAATCGAACCCGGGACTCTGACTTACACAAACCAAGGTGCCGATCACTGCGTCACGGAGGTCGTCATAATAATGTACTAATATTTTTTTTATAACAAACAACAATCGCTAATCACACATCCGTAGCCTGGAAGCTGATAATATTAAACCAGAATTGCGAGTAGGTACATGATTAATAAATCAACACATACAATGCACTAATTGTACCATTAAACGCGAGTGAGATAGAATTAAAATTAAATGAAATATTGATTTGCTTTAAACAGACATTTAACTTAATAAAGGCCATGTGACCGAACTTTTTAGCATCTGTTTAATGGACTTAAAATTGTATACATAAAAATGTAATATATTAATTAATTACATATATACATACATACATATCTGTCACGCCTGTCTCCCATTAGGGTAGGCAGAAACAATAGAACGCCAAATGCTTCGATTCAAACAAACCTCTTTCGCTTCTTCCACATTCATCAATCTTCTGTACTACTTGAATAGAGATATATATACTAACTATATATATATATATATATATATATATATATATATATATATATATATATATATATATATATATATAAATAACATTAATGTTGTATAATTTTAGTAGTCACCAACATTAATAACAACCAACAAGCATGCTTGCCTGCTCCAGTCCAAAATATTAGAACTCCCTACTTGTAGAATACATTTTTTTAGAAATCCCTTCTCATTTCGCGCTGAGCAACTATGGAACAGGCTACCTGCTGACATACAGGATAGTCCTTCCACTATTTCCTTCAAGAAAAGGTTGAAATCTCACCATTTAACTAGTAATACATAATAATACTATACACTTACTTATTACATGTATTGTTTATGTATATATGTATATATATATATATATATATATATATATACATATACATATATATTATGTTTTATAAACCATCCGACTTCAATCGTTGCGTATGTTATGTTATTTTTATAGTAACGTTATGAATAAAAAAGAAAACGGAAACCGCATTCAATTTATCAACACATCCAACGCATTTCGTGGGAAACGCATTGTTCATTGTGGACTTTATTGTAAGTCTGTATGTTACATTTTATGACGATCTCCGTTCTGCAGTTTTTTTTTACGCAAATTAGAATGGCGAACGAGCTAACAGCCCACCTGATGGAAAGTGCTAACCGTCTCCTATAAACGTGAATGGTACTATGAACATAACAGAGTACACTGTGTCGCCCGTGATACCACTCATGTGTTGCTATATAATTGTATAAAATGCTCAAACTTTATATTGCTTTTGACCAATACTTCTTTGAAATGAAATTCAGTTTTGCTCATGAAACTTTCCTTTAAAATGCTGATAAAAATCATTCTACATATGACGCAAATAGCTGTGTGGCCCTGGTATAGAATAGGCCACCCCTTCCTTTCCCGTGGATGTCGTAATAGCCGACTAAGGACCAAAGCAGGCAAGGCAAGGGATGGGCAGCAGCGTCCCTCTTAAAACATCTCTAAAGGCTGACTGCGGTTGCCAATTCGCCTGCCAAACGTGGCAACTACTGGCAAAACCCCCCAAGGGACAGGCTTGTGTTCAGCAGTGGACAGTTAAAGGCTGATATGATGACGATATGACGCAAAATATAATTATTTTTATAAATTATATAAAGTAACAATTAACTGATAAAATACAACGAAATGAACACTACATTTTCCTGCATATGGCTTTGTTTTCAAGCATTGACGTAATTTCAGTTGCTAATTTAATTTAATAAAAATAATTTTGTTCTTTAGAAGTTTATTTTTAAATAATAAAATTTAATAAAAATAATTTTGTTCTTTAGAAGTTTATTTTTAAATAATAAAATTTAACAAAAATAATTTTGTTCTTTAGAAGTTTATTTTTAAATAATAATAATAATATATAACAGGAGAAATAACCTTTGTAAGAAGATTCAAAATTAGGGTTATGCTTTTTTCTTATGTAACATAGAATGGTAAACAAGCAGACGGCTCGCCTGATGGAAAGTGGCAAACAATGCCTATATACAAACACATATATATTGCTGAATATGTATAACTGAAAAATAGGCAAATATAAAAAAAAGTTAATGTTAGGACTGAATATCGATATGGAGAAACCATTTGGCAGCCACAGTTTAAGTTTTTTATACAATTTAAAATGGCAAACAAGCTATATAGCTCACCTGATGGAAAGTGGTAAACGTCGCGTCGCTTATAGACATGAGCAGTACCATGGACATAATAGAGTATACTGTTTCGCCCATGATATTGTCAATCCTAAGGACTCAGGTGTTATTCCTCTGCACCCTGTAAATTCACGCGATATCCCTCCCTTCAAACCGAAACACAGTCATGCAAAACACAACTGCTTCACGGTTGAAACACGAATGGGACAGAGGTACCCAAGCAAACAACTTTTGTACAAAGTCTCTCTCTGGTATTTTACTAGTAGTTGCCACACTTGGCAAATGGGTTAGTAACACAGAGTTAGACTTTAGTTTATATTGTTTAAGGAGCATTAAATTCCCTTATTCGCCTCTTACAACCACGGGAAATGGAGGAATTTATTTAAAAAGCCTACCATGATAACAATATATAAAAATATACACACAATAGGGTTTACTAAAAAAAAAATATTAATTTAGAAAAAAAAAACAATAATATATTAGGACTTACCATTAAAAATGTGATTGTGAACGCAACGAGCCGCATTTTAGATATGTACCCGTCACGGCGTTATTAATTAAAATGTTGGCCACAAATAACCTATAGGTTGGTTCAATTTAAACAACTGGTATGCGAACAAATATAGCTCAGGATCACTGTGTTCCCCTTTTCCTCTTTACTACACTCAGCACATTATGCGCGATAAATAAAGGTCATTAGTTTTACATAGGTAATTAAAAATAATTACCGCCAAATTAGAGTGAACGGATGAGAATTTTGAAATTTTACTATGCTATCTAATAAAGTAATTGTTTTAGAAGAAAAAATATGGAATTTTTTTGTACCTATATCAATATTTTTCAAACTATATTTTTTTTTTATAAATTTTATAAAAAAAATATATGTTAAAATACTATTTTAACTGGATTGAAATTATGACGGTTTATTTTAACATTGCCAATGATAACGATTGTTTAAATTGAATTTAAAAATTTATATTTGGAAGTTGATAATTTTCGCACTGGCTGGCTGGTAACGAACGTATCCCAAACTGCAACGAACTGATAAGGGAACGAAACATGTAACCGATCTAATTCGAGAATAAACTAGTTCCCAAAGTTTTTTTTTTTTTTGACAACATATTTTTTTTTGTGTCTCTATTTATTACCTTCTATTTCAACATAGTGTTCGAATTGTGGACGTGGAGGAGAATGGAAAGGATAAGCTGAACAGAAAAAATAACGAATGAGGTCCTTAAAAGAGTGAATGAGAAAAGAACATTAATAAAAATAACAAAGAATTGAAGAGGCAAAATGCTGGGCTAACTTATATGACATAACGTTTTTCAAAGAGCACAATAGAAGAAAAAATAGAGAGCAAAAGAGGAAGGAGAAGACATGGGACAGATAAAGGAAACACTAGGTGTCATGTCGTACAGGGAGGTCAAGGATATGGCCTGGGATAGAGCTGGCTGGAAGAAGATGTATGAACTAGTTGCACTGACAAGAGGAAACTCTTAAATAAAAAGAAGACCAACATGTACGTAGAATTTGAGGTACATGCTAAATTTAGTAATAATTAGTGAAACGGTTTTTTTTTTAACGCATGATAATGGAATGGCAACCCCACCCTCGCTGACGATAAACACTGGCGGGGTACCAGTGAGGGATGACAGGTGAAAATGAAAAAGCAGGTCAGTTAGTCTATCTTGTTGAATACACCTGGGTTTCAGCACGATGGTTTCCAGGGGGGGCCATGTAGAGGTCGACCTAACAGGGTATATTGCTAGCAATGTTTTCTTTCACATCCTAGTAATTATTATCTTAGTAGTTATTGCACTAAGACATACAATAACAACAATAAGTTAATAACAATGTTAACAAAGGCGTACTTATCTTTTAAAGAGATTTCTTCCAGTCAACTTAACACATTATAATAAAATTATAAGGAGATGATGTCTATACATGGGAGAGATTTCAGAAATAAAAACACGAGGGGTGTAAATAAAACAAATAGATGCTAAAACAATATTTTTTAGAGGTTTTCCCTGTCTGTCTACCTGTCTGTATGTTTGTTCCAACATCACAAAAAAACTACTGCACCAAATTAAATGCAGTTTTTACAGTTATCTTTAAGGTCTAATTTAAAATCTGGTCTTTGTTTCATCGTAGTATGATATCTAGAACTGATGTATTTCATTAGTTTTCCTACTACTAAAATTCACATGTACGAAGTAGCGCGCAAAAAGCTAGTCTTGTGTAAGCAAAAATCATTGAATAAGTGCATACATGCAATTCACGTATCATGGGCGAAACAGTATACTCTGTTATGTCCATGGTACTGCTCATGTCTACAGGCGACGGTTACCACTTTCCATCAGGTGGGCCATCAGCTTGTTTGCCATTCTAAGTTGTATAAAAAAATTGCTAATGTGATGCCATCTAAACTTTATCAAATTAAACAAAATACTTAGTTTGAAAGTCATTTATTTTTTCAAAATAATTAAAATAACCTTATATTTAATTAAAAATAGGTGCATATTAAATAAATAATACAGAAAAATACTTGACCGATTTTTATCAAAAATATTTAGAGAGATTCAATATTATTATTTTAAAACGTTTTTGTCTTTATCACAAATCTTACATTATTTTATGATTGATTTTGAAACAAACGTTATACAAAAAAAAATATATAAAAATAAAAACTAAACAGTTTAAGTTATTAAAAAGTAAATTTAGTCACAATATTTAAGTACCTTTGAGACCAAATAATTGAGGAATTTTGAGTTCTTTTCAATTATATACTTTATTATATGTTTTTTTAAACCGTCGTGAAGTGAAAGGCCTTCTAAATTTTATCTTGTTAATAATTATATATGTATATACATTAACTGTGATATTAAAAAATAATAATAACAAAAAATAATCAAACATAATATTTACCCTATGTAGGTACTTACATTCTCAAAATACAAAGTATCAATGATTGTTAATTTCCTTTAATGTTAATTCAGGAAGAAATTGTTGATTCAATTTCTAAACGAAGACTACATACATATATAAATAAATACATATTTTTTTCATAAATATTTATATTATTTAAATATTTATTTATAAATAAAATTAAAAGTAAAATGTTGAGGTCGCTTCTATAGAAGCAATCGCTAAAATTATTGTAATCTAATATTTTTACAAATGCACTATTTTATGAACTATCATGAATTAAATTTACAATGACTTAAATCTTTTAGAAATTTATTACAAATCAGTTTTTAAAATAAAAATTTCTCCTGTTATAAAATTATTTAAGGTATTAATACTTAGAGAACATCTTTCCAAACTCGAGCTCATTGTCATTTTTTGTAAAATTGACATAACTATAGTCACTTTCAATTTACATGTAACTTTTTAATTAAAATCATTATAACAATGCATGTAGCGTATAATTGTATTTAATACAGTGACAAGAAGCTTATTACTAAATGGTAATAAAAAAAAATTATTAATATGAGTATTATATTACGTGGTCGAAATACACATGGATTTATGCCAACCTTATGCCGTAAGAAATGACATTCTTGCAATGTAACATGTCGGAAGAATGTCATTTCTTATGAGATTTTGCAAGGTTATGTGCATAGAATATGTGTTGTCCCGGCATAGAATAGGCCACCCCTTCCTTTTTCGTGTGTGTCGGAAAAATGCAAATGGATTTAAACCAACCTTATACCGTAAGAAGTGACATCCTTGCAATGTTTCTTACATTACAAGAGTGTCACTTCTTATGATTAATGACATTGACAATTTGCAAGATTGTGTACAAAATATGTTTTTATGAATTGCATATCATTTATTATATGATTCATACACATCTCTGACTAGCCGTTTGAGGAAATTGTAAGTATTATATCAAGTATGTAACATTTTACATTATTATAACTAATACATAATTAAAATATATTAACAATATTATGAAGACATACTTAAATTAACTTACATTAAGGCTAGCACCACATTTAGCAAATGTTTAGTCGCCGATCCTCCGCCGCGGACGATTGACGACAGAGTAAACAATATAAATAAAATAAAAAAATAAAATCTCCCTGAAACTGCACGTTACTTAATATTTAACGTAATTTTGTCTTACATTTTTTTTTTAAATTTTCAATTAATGTTACATACTCGTAACAGTCGTTTATTGTGTTAATTTTATAAATTTTAGTAAAATTATTATATATATATATATATATATATATATATATATATATATATATATATACATCATAACATTCAATATCCATCAGCGTATCCAGCCTCCGTAGACAAAATACTAACGAATCTATTGATAGAATCGCTATCGCTAGCAAGTCTAAGAAATAGTATGAAATGGCAATGTGCGCTGTCTTGTTCTTTCACATGTGAGCAGGGCTGTAGCCAGACTCAAGTTTAAGGTAGGGCAGAAGCCATAATTAAATGACTACAAAAAGGCAAATCTGTCTAATTTTCTTGGGGCCTTTTATTTTAAGGTAGGGCATTGCCCTTCAATGCCCCCCCCCCCCCAGCTACGGCCATGCATGTGAGTAATGGCCAGAGCAATAACTATAAATAGATTTGTTTCTACCTTGTCGAGGGGGTTGTTCGGCACATCAACTAACTACATCGAGACTAATCTAACGAGTTCAGACTCGGTGGGTCTACGTTAACTATAGTAAAATGTGTAACATCTATTTTATTACATGATTACGATCAGCTTCTTCATTCCGAATTTTATATATATACTAAATGTGAAGAATAGTTGCGCTGTTATGGCGCCAATAAGTAACAAACAAACACACATCCACATTTATAATATTTTTATATTTTAATTTAGTAACTGACAGTTATAATTTCACTCAACACTTATTTATCTACTTTTGACCGTGGAGTAATCAAACATATAAAGCATAAAATATTTTGATAAGTAGAGAATTTTGCTTATTAAATTGTTAGGTACATATCAAACTGTGTGACAAAAATTCACTCTTGCCTGTCAGCTAATTTTTTTTATAATTTTTCAGCACTTACTCATATTTTTTGAAAAATACTCCTCTTAAATAAGATCTCTTGGATTTGAAAAAGGAACAAAATTCTCACAATAACAAAATATCGCCGTTTTATACAGGCGCTTATCGACAGTCAGTAAAACTGACATTATACAATCCAATAAGACACATCGAATTATCAGTATTACAAATATGTACCGGACTAAACTGGCACTACACAATCGAAATAGGTACAGTGTCATTATGACAAATGTATACCGCGCTAAACTGACACTACACGATCGAAATAGGTACAGTGTCATTATGACAAATGTGTATCGCGCTAAACTGACATTACACGATCGAAATAGGTACAGTGTCATTGTGACAAATGTGTACCGCGCTAAACTGACATTACACGATCGAAATAGGTACAGTGTCATTATGACAAATGTTTACCGCGCTAAATTTACAATACACAAATCCAATTAGGCACATCTGATTATCATTATTACAAATATGTACTGAACTAAACTGACATTACACAATCAAAATGGGAATTGTCATTATTACAAATGCGTACCGACTTTGAACAATCGTTCCCGGACTTCGGCCTCGTCCTCCACGTTCTCGTATGTGGATGTGGCGTCACAGTCCTGTGAGTCTTCATCCTCCATATTGTCGTTTTCGTCATTTTCACTAACACGCCGTATTAGTGTGTTAGGCACAGTATATATTACACTGGGTTGTCCATTATCTGTAATTAGTAATAAAATAATTTAATTATATCTTAAAGAACGTTAATTATGTGTATTTTTTTTTTATTTGGACACCGCTCCTCCCTTTAATTAATGAGGCTATTTAAAACTTTAAATAACTGCATTTTATATGTTTATGTTTATTTTTATCGAAGATTTAAAATATAAACTAATGTTCTCTGTCTTAAATAACATTATAAATACAATGAGGACAGATTTTATTTTTTGTTTGTATTGGATGAACTCAAATGTTGAAAATTTCAAATACTACTTAAAAATTCTGTCACCTATACAGTACACATTATTAGCGAGTGATAAGTACAAAGGCGGGTCTCTAGTCGATTTTTTTTCTATATTTTTTTTATACAACTTAAAATGGCAAGCAAACTGACGGCCCATCTAATGGAAAATGATAACGGTCGCCTATAGACATGAGCAGTACCATATAACAGAGTATACTGTTTCGCCCATGATAGCCCCCATGCGTTGCCATTCCTGAGGATTCAGATGTTATTCCTCTGTACCCTGTAAATTCACACCATATCCTACCCTTCACACCGAAACACAGCCATGCAAACACAACTGCTTTACGGTTGAAACAAAATAAAAAAAATAAAAAGGAAATAAAAAGTTGACCGGAGATTTTTATTAATTCCTCTGCCTATACATTTATAGAGAGAAGAATTAATAAAAATTTGTAATTTGACGAGTTTTTCTAAACCCCTCTCTCTTAATATCGTTCCAGTTAACCATTTTCATGTTTTTTTTATGGATGCTAATGGAATAGCATAACTCTGCCTGAGCTAACGGTATACACCAGCGGGGCACCAACGAGAAGTAATAGGTGATAATGAAAAAGCAGGTCAGTGGGCTACATCGTGATGAATACATCTGGAATTCAGCACGATGGTTTCCAGGGGGCACCACGTGGAGGTCGAGCTGACAGAGTATATTGCTAGCAATGGAACTTGCAGCCCTTATTACTAACAATCCCCTCCTCCTATCATTTTCATGTTACCAGAACGACAAACTCGCATTTTAAGCTCATGTATTTAATTAAAATCTTTTTATGACCATAATTATATAATTGCGTTCTTATTCAACTAATGCAATACTAATCAATAAAGACTGATACTTAAATTGTATATATATATATATATATATATATATATATATATATATATATATATATATATATATATATATATATATATATATATATGTGTGTAAAAGTATATAATAAAATACCGACTGAATTAAAATTGTTATGTGAATTTATTTAAAAAGAGATTGTATACTTGGCTGAATATAAATAGTTTTTATGATGTAAAAGACTTTTTAAACAAAAAACAAAATAATCGTTAACCTTAAATGTATTTTTGCATGCTATCACCTTCTTTATTGAATATAGGCCTTCATTTTGCCAGTAATTACCACTTTTGGCAGGCGAGTTAGCAACCGCAATTAGGCTTTGATGATGTTTAAAGAGGGACGTTGCCATCCTTCCCTTGACCGTAAAGCTCCCTTAGTTGCATCTTACGACACCCACAGAAAAGAAAGGGGCGGCCCTTTCTATGCAGACACCACTCGGCTGTGTTATTTCATATTAAAATTGAATTATAAATAAATAAATAAAATAAATGTTTATTCATACATAATTCTTGTCAGGCTTATTATTGTGATGTTATTAGTTTTTTTTTTTTAAATCGTGAACGAGTATAATTAATGTTATTCACTAGTTATAAATCAATCAATGGTTTCTTTTTTTAACTTGACCTAGAATATAGACTTAGTAAGTATTATATATCTACATAATTAAATAGGTAAGTACCTATTAAATATACTGATTATAAAATCACTTGTAAGTACTCTTTATTAAATTAATCAACTAATAATAATAATCACGGAGTTCTAAAACATTTGCACTCTGCGTTTATAAGAACAATACATCGTATTATAACCCGCTCGTCCGTATATGTAGTACTTTTAATGAATTTTTAGCTAAATGTCCTCAAATTGATATCTTCAACTCACGTCTAGATACCTTCAAAAACATTTTACAATCAGCCATCAAGTCTCTTTGACATGTCCATATTTTTATGTATTTTTATTATTTGCATTTTATTTTTATTATTTGTTTTTTACGACATTCATATGCTTTCTTTATATAATTAATAATTTAACATTGTTCGCTGACTGCTTTAACCATGCTGTGTGTACACCTGTCTGGGTCTCAATCTGGTTCATACTATTATCTTTATATAAATGTTTATAATGTTATTGATTGTAACCTGTTGTGTATACCTTTAAATAAAATAAAAAACAAAATCCTGAAAGAGTTTACGTGTTTTTATAAATTAATGAATTTAAAAAAATGATCTATTGCAAGCAATCATTAATATGATATTAATATAAATCACCAATTTTGTACCAAATATTCTTTTTGTAATATGATCAATGAAGAATAGATAGATAGATGCTAATCGTTGTTTTAATTTATGTATATATATATATATATATATATATATATATATATATATATATATATATATATATATATATATATATATATTAGTTTATCCATATATATTAAAAGTAATGTTTATGTATTATATGTGCATCTTATGTGTATATTATATTTATATTGTGTATTGCCTTAATGTGTTACTATAATTGTCACATATTTTCCACCACATCTGCCCTTCATACGCTTTCTGTTTTTACCCAATGGTTAGCTGGTAGAGAATGCCATATGGTATTAAGCTCGCCATTTGTACAAAATTTTATTGTGAAATAAAGAATAAATAAATATATATTTGCATTACTTACAGCACACAAACTACAACAGATACAGATATAAGTACATACATAAAAAGTGAGATAAGAGAAATCATAAAAATAAAAATACATAAAAGCCAAATACAATTTTTTCCTTTTGTGCGTGTGCCATAACAACACAAAATGGTCACAACTCAGTTTATTGCTTCGCCCTCAAAAGAGCAAAGCACTGATATTCTGTTGTGGCCAAAAGGAATAGGGTAACAATAAAATAATGCTACCAGATTATCTATACAGTAAACAGCAATATGACAGTTCATCTAGCAGACAAATAAATACTAATAAGTAAGAGAGACTTTGTACAAAAGTCGATTGCTTGGGTACCTCTGTCCCATTCGTGTTTTTACCGTGAAGCAGTTGTGTTTGCATGGCTGTGTTTCGGTTTGAAGGATGGAATATGGCGTGAATTTACTGGATACAGAGGAATAACATCTGAGTCCTCAGGAATGGCAACGCATGGGGGGTATCATGGCCGAAACAGTATACTTTGTTATGTCCATGGTACTGCTCATGTCTATAGGCGACGGTTATCACTTTCCATCAGGTGGGCCGTCAGCTTGTTTGTCATTCTAAGTTGTATAAAAAAAAGATATTATGTAGTTATATATTATTAAAAGCAAGTTAGTAAATAGGTGTACAACTCACAAAACACAAAATTATCAAAAATAAGAAAATTTATACTAAAATACATAAAACTATTTGAATTTTTCAAAAATTACACAAACGTCAACGAAACCGTATTCAGTTTTGCAAGTACGTTACACAAAACACAACATTGTCAAAAATGAGACAATGAGACCAAAATAACCTTCCTGCTAAACTTATGACTGAATTTCACAAGCAACATTATTTGGCCTGTTTCGTTTGTTTTCAGTATATCTTTCCTCAGACGTGAGGGTATCCCATACTAAACTACATCAAAATCGGTTCAGCGATTTAACCGCGAAAACCAATGTGAGTTAATTTCATTTATAATGTCATGTATGTACTTTATAAGTGTGATCTAATGCTGACCCGACATCTTAGTTAGTTAGATTATATAGATACAAAATACCGTGATTAGTTACAGTAGTACGAGAAGTATTCAATTCAATTCAATTTACATACATACATACATATCTGTCACGCCTGTCTCCCATTAGGGTAGGCAGAAACAATGGAACGCCAAATGCTTCGATTCAATAATTAAATAATTCAGTTTCAATTTCATCAATGTAATGAAATTTTAATTAAAATCCAAGTTAATTTAATGATGTTAACGATTTTTTTTGTTTCCATACGTTTTATTTTAATTTAATGCAATTTAATGTAGTTGTTCATATTTTAATATTATTTTATTAGTATACTTATCAATTTTAGTATTATTAACTAAACCAGTAATATTTATATCCTCTTTTCATTTAAGAGTTTCGTCTTGTCGGTGCAACTAGTTCATGCATCTTCCTCCAGCCAGCTCTATCCCAGGCCATATCCTTTATCTCCCTATACGACATGACGCCTAGTGTTTCCTTTATCTGCCCCATGTAGTTATTCCTCGGTCTTCCTCTTCCTCTTTTGCCCTCTATCTTTCCTTCTACTATGCTCTTAAAAAAATCGTCATGTCGTATAAGGTGGCCCAGTATTTTGCCTCTTCTATTCTTTATTATTTCAACCAATCTTCTCTTATCGTTCACTCTTTTTAAGTTAAATATTTATATATTATGCGTTATTTTTTTTTAATCCAAATTTTTAACATTTAAATATTCATCTACATATCATAATAACATTTTTTAGCTAATAGTTGTTTTAATTGTGATATGAATACACGAAATATTTGTGTTACAAATATATCCTTCCAAGTGTATGATGTCTCTTTACATTATATAGATAGAGTGTCTCCATACAAATGCTTCGAGAAAAGCGGGTCAACTTTTTTTATACAATTTTGCGTGTTAACAATTATGAGTGATTCCTCTATAACTTCTATATTGATTTTGTCTTGTAATTGTTGCTTCCTTTTAATATGTAAACACTCATTTTATTTATTAAATAATAACATTAAAAATATTGGTAAAAAACGAGTCAGCTAATTTGACAATTAGCTGACAAAAAGTTGACCCATTTTTAAGGCTCGATGCTCTATCTATATAATCTAAGTTTAATACATATAAAATTTTATTTCAAGTTTCACTTTATTATATATTGACGCATTTTTCTTTCTACTCTTAGCTGCCTATTACAATTTGAGTATTTAAAGAAATGATGGCAGATTCTATCTGCCGCCATATTTGGATAAAATTTAAACATTGTATTGTGTGATCCCGACTTAAAATAAGTCACCCCTTCCTTTTCCGTGTGTATCGTAATAGGTGCCTAAGGGAGGGCGAGGGATCGGCAACAGCGTCCCTCTTAAAACATCTCCAAGACCTAACTACAGTTGCCGATCTGCCTGGTAAGCGTGGGTACTACTGCCAAAACTCCCCAAGGCTTATGTTCAGCAGTGAACAGTTAAAGGCTGATATGATGATGATGATGATGATGATTGGATCAAGATAAATTAATATAATGCAAATATACATATAATTTATATTATTATATAACACAGAAAAAATATTTTTGTTTGAATGCACTAAACTACCATATTTGGTAACGCATTCTTTTAATAATGTTATAAGCTATACCACATCACGATACAATCACGGGCAAAACCGCGGTATGTAACTAGTATTCTATGATGATATGAGTATCCTAGTATGACTTGCACCATCTACCTTTCTCTCTGTATTTATTTAATGTTTATTCCAGATCGTCTGTAAGAGATTGCTTTTAGCGATAAGGCCGCCTTTTGTATATGCACATTCTGTATAAATACTTCTTGTATACATCTCTACTGTGCGCAATAAAGAGTTTATAATATTCAAGCGTGAAGCAGTTGTGTTTGCATGGCTGTGTTTCGGTTTGAAGGGTGGGATATGGCGTGAATTTACTGGGTACAGAGGAATAACACCTGAGCCCTCAGGAATGGCAACGCATGGGGTGTATCATGGCCGAAACAGTATACTCTATTATGTCCATGGTATTGCTCATGTCTATAGGCGACGGTTACCACTTTCCATCAGGTGGACCGTCAGCTTGATTGCCATTCTAAGCTGTATAAAAAAAAACCTATACTTACATTCTGCAGAGGCTTTAAGTTCTAGGTTCCTTCTCCTCTGCCAAATTCTTTGCATGATCACCACTAGGATCACCACCAGCAGAATTATCAAAACTCCGGACAATACCCATGAAAGTTCTAGACCGGCCAACCTGAAAAGCGTTTTTATTGTATTAACTTTTATTTTTCATATTAATATCGTATAATCACAATAATCATCAATCATCGTCATCATTTCAGTTATTATTCTTCCACTGCTGGACATGGACCTCCCTCATAGACTGCTATAAGGAACAGTCCAGAGCTACCTGCATCATCAATATCAGTCATTTTTTATTATTGTGCATGCCTACAGTCAAGCAGCAATATTTTTTTTATACAACTTAGAATGCCAAACAAGCTGACGGCCCACCTGATGGAAAGTGGTAACCATCGCCTATAGACATGAGCAGTACCATGGACATAACAAAGTATACTGTTTCGCTCATGATACCCCCCATGCGTTGCCATTCCTGAGAACTCAGGTGTTATTCCTCTGTACCCTGTAAATTCACGCCATATCCCACCCTTCAAACCGAAACACAGCCATGCAAATACAACTGATTCACGGTAGAATCAAGCAGATGTCAAAAGTTCCTTCATATCTTTTATATATGTATATTCTATGATAGGCCTTTATTATGTTAAATGTATGTTTAAAGTAATTAAATATATATTTCATTACATCCTATCTTTATAAATGTTTCAAATGAGCTGTGTATGGTTTTTCAATACAACTTAGTAAAAATTTAAATAAAATGAAAAATAGTCCCGATCATAAAATCTAGCGCCACAAAAAATGGTCGGTTTTATAATATATTTATTATAAAAATAATAATATTGATACGATCACTATAAATAATACCACAGATAATACTCACGTTGTTGGAGACGCAAGTCCTGTTGGCTCGTTGACTTCCTCCCTAGAACATAAATAGCCCAAAATAAAAAGCAAAGAAAAAAAACTTCAATAATTACAGTAAACCAACTTTAACCTGCGACCTCATCCGCGTGACCGGCATATGTTCGCTTTATAAGCAAATAAAACGTGAATTACATTTTTTAATATATATTTTTATAGTATAATTCTCGAATTAAAAAACTCGTTTTTTTATTATTAAATATTTTCTATTAATATTTTTTTATACAACTTAGAATGGCAAACAAACTGACGGCCCACCTGATGGAAAGTGGTAACCATTGCCTATAGACATGAGTAATACCATGGACATGACAAAGTATACTGTTGCCGTCAGCGTATAACGCAGGTGGGGTTACCATCCATTATTACCTATAAAAAATTGTTTTATTCGATAAAGCGACACTCATCGTGACTGCACACAAAACATTGAAATTTTTGCAATTTAAAAAAAAAATATTTTAAATTTTTATAACCTATCATCATGTCAGCCGTGCTGAACATAATCCTCCCCTCATTGGAGGGTTTTCCCAGTAGTCGCTACACTTGGCAGACTAGCAACTGCTTTATTTATTTATATAATAAACTAATATAATTGGATTTTATTTATATTTCATCAACTACGAATACCAAGTATGCAGACAATAATGCAAAGACAATTAATGTTGGCAAGAAATTGTTTGCTATAAAATTATAGTTATATACCAATATTATAAATAACATCAATACTGAAAGAAATATAATTAGTGTTATGTCTTCCACGTGTCAAAATTGAAATGTTATGTTTAAATGTTAATGTAAAAAATAAAAAAAATATTAATTAAAATTATATGAACTAAATACTGTGTCAATACATTCCGTCATAGTGAATAGTATGCACTATTCACTGTTGTGTTTACATTAAACATTTGCGCTATTTTTATATGAAGTTATTGTCATCATGGTCTAATTTAGTTTAATTATGTGGTTACATTTACAAAAAAAAAAAAGGAAAATACATACAAGAACTAACACAATTTTCCTTTCGTGTGTGTGCTATGGCAACACAAAATGGTCACGACTCAGTTGATAGATCGCATTAATTTCTGTCTCTTGTAAACCAAAATTGGTTAAAAATTAATATTTTTTTTTATTACACCTGATGGAAAATGGTAACCGTCGCCTATAGACATGAGTAGTACCATGGACATAACAGAGTATACTGTTTCGCCCATGATACCCCCCATGCGTTGCCGTTCCTGAAGACTCAAGTGTTGTTCCTCTGTACCCTGTAAATTCACTGCCTTACCCCACCCTTCAAATCGAAATACAACCATCATATTTATCATTCTACACTCATTGTCTATATACCTACGTCCGCACAATTTTCGTTAAAAGGGCTACAAAATTTTTGCTTTACGTATTAATATACAGAGTATGAAACAATAAGCTATATAATCTAATTGCCTGATAAAAAAAAGGTATACCTTTTCGTCAGGCAATTAAATAAACGTTACAGGTTTTTGTGTTTTATGCACGAAAATTATTAATTCACTCTTACGCCACTTACCCACATCTATATGTTCTCCTTTAACCAAAGGTTGTCTGTAAGAGATTGCCCTAGCGATAAGACCGCCTTTTGTACCTTTATGTGTATATTTCAATCTGTATTTATGTTACTGTATTTCACTTGAATTATTCACTTATTAATGCATATATTTTTTTATGGTGCAATAAAGAGTTAAATAAATAAAATAAATAAATAAACCGAACTCAGTGCAAAAGAACAGAAACTCTGAATAAAACTCCAACCTATATGGCCATATTATAGTGACTCGAATATAGCAATGAGACGCCAATACGAGTATGTTAGTGTGATGATTAATGACTCCCATGGCGTATAGTGGTGGGCAGGTTGCTTTGCGTAACCGGCTTCGATTCTCGGTCGGACCAAAAGGAAAGGAAACCAATCTTTCTGAGTTAGGTCGGGACTGGGTGTACTGAGTTGTGTCCTTAGATGTTCATTGCCTCATACTTCATAACACAATACCCTGGTACAAGATATCTCTTAGCTTGAGGATCAGACGATTGATGTGATTGGATGTTGGTTTAAAAAAAAAAGGTGATTCTAGTATTCTATACATATAATAAAACTGTAGAGGTCGAATGTCTGTACATAGAAAAACGCTAAAACCGAGTAAATTTAGAAGTGAAGTAGAACACATGCATATTTTTTATATTTTTTTTTATTTCTCTGTATATTTGCGTGTTTGTACGGTCTAATCTCTGAAACTGTTGAAGATTTGCATGGTGGTACCTTACATCCCCGGTCCACATTTTAGATACTTTTAATCACGGACAATTAAAGAGTTTTCGTGGGATAGTTAAAAATCTATAGTAATTTATACAGCTTAGTGCACAAGTCATTTTGACTCAAGGCATAAAGTGAGAACGACTTGTCATTTGTTAATTTTAATCTAGTATTCCTAAACATACTTCACTATAATAACGAGGTTGAAAATGTTAGTCGAAAGAATAACAAACGCCATGCGAACAAAGTCGCGGGCATCAGCTGGTTTAGTTTAAAGACATACTTTTACTTACGGTGTAATTGGCTTGCAAGTATCGCCGTCGAGTTCAAACCCTAATTCGCAAATGCATTCCCCGTGAACATTACAAGTACCATAGTTGCAAACACTATTGCAGGGTTTATAACAGATGTGTGGTACCGTCGAATTGTTTCTGTAACCATCCTCACACTGACACTCGTTGGGAGCTGAGCAAATTCCGTTGATGCATCCATCGCGGCATATGGGTGTGCACTTGCTTCTATTATTCAAATTATATCCTTCATTGCATATGCACACATCTGGTGATTGGCATTCACCGTTTTCACATTCCGAACACTTTGGCTTACATCTCCAGCTGTCCACTTCCTCGTATCCTGGAATGCATTCGCATTTATTCGGTGCAATACACACTCCATTTTCACAATTTTTCTCGCATATAGGTAGACATTTTGCATCGTTGTTTGGGTCTTGGCTATAACCAGGTTCGCATGTGCAGTTCAGTGTGTGAGGGTCGTTGATGAATTGAGCCGGACATTCTGAAGCACAGTGAGTTTGGTTGATCCGTCTGTGCCCGGTGTCACACTCGCACGTATTGTTGTGTGTGCATTTAGCGTTGAAACACGGATCCTCACATATTACAGCTTCTGTGTAGGCATTGTCCACGGTGCGTTTACAACCAACAGTTTTCACGTCATAGTACCAACCCGAACAGCAGTATACCACTAAATTTTGGTGTTTCTGTAAAAAAAAGATGAAAACCTGGATTAAATTTTAAAAATCTTCCAAAGAATTACCAGAGGGAGACGTTGTACAAAAGTCGTTTGCTTGGGCACCTCTGTCCTATTCGTGTTTCAACCGTGAAGCAGTTGTGTTTCCACGGCTGCGTTTCGATTTGAATGGTTGGATATGGCGTGAATTTACAGGGTACAGAGGAATAATACCTGAGTCCTCAGAAATGGCAACGCATAGCTACTAAGGAGGTAACTAATAAAAGTTTTTATTTAAATTTCAAACTGGCTTACAAATAGAAAGCTGTTTATTGAAAAAAAAAACAAAGGAACATTATGGTGCATGAAAAATTATTATTGTTCGTTATTCGTCATTGAACTTAAAAAGTAAAATTGTGTTTTTGATTTCCGCGCATTGTTTGAGAAAAGTACTATACAAGCCTTGGCCACAACTAGGCATTGATGGACTCACGTATGTTTTTTGTTTGCAACTTCGTCCATCAATGCCTCAGTTGCTGGCCGCTGCAGTAATGTACTATTTTTTTTATTTGAAAGGACATACTTACAGATTGATTATATAGAAATTTTATCAAAATCCATTAAGTAGTTTAGTTTTTAAAATAACTGGTTTCGAAAACAATATTACAATGTTTTTTGTTAAGCGAAATTAGGGACCGTAGTCAAAGGAAATATTTTTTTTTTATAAATTGACACCATTATTTTAAATTATAATAACCAAATTGATAACCATACAAAGCGCCTGTTATAATGTTATCAACGGAAAATTTAACAAAAGGCTCATTGAATGTGCACCGATAAAGCGTTTCAATTTAACAGAACAATTTGTAATACCAGAATTTAATACAACAACCAACTTTTTATATTTACCAGGAAATAATATGAGTAAAGTAAAATCCTTTATAATATTATAAATACGCAAATTTGTAACGATGGATGAATGGCTGATTTTTGAATAAAATCCAGTATATGGGTAGGTTATTTTCTTATGTAACTTAGAATGGCAAACAAACTGACGGCCCACCTGATGGAAAGTGGTAACCGTCACCTATAGACATGAGCAGTACCATGCACATAACAGAGTATACTGTTTCACACACTATACTCCCCATGCGTTGCCATTCCTGAGGACCCGGGTGTTATTCCTCTGTACCCAGTAAATTCACTGCCATATCCCTTTAAACCGAAACACAGCCATATCACACAGTTACATCTTAATTTAGTACATAGGATATGATACATTATATACTAATTCATGCGGGTAAAACTGCGGGATATAGTTAGTTAGTATTGAACGAAACTGATGATTGTGAATATCTAATTTAGGTTATGTTAGGTTAAGTTCAAATTTGAACTTTGAAAACCACGGAATAAAGTTGATAAAAGCTTGTAATTTTCAGTCACACAATCATTATTAGAATATGATTTTTATGAGCTAATAATGTATGTATGACAAATTGTAATTAGTAAATTGCCAAATGCAACATAAATGAATAAATATTTCCGTATTTACCTATTGGTTACATTTAGATTCCGTATACAGACCCAAAATACAAATTATTAAAAATTTGTGGTCTCAGTTTTACTGTTTTAATGTATGTATTATTAAATTAGTATAACTAAAATATACATTTAAAAATACACATACCTCTCTTATCCGATATCTGTTCAGTTTGGTGGTACTGAAAAAAATAATGTTTTTTTTAATGAGTACATTCAACGATTTTTATAGCAAAAAATATCTAAATACATACACACACATACACACAGTTTTTTCTTATTTTTTTAAACAAAATTCATATTTTCCCCTCTTAAGAAGAAAAGATGGCAAAATAATCCCCAGCAGAAGCTCAGTCGGCCGGCGAGAGAAACCAGCATCGCACCCAAGAGTACCGCCTTCTGCATCTGTTCCGGAAGTGGGTGACCTTAGCATATCAACCTTTTGAGGTATTGTACCAGGCTAAGTGGGATAAGATCGTTCACCGCTCCCATATTACAGACACCTCGTGAATCAAGTCGAAATATTATTAAATTGTTGTTTGAAAAATTATACAAAAAAAATCTTACTAGTAATATAATACTTAGACTTAACTCCAAAGATAATGAGTTCTAATAATTTTTTTTCTTTTTTTTTTATATACAACTTAGAATGGCAAACAAGCTGACGGCCCACCTGATGGAAAGTGGTAACCGTCGCCTATAGACATGAGCAGTACCATGGACACAACAGAGTATACTGTTTCGCCAATGATACCCCCCATGCATTGCCATTCCTGAGGACTCAGGTGTTATTCTTCTATACCCTGTAAATTCACTGCCTTACCCCACCCTTCAAACCAAAACACAGTCATGCAAACGTAACTGCTTTACAGTTAATATTTTCTTGTGATTGTTTGTATTTATAATAAGTTTACTACTATAGATAGATAATTTATTTACATTACTTACAGCACACAAATTACAATAAAAAAACATACATATAATACACAATCTGTATTTATGTTACTGTATTTCATTAGAATTATTCACTTGTCATTTTATATTTTTATTTATGGGGCAATAAAGAGTTAAATAATAATAATAAAAGAGATAAAAGAATGAAAATAAAAAAAGCAACAAAAACAAAAAAAAAACAAAATATATAAATCAACAAGTGTGCCATGGTAACACAAAATGGTCACAACTCAGTATATTGCTTTGCCCTTAAAAGAGCAAAACACAGATATTCTGTAATCCTATGAAGAAAACAATAAATATTTATCTGTCTATCTAATCTAGTCGCCAAAAACTTAGTCAATTTAAGTTTACGACTGACTCTACAGTGTGGGAAAACACCGTTAACAAATCAAATTAAACCGAAAGCAGTGACGTAACAATAGACTGACAGAGCGGGCAAAATGCCACGAGCCCCCAGCCCTAGGGCTCGTGATACGAATGGCCGTGAACACAAAAAAAATATATTTATTACTTAAATTTTTGAAAAAAAAATTATTTAATCATTTAAGAATCATTTAACCTAAAACATTACACTATTTGTATAATATAAATAAATTATTAAAAATTCAATAAAATTTTCTAAGTAAAACTAAAAACAGTCACCATATTATTTGTAATATTGTTGATAATACAATATATACAACATATATACAACATCAAGCTAGCTTTTTTAGATAATGAAAGGGCCCCATCCGATAAATTTACCACGGGCCTCAGATATAGTTACGCCACTAACCGAGCGACAGTGTTAGGCTCGCATCCTGCCACGTTGAATTCTAATATGCTCGGTGAAATATGGGTAAATTCCGTAAAAAAATTATTAACAAGAATGCCCCTAGATTGTACAATATTAGTATTAAATTATACATACGAGTATAAATAAAAATCAGGGGGGATCAGGTTATTAGTAAACTAAAGAACCTATTGCTAGCAACATATCCTGTCCAGCCGACTTTAGCGTGATCAACACAAATGACCTGTCTTCATTCTCACCTATCGTCCTGCAATGACCTTACTAGGAATTCCATTAAAATCAATTTAAAAATCTATATTGATAATTGATAATTGATAAAAAAGTATAGCTAAGTATAGCCAATGCACTGGCATTGGCCTGGAACTGTCCAGGGGGATAAGGGATTAAAACAATAGAGTTTGACAGCCCCATTGCTAGCAATATGCCCTATTAGGTCGACCTTCACGTGGTTCCCCCTGGCAACCATCGTGAACAATTTATGTTGAATTCGTCAAGATGGGCTAACTGACCTACTTCATCCTCACCTGTCATCCTTCACTGGTGCCCCACCAGTGTATACCGATAGCGCAGGCGGGGTTACCATATCATTATCATCCATTAAAAAATGTTCCAAAAATGCAATATGACAGCGCAATTAACAAGTTCCGACGCATTATAATCTAGTTCTCAAGAATAGAAGCAAGTTAATTTGTGGGTTGCTCTTCTCTGCTCCAGAGGGTTACCATAGGTGTCATAGCATATTATCTGTCTGTTCATAGCTGTAAGCATCGGTTACCACTCTCTACGAGTTATCAGTTTGCTTGCCAATTCACCAAGAAAAGAGAACTTTTAAGAAAAGACATTAAAATAATTTAGCCAGCCTTTTCAAATATACAAATATATATAAATAAACAATAAATATTAATAATATGACATTAAAGTATATAATATAGCAAATTTATTCACAAATTACATACTAATATTCTCCAAAACTATGCAAAATATTTTTTTTTACAAAAATCCGATTTTAACAACAAAAAAAAAATTATGCTGGCCTAAATTGGGACTAAAACGAGAGTGAACCCTATTTGTAAAAAAATAAAATCAGTGTGGCTTACTTAAAAATTTCCGTAACGAACACATAAAAAAATACATTCAAATTAAGAACAGAACATATTTTTCGAAATCGATTATTTATAAAAACGACAGTAAGACAGAAACCTTGTAATTAACTTCCTCTGTCTTTATAAATCACTAATTAAAAAAAAAACTTACGTTGTATTTCTAACACACACACCCTCATCTCCCACTGTCAAAGCCGCTTCACAATATATCGCTACAATCAACAACACAAACACATGCGTACACACAAACTGCATCATTTTGTTTAGCAAACGTACGCGCGCTTCGAATCATCAAACTATTATACCGAAGCTTCCCGCCAATAAGTTATTGTTAATATTGCGTATAAAACACGATATAAATGTGGTAGCGAACTACCAACCGTACGATAAAATTATCGCTTCCTCTATACATTGTGGCCGCCCTATTCCTCGTCGAAAAAGAAACGTTGACATCGAACTAAATTTAGTAATGAATCAACTCTGTTCACTTGAGACAGTTCCTATCTACTTTAATAAATAGACATTATTTATGGTTCATTTGATAATAGACAATCATTGTTTTTTTTTTTTATAAATAATTAAATCCATTTTTATATTCGTAAATATATCAATAATTTTATTGGTCTTATACCACAATTGTATTCGAAAAATACTTTCAACTTAACATGAAAAAAATTAGCAATTTCTGCTTATCTATAAAGAATTCAAATATCAGTCTTGTAACAACTAAAAAAATTACTACACTAATTAATTAACTAAATAACTTATTTGATTTAATTTTACTTGATTATGTAAACGAAAGTCGATTGCTGGGGTACCTCTGTCCCATTCGTGTTTCAACCGTGAAGCAGTTGTGTTTGCATGGGTGTGTTTCGGTTTGAATGGTGGGATATGGCGTGAATTTACTGGGTACAGAGGAATAACACCTGAGTCCTCAGGAATGGCAACGCATGAGGGGTATCATGGGCGAAACAGTATACTCTGTTATATCCATGGTACTGCTTATGTCTATAGGCGATGGTTACCACTTTACATCAGGTGGGTCGTCAGCTTGTTTGCCATATTATATGTACATCGTATATATATATATACGATGTGCATATAATATAACTTTAAAAAATTTACGATCAATAGATAGATAGATATATAATTTATTTACATCACTTACAGCACACTAATAAAAGAATACATTAAAAAAAAACAACGAAAGTTCATAAAAGAGGTAACATAATTTTTCGTGAGTGTGCCACAGTAACACAAAATGGTCACAATTTAGTTTATTGTTCTGCTCTTAAAAAGCAAAACACTGATATTCAGTTGTGGTATAAAAAATAATAAATACCATGTAAAAAAATTTACCGATTTACTTTTACATTAACGGGTACGAGACATCAATACTCGTAACGTTGTGAATCGATTGCGGAATAGATATCGATTAATATTAACACAATCCTACTTTAATATGCCGTTAGTTCACCACTGAAATGTCGCTTTTACCGCCTAAATCGAGTCGGGCAATAAAATCTGACGTCTTTGGTATGGAACAATGACATTTCGCATGCATCAAATTGTTCTATACGCATCCCGCATCCGGCGAGTCATAGAACATCGTGACACACAAACGAGAACCGAATAACGATTAGTACATCGATTCCATCGAAAAAATATGTTTAATTAAATATATCATTTTTACTATTTTCCCTGAATATTATGGAAAATATACAATAATAATATTCAGTATTCTCTTGATTTTCTTTAGTTTCAAGAATACCAGTTTATACAAAATTAAATTTTAATAAAATTCAATATATTATTGTTTTTTGATAAATTAACAAAATTGTATTAACTAATAGAAGGTATATTTAGTAAGGGACCCTAAATATACATCGAATACTTTTATCAATTTTTTTTTTATTTTTTGTTACATGCACTATTTTTTTTTCTTTTATAATATATCTCTAAACGGAATCTTTTATCATCTTTTTTACGAAATTTTTTACACAAATTTTATATTGTTTTTAATTTGTAACTAAAATTCTGTCTTTTGCGTATAACTTATGTACTTTTATTTTGGTATTTCATTAGGTAAGTGTGATATTGGTATCACACTTACCTAATGAATTAGGATAGGCCATAAGAGTAAGGACTTTTTCTTATTAAATCTAGCTTCTAAGTAACAAAATTCAACAAAACAACAGATCCTTCAAGTAAATTACCAATTAGTTAAAAATAGTAAATACAAAATTTCTATTACAAATTACTAGGTACCTACAATATTTTAAACAAATATGCAATTAGAATATTTATTTAGCAATATAATTAATGTAAC